CGAAGCGAAAAATAGAGTGGAAAGAGATGACCAAATAAAAATTAATAAAGAACTCCTCATTGGGCACAAGGGGAAACTCAAATAGGACAATTGAGCAGATGCAGATAAGAGGGAGAATGCGGTAAGTAGTATGAGTAAGTCGAGAAAAACGATGAAACTCATCGACGGCAAGTGCAAGCCCAGTGTATTCAGACTGAGAAGTCCTTCGGTATTCGCCACGACTAAACGTTTATGAGGTACTTGGAGTAAGTTTTCCTCGTGTAACGCTGCATGAATAAATGATAGGAGAGAGTAGGCTATCGAGGTGAGGAGGAAAGACACGTGATAAAGGAAGACACTGGATGGATAAACAGGGAAAGATGAAGGTAGGAAAGGGCATGAGCTTGAGGTCCGCGTAAATTTCATAAGGTTGTCCTGTCCTGGCTTGACTCCCCGGGGTGTACCGCGAGCCACTGTGCTCTACTATAAGGGTTATATTTGATAGATACAGCCGAGTAAAGTGCTTATCGTATTTCTCAACTCCCTACTCACTCGAAAAATACATCAAGCAACCTCTGGATCATGCTTTCCTGATTCAACTAACGTTCTAGACCTATTTTACATGATAAGGTTACATGTGGTACTCTCGTATGATCTCTTACACTTAAATTTTTTTCGTAAATATGCTTTTAATATTTTTCCAGTATGATATTCTTTTTAGGAAGTGGATTCTCGTGTTTGCTGAGAGTAAATCATGAGGTAATCGTTGAAATGGAAAAAGGGAGAAGTATAAGAAACGTTGAGAAGATAGAAGAAGGATAAAACAGTTTATGGAAAAAGTTATATCTCCGGTATATTTCTATGAATGTTCCAAGTAATTTTATAAATAATTCCATGATGGCAAGATCTCTTAGTTCAACTGCAAAACTTGTCTCAATTTTTCTAGTTTGCTTTTTTTTTCTTTGTTTTATTATTATTATTTTTTTTTTGCAGACTCATGCAGGTGCAGAGTATGACGGTTTACAGCTAAGTGTGCTTTACCCTGGGATATAAACGAGAAGGAAACGCGTGCAGGGACGATACGAACAGCGTAAACAATTCGAGTTGGCATTTTAACGTTTGTACCCCCCAGTGACTCGTATAGTAAAGAAGAGTCGTCGAATTGACGATGCCAACTCTCAGGGGTTTTCGTTTTCTAATTTTCTCAACGCCTCGACATCAATCTTTAAAATCCTTCTATGATTCTTCTTTCTATCCGTAAATATCAATTGAGAATCGATTTTTTCAAGAGCAAGAAAAATACCTAGTATTATAGAAAATTTTTTTAATGGAGCCCATTAATTTATTGTTAACTACTAGTAGTATTTTATCGAAATGATAAATTTGCCATCATTAAACCAACCAATTAATTTTCACCATTCATAACAATTCTATAGCCTTCATTTAAAAAAGTATCTATACTTGAACAAACAACAAAGCTTTTCATAAATATAATTTTATTGTGATTGAAGTGCGTATCTGGCTCAAAAATGAAAGAAAATAATAAAAATTCATAAAAAAATATTTAAAACATTGTTTACAACGTAATCAACTACACGAAAATCAAATTAAACAGATTTACTTCGATAGCTTTAGCAGAGGAAATTTGTAGATCTTATAATCTTAATTTGTTATTGTATCAGAAAAAAACCTGTTACAGGAATAAATCAAAAATCAATAGATCAATTTACACTGCAAAATTAATGAATATTCACTGATTTTGCAGACCATTTTAAAATTTTCACTCTCTCATTTTTAGAGAGCTATCCTAGCAGGAAGGCACGACCAACTAATCCTTGATGAGCCAATACTAAGCCAATCTAAGACAATCATGACCTAATGTTGGACCATAAATGAGCCAATCAGAAAAAATAGCAAAATTTCAAAATTGATAAATTGCATCATTTGTTGATGTATACTATGAAAACTTTTTCTCAAGAAAAATAAAAATAAAATACTTAAAAAATCATAGTAACAATTGTATATAATGAATAATAGTGAAACATTCTTATTAAGATCTACTTCAAAATTACCCTGGGACTTCTCTGAAAACAGTTTAAAAATTTCCTGAATTTCCCCTGTGATTACACCAAAGCTATTCCCATTGATAGAACCTTTGTTCTACAAAAAAATCACTGTTTGTTATTTTTGAAAATTATCTATGTCTCTAAACTATCATTTTAATCTAATACAACAATAAAAACTCTTTCCTATCAAATAACCAATTATTTTCTGAGACTTCTCTGCTATCGTTATGAATGTCGATACGATGTATGCTACATCTAAAAAATAAATGCTCCACTGACATAGAAATATGATGATAACCCTACAAACCAAAAAAAAAAAAACCGATATAACAATGTAAATTGGTATCTGACCTCGTTAAAAAAAGAAAACCTTTTCAAAATGTCCATTTACCTGAATGCAATTCTAGTTTCTTAAGTGGGTTAAACTCGGCCGAACTTTTCTCATTAAATGCATATACAGGGCTATGTTCGAAGCATGAAATAAGGAGAGCGTTGATGGAAACGTATAGAGCTTGATCAGCGAATGATATGAGTGGGTTGAGTGATGATGAAAGAGAGTGTGTGACGAAGGAAAAGAGAGAAAGAGTATGGCACGCATCTGTGCAGGACGATTAGGCGTCTAGGGGTGAAAAGAGAAATACGAACGTACTGTACAGTACTTTAGGGGCAAACTACGAGGCTTGGGTTCAATTAGAAGCCGGTAACTCTCCCATGTATTGTTCATGTCGCTCTAGATTTGTATTCGTTGGTGCGTTCGTTTGTTCTCTCTTGCACATTTGCGTAACTCAACGGGTAGTACCAAGAGCTAAATCCAAACACCGTCGTGCGTTTGTGAGCCACGTTTTGCTGACGTATTTCACTTATACTACTCTCTGCTTATTTTTTTACAACCACTAGAAAATACCTAATCTGTTGTATACACTACTCTTATGACACTACTTTTCTTACATTCTTTTCAAATCTACTAGTTAAACATTTCATATCTAAAAATATGCCAAATGAAAAAGAGATTTTTTTCTTTGTTTAAATTTAATTGTCCACAGTTAATAAACACATGATGGTAAAGAATAATTTTTGTTTAAAGTTATTATTGTTTGGATGATGAAATAAAAGAGAATAAAATAATGCAAGTAAATTAGTAAATAGATTGAAAGTTTTAAACATTAAATATTAAATGAATTTCTCACTTTGATAAAACAACTTTTGATAATGGGATGTTGAAGTAAAACATGTAAAATATGTATCAATTACGTTTTTATTTTTCATTAATAAATTATAAAAAGAGGACAAATGGTATTATGTGAAAATATGTTGGACGTTGTTAAAATCATACCAATAGGTTTCTGTATAAAATTACTCAAATAATTAAATAAATAACAGTATTGATAAAATATAATTTTAAAAAAAAATCCATGTATCCATGATAGTCAGGTTGCTTCTGCGTAAACATAAATTCACCTAAGGTAGAAGTACAAAAAGTCAAGTCTAAATTCGTCGGCATTTGGTAGCGAGTAAACACGAAAATAGTAAAGTTAGGTGTGGATTTAAATCCATCAGGTGTTAAATATTCACTTGAACTGGAGTTTGGTGATCGTTGAATATTAACGAATCAGTGGAATTGCTGGCAATATTAGGAATTACTCGATAGTTATGGAGCATTCGACGAGATGAAGAGGAAGAGGGTGAAGTCGTACACACGCTGGTATCAAGAAATTTATGTACGAGCTTGCACACTTTATACTAAAAAGCAAGGGAGCGGGAGGAATATGACAGAGAGCAAAAGGGATAGAAGAGAGACTGGTACGCGAGTTTGCATATATCGGGCGTGTGCTGTGAGTCTCATAACTAAATTCATCCAATAATTCCGCATGCCAGGCCAATAATTTCCGTCTATTTTACGTCTAATCATATACCAAATGGTTTGACAATGTTAATTTTTCTTTTTTCACGCGCTATCACTTTCATTTCCTTATAATATTCTTTTTTTTTCAATTCTCAAAACAACTGTTTCAAATCATTGGACTCTAATTCTTTGTTAATCAATAAAATACACTGTTCACACTAATTTTTATATTCACACGAGAAAAAAATCTTCTTCTGTTGATTTATAATTAACTATTTTATTTTTAATTACTCTTCTGAAATAAAGCAGTGCCTAAATAAAAAATTAAAATCTATTGAATTATTATTAACCTCTATTTATCATCTATTGATTTTAAATAAGATGATACCATCTTTTATAAACGACTTTAAATATTTTTTCACTTATCCCTAGCTTATATTTTCTCATTCCTATAATCTAAAAATGCTAATTCAGTACTTCTAGACTCTAAAAAAATTTTTATTCCAAGATTTATTGTACAATTATTTAAGTTACAGATAAGTATAGTGATTGAAGCCAATTAATTATTCGATCAATTAAATTATCATCAATATTAGATATGCTACTAAATGAATCAGTAATGAAATTAGTACTCAATAAATGTGATATACTCTTGATACTGATTTTCAATCATTTTCACTAACTTATTTCAAAAAGGTAAAAATAGAATTATTAGATCAAATAAAATTTCTTTGAAAATATATGACCATTTATTTGAATTATTCAAATACTACTCCATTCCCTAATTTCAATTTGTTTTAATTGGGACAATATTTCATATGAAATAATTCAATTCTTATTAACCTGATCAATATTCATTCTTAATTAATTTTCTATGCATTCATAGAATTTATTTTTATTATTTTGAGGTCACAAAAATACCTCTATTGTTTTAACCAATTCCACCATCAATATTTAATTATTAAATGAAAAAAAGAAAATTTCTAATTAGTGTACAAATGAATAAAATAATTATTCAATATACAATCATATAACCTATAACATAAAGCATTGAATAACGTAGTAAGAAGCCACAAAACAAAACAATCTCTCAAAGACTTGATTGATTAACTACGAAAGCTCCACGCCTTTTTATATGTTTTTTAATCGTTCTTCAATGAATCTTACACTAGATGGACGAAACATACAAGTTCTGATTAACGGTAATATACCTTTATCATTTTTTTTTCCTTTCTTTCTACTCCAAAAAGTTTTCTATATTTCTGTTAGATTCCCTTTTATCCCTCATATTTTTGTCTCCTAACCACTACAGCTTTCAGTGTCTTTTGAAAAAACATTTTTTTTTACTCTTTATTTCTATATTAAGCCTAGTTGAAACGTAAACATCGAGATGGCTAATTTTTCGCCTGCATACCACCTTCATGGACAGTCTCCTCTTTTTTTTTCCCTTGCCATTTTTTCAACGTTCTCGTTTTTAATAACCTAATGGCTCTTACGCGATACATTATGCTTGTCCCGTTCCATCAGCACCATCCCTAAACTCCTTTTTACTCTGTCTCTGTTACTCTCAAACTCTTCTTCAACCCCTTTCCTTGCTCATAACCCTGATCTTACCTTTAAGAGGACCGAAAATATATCGTCCCATTATTCAACCTTTCAAGCGACTTTTTGTAATTTTCGACCTTGGCTTTCTCTACTTCAATTATTTCCATTTTGTATATGCATCATTTGTTGATTTGAAATAAATGGAAACACGAAAATTCATGCTTTTTCATTTTACCGGGGAATTTTGTGCTTTGTGATATATAAACATAAAGGTCGATCGGACAAAGACTTACAGAGCAACTGATCGATTTCTATCTACTTCATTCTCTGTTCCTTCGACAAACATGACGAGATCTAAAATCACGAGAAACCAGCCGGGTGAAATCAAGTGTAAGCAGCACAAAGATTTCTATGGGCGCGCACAACTTCCGTGCAAACGGTAGCATCGTTCGACTCTTTAGTGGGTAGACCAGACTCCTTTTCTCTTCTCTTCTCCGCACTTTCTCTATTCTCTTATCCTGTTTTCAAAGATCCTTTTCATTTCTATAACCGCAACATTTAAACTTTTTTTTCTTCTTTTATTGTTGTTTAGTATTACTTTAAAATAAAACATTGGATCAATTTATTTTATTCTCCAAATTTATTCAATAAAAATTCTACGACCAAATTTTTTTAAATCAGTATTATTTGATAATTAACTTTTTTTTGTAATTTTTTTTTCTTTTAAAATAAATTGTGATAATAAAAAATTTTTTGGTTGAATTATTTAGTGAGTAAACAACATATTTCAACGATAATAATTACTCGAAATTAAGAGACTCCTGATTACAATTCAATGTACTCCACTAGCAATATTTCACTTTCTTTCAAGCTTTACGATCGGACGTTTTTAATTTCCCAACGTCCCGCGAGAAAGTGTGCAAAGTGTAGACAAGTAGAGAAAAATAGAGAAAGGTAAGAGAAAAAGAGAAGAAACAAGCGAGTCTGGATTAAGAGAATGCAAATTGCGACGTGGGAAAATTACGCGAGTATAAAATTTACGTCTTTCTACTTCGCATTGTGTGATCGGCTCATGATACATGATTTTAAAATACTTGAAATTTGTTTTACAGCTAGAATTTCTACGGTAATATCAACTGGAAGATGATTCCAAATAGATGGAGGGTTTTATTATTTTTTGTGCTTTTAGAAATTTTTTGCTTCACTTATCAAAGTCATACTGATAAAGAATTAAGTTCATCACATCCACACGATCGAAAAAAATTTCATGTAAGTTTCAATTAATTTTTCATCTTTTCTACAGAAAAATTTCCATCAGAATCAGCTAAATATTTTAAAATATAATCATTTATTATTCATTATCATTTTTTTAACTTTTTAATTTTTTTAATATCTTGTAAAGGACTTTGTCTATCTGATTTTCTAGCTGCTTTTAATGGAGAATTTTCTTATGAAATATATACTATAAAAAATTGACTAGAAGTTTTTTTACATGTCTTTATATTTAAAGAGAATTTTGTTCTACAATATCCTGTTACATATGAGATATGTTGTTCTTACAGTGAAACTTTAGCTTTTTTATAATCTTCACGACTAAAAATATGAAAATTTTGTAGATATTTTTTTTGAAAAGATTATTTTAAAACTCGTGTTCTCAATAGAATAAATTTAAAATCTATTTTCAAAATTTATGAAACGAATCTACATTATTATTATATTTAATAACAATAGTAGAAAAAATCCTGAAAATGATTCATATTGGAAATATAAAAGGACATTTTTTTTAATCATAGAATGCATTGAATATTTCCATGATTTATTTTGACACTGTAGATATTTTTTCTCTTATCATAATAAGAAAAATATCATTGTAATGAGGGGTATTTATTCAAAATTTCCATTTTACGAAATGACCGAAAATAAATGAGCGAATGTTAATTTCTAGTAGTTATTTAATAGTAAAAATATTTCGAACTGAATAATTGCTTGGATCGGATGACAAAGAGGTTAAAACCGCAGACGAAGAGAGATGACTTTGGAGAGTGAGTAAAGACGAGGGAGAAGCGTAATATTGCTGCTTTCACAGTGCCTAGAACTATGTTCCAACAGCCCGAAAAGCAGTAGCTAGCAGTGATTGATTATACCGCTCGTAGTTTTGGCTGCCACCACCTTCATTCTCACTTCATCTCTCCTTTTCCATTCCACAACTCAAAGTAAAATGGTACTGATCGATCCTTGTCATATAACGTCTCATTCTCATCTGGCGGTCTTGAAAAAGGAATACCAAATTGTCTAAAAAGCCGTAGCTGCCGGCTAAAGACGACCGTATAACATCAGACCTGCTATCATATCCGAACAATCAGCATGCGTCTGATGAAGACATGGAAAGAAAAAAAATAATTTATCGGTTGATTCGCTGACGCTTCCGGCATTAAGAAGGGTAAAAGAGAATTCATAGGAGAGTTTGTCACGTAAGGATGTGCAACGCGAAAGGAAATGGGCTGGATGACGTTGGTGAAGGAATAGAAGTAGTGCAGAAGAGGAGACCAATGGACTGGCACACAAGTAGAACACAAGAAGGACGACCAACATGGCTGGAGAGAATAAGGGCCCACCGGGAATGAGATGCAGATTGCTAGAGGCCACTTCAACCGCTAGAGGGAGTGAATTTTTAATAACGCACCGCCATACTTTCTCTCCCTCTCACCCTCATTTCTTTGTGTATGTATAAAATGCCATTGTCTTCTCGTGTGTCCACGAAAGGAAGCACGCAACGAGAGGAAAAGAGATAGTCGATGAGCTGTTTTTTTCTCTTTCTATTATTATTATTATAACTTGTCAACCGAAGCAGGGAAAAGCCGGGAAAGCAGAGAGTACAGTTGGATTGTCACAGGCAGAGAGAGTCCTGTATGCTGGTTTATATTTTACTCTCTTCTGGTTTACACTCTGACGTCTGTTTTCTTCAAACGTGTTATCTGCCCTCTGCTACTTAGTTTTTTTTTTGTTTTGCGTGGCAGATTGCAAAGACAGAGAAAAAGTCTAATAGAAAATTTTACAGGTTCAGAAGAAAAACAGTCAAGCTCTAAACAATTTTCTGGAGGACGTACTCATGGCTAAGGATGAATTGAAGTGGATAGATCAAATGATTTATCCTCAAGCACGTCGTCATAAATCTCATGAAACGAGGCGTAGATTACTCTCAGAAAAAAGAGTTGGTTCGAAGAAGAAGAAAAAACATCGTAATGGTAATAAAAATTATATCAAACGAACCAACTCAGTTGATAATGGTGGTAAAAATAATTTACAATTTGCTTGCAATGAAAAATTTTTTATTCATTTTAAATACCAGTTTTGAGAATAATTTTAATTAAATAGGTCAACGAAAGGAAGCTTTGAAAAAAATAAAAAACAATGTTATTGTTAAGAAGAGTATACCCCCTGCTAAAAGGCATTATTTTACTCCTAATGTTCATGGTTTTGGTGTCATTGAATATTATGATTACGATGAAAGTTCAAACAAAAGAAAGATTTCTGATAAAAAATCTGGTAATTAATTAATTTTTTAATTTTATTTTTACTGAAATTAATTAAATTAAATAATTTTGATGTTTTTTAGACAAACATTCATCAATGATTGTTAAAAAGAAAGCCACAAAAAATCCAGTTTTAAGAAAAAAAAAATTAGAAGATAAAAATAGAGAATATAAAATACCACAAGAGCTTGTGAGTAATCAAGAAAATTTACATTCTGCAAAATTAAAGTACGCACGAAATACACTAGGTAAATGAATGACATTTTTTAAAATGAAAAAATTCAAATTTAAAAAAAGTAATTAAAATATTAATGTAAATAAATATTACAAATACCAGAGCATAAACAAAAAGAACAAAAGAATAATATTGAAAAGGTTGAGACAGTAGATGGTTTGGAAAATAGCTTGAATAGTGTAGCCGATGTTAATGGGTTAGCTGACGAAGAATAATCAATGAGGTATGACCTGAATTTTTTTCTGAATTTGGAACTTTTCACAGACGCGAAGCTCGATGTCATAGAGATCGAGATGATGATGCTGTTGATGATTTTAAGAGCCAGAGGGATTTTAACTATCAAAAAAATGCTAGAATGACTGATGACGACTACCATTTGGCCCAGAATATTTATGATGATGATTTTGATCCGTAAGTTTCATTATTTAATTTAATAAAATTTCATCTTAATATTGTCTTCTTTACATTAAATTTAATTGTTTAATTCAAGTGTATTTAATTAAATAAACATCAGAAATTATTTTAAAGAAAAAAATTATATATAAATGATTTTATTTTAGTTTCTTCCTAGAAGTAGGCAATACCTCGTCATCCGGAAGTGATTATCAAGCTCTTAAAGCCACAGATGATCTGTTCAAAGGTGGAATGGAGCAAGGAAATTCCAATGACGATAATATCCCTCCCGCAGACTATTATAACCAAAAAAAATTATTCCACCATTGGAAAACAGTTAAGATAATAAAAGAAATTAAATAAAATATATTTATAAAAATATTAATAAGTATAAAAATTTTTAAAATATTTATAAGCACATTAATTTTCAGTAATCTTTTGATTTTTTAAATTTAGGATTCGCATTACAAAACAAAGAAAAAATCTTTAATTGAATCTCAGCCTTACAGCCATTATGTGACAGCCCACGAAAGAGCAGAAGAAATTTATCAAAAGCCTATGAGTAATTCAGCCTTGTCGTCTTCTGTAAACGTGAGAAAAAGCAAAAAGTCAAAGGAAAAGCGTTCAAACATCATTTCAGGACCAATCTTAAGACATGAATCCATAGTTGAACCGTTAAACTGGCCTTGGGAATATTACGACGATAAAGATGAGTCGAAAATTCGATTTGGTCGAGGACTTATGCAAGTGTCAGAGGAAAATAATGATGATAAAACTTCATTCTCATTCAATAGTCACGAGAATGAAGTGAAACAATCAGAAAATCGATTTGATCAATTTTTATTAGCATCTGAGAGTGAACATATCAAGCAAAAATATAGGTCAAAGAGAAATGAAGAAACTCCAAATGCCAATGATGATTTTCTTGCTAATTTTACTGTTAATGGAAAGCTCACTGATGATATAGTGAACAAAATATTTGAAGAAGTAATGAATGAAAAATAAATGACAATAAATAATTATGAGGATAATTCCTCTACAAGTGAATAAATGATCTGTTAAATTATAATTTTAGGTTGAAGCAAGTAATACTTTAAATACTGGATTACGTCCAGGATTAAGTAGGAAAACAAACTTAGAGGATCATGCTCCAGCAAAATGCTCTTCAGAAGAGCATGAGCAAGAAGTGAGTAGTGTTATTTATTATTATTTGATTTTTATTAATTATTTCTCAACTATCAAACAATTTTAAAATGCATAGATTTTAATATTGGATAGGTAAATCGAACTTCAACGATATTGAAACAAGTAGGCAAACTTTTGAATCATCTTGTAGCACAGAAAATGCAAAAGAAAATGTGTCTCAGACTATCTCCACACCAACGTGATTTTTTGATTTGGATTACTGATGATGCTGCTGATAAATATGCTCGTCCAAATCCTCAGGTTTGTTTTAAATTCATTCTTTTCAGTCAATTTGACATTTGATCTAATGTTCGAAATTTGTGACATACATTTCAGCATTTAATATTACATGAAAAGCCATCAGAAAACTTGGCAAGGTTATTGAATCAAGAAAAAAGTCGATATTTATTTGGACACCTCCAAAGACCTATCAAACATTCTAGAGTAAATTCAAAACTTGAGTCATCTGGTAAAGATTCATTGGATGATGAATTGAAGTTGAAAACTCGGTTATTGAAACGGTTGATTAAACAGTATGAATCACTAAGTGAAAGTGAGCAAATAAAAGTTGAAGATATTCACAAGCACTTGGTAAATATATATTTATAGAGATGTAAAATGATTTTTTATGGGCCATAAAACTTGAATGAGAATTATATTAATCATCATTTTCAGAGAAGACAATTAAATTTGCTCCAAAAATATGCACGACATCGTAAATTTAAGAAGTATTCCAACACATCTGTGAGTAAAAAAAGTCATCAATATGCTAAAAAATATCCAAATTCATCTTCTGATTTTTCTGTCAATAAAAAAGGCTCTTTAATGTCATCATCTATCAATAAAATAAAGAACAGAAGAGATTTAAGAACAGAGGAAAAAATAAAAAGAAACAAAACCAAGTCGATTGATAATAAGGGTAAAAAAAGTTTAGAACAGTTTAACTCGTCTTCTTCCTTAATGTCATTATCAGATGATTCTTCTGAAGATGGCAACCATGAAAAAGAATTGCGACATTCTTCTTCAAGTGCTTGTAAACCAAGAAGCAAATGCGATCGATGGATTGAAGTATTTGAAAACATAACTACCGACAATATTCTATCACCAAGTAATCAATCGAGTGTAAAATCTATTGAAATTTTTTCAACAATCTCGTCTACTTCTTCACCATTAGCAGCTTTCAGTCACAATTCAGTAAGTGATGAAAATGGATCGTTTGTTACAGACAAGCAGTCCTGTAGCAGTGATGCTGTTGTCAATTTTGGTGATTCAATAAGTCCATATACTCATGATAAAGATTATACAATAATTTATACTTATAATAGAAATGAAAAAGAAGAAAATTTGGGTGAACAGTTAAGAGATGCTAAAGATTTGGAAAGCAAAATTAATGTTTTTCCTGTCAATAATAATAAATATGGTGAAGAATAACTTTTATGTGATTAGATAAGAAGTAGTAACTTAGAAAATTATTTGTAATAACAATGAACTTTTTTTAAATGATTTAAGATTAATAGAATATTTTATAGAAGATAATTTATTGTTATAATCATTTAAATAAATATATTTGTTATAGCTGATAATTAATAAAATACTATTCATAGAAAATCTAAATGAACTTATAACAATTATTTGGATGTTACTCATTTTTTAAAATAATTATTTAAAACAAGTATTTAAAGTTTTTTTTTATTTCTTAATCGTTAACAATAGTAAATAGGATCACGATTCATTAAAAAAACTTTTTATAACCTCAAGAAATAATTTAAAAGTTTGCATGAATAAAATCATCTTTTCAGTTTATCCAGAAAAAAAATATAGAACAATATTGTTATCTCGTTAAAAAGCATTGCTATAAAATGACAGAATACACAATTGTTTACTGTAAAGCAGAAAAATAATGATAAAGCTTGCATCAATACTTCTCAGATAAACTTCTTAAATAAGACAGACCGATGAACAGGAAGAAAAGGGAAAAGTTTTCTTACGCAAATTCTGGTAACTTTATCCATAAATGAAGAAAAAAGAAGTATATACGGAAGTAGAGAAAAAGGATGAAAAAGATTTTTCCCAAGACTTGGAGAGAGGATTGGTGGATAAGCCAATTAAATTCACAAAATCGGACGGTTCGTTTATGCAAGCATGAGGTGCACGTGGGGTGTGAGTCTAGGGAGTGAGAAAGAGAGAGAGTGAATGTTATTACTTATTCGTCGCGGTTTAAAGTCTGAGTTTATTTAGAAATTCCGGACGAGCATCTGCGTTCGGTTTGCGTGCACCACGTTTTCTCTTTCATGTTCTCTTGTACCCTTTTTCAGTTGAGTTTTCCTCGTCTATTGTTGTCTATCTTCGTCTTTTTCTTGCACTGGCTTTCATCCGCTCTATTTCGTTGCTCTGTTGTACATTAATGTACTAGTATATATCCGGGTATCCAGAGGGGTAAGGAAAATAGCTACTTCGGGTCATAGGGGAGTGGATCCCGCCTGGTATTTTTACATAACATTAAGTTGTCGGGAGCAAGGTGGTGTGCTGGTAAACCGCTAGAGGCGAACAGGAGAAAGTGAGTAAGAAAAGGAGGGACGAGAGGGAAATGTGAGAGCAAGCGAGAGAGAAATCTTGGGTGGCTTGGGTCACTAATGGAGGTTAAAACGTGAAAGCGAGAGGTGAGTGAGGAAACGCTTCTCGCGTCTCGATCGCCGCGAAACAGTTGCACATCCGGTGTGGTATAGCTTTCAACCCTCTCTAACATAGTATACTTCACCTCTTTCGCTCGTTCTTTGACTTTTGATCAGGTAGACATTTTTATTTTTTTCATTTACATCCTCTTCAAAAAAAGTCAAGATCAAGTGCAAAAACCCTTTTTACATAAATCTTAAGTATTTACATACATTACAATTTTTAATAGGGTAAACATAGGATAGATGTTCAAGCATAGATAGATGCTCAATATCATTTACTTGATGTAGACTCCAGCTATTTTCTTCATAATGTCTGTTCAAATTTTATTCCACATTATTCACGTTAATTTTAATTAAAAAAAAAAAGAAACTATTGATTTTTACAAATGGCATTTCTTTTTTCTAATTTTACAATGAAAAAAATAAAATTTATTTTTTATGAATCACTTGAACGTTAGACTTTCAATGAAACAAGACAATTCGTGTTTACATGATAAAAAACTCGAAAAAAAGAAAACAATAGAAACATAAAACATTTTTAATTTACTTTCAATTTCTATCTCTCGAAACTCTCGTCTTATTGTAACAAAAGCGCACGGTTTTTGTCATACAGAAAGTAAGAAGCAAGATGAGAATAAAGAGAAGCAGGAGGTATAATCGTCGGATGTGAGAGCAGGAGATCGTGTTCCCTCTTGGAATTGCAGCCAGGCATCCTCGACATGTCGATAGCAGGCCAGCTCGGTTCCGTGGCCCACCGATACATCCTCCGATATATCCCTTGCACACATTGAGGGTTCGCCCCATTGCGCCGTCAACCCCTCTCGTATTCGACCGCTAAATGGCCAACCACCACCACCACCATCCTCTACCATCGCTACCACCCCATGCCGCTCAATTATTGATACTTAGCATCCCACTCAGCCTTTCCCACTCTCCTCCTCTATCCTCTGACTACTTCTTGCTCTCATTCCCAGATCTGGGACATCCATTCGTTTTTTCACGTCATTAGAGACTAAACCACGGTGACTGAGTATACACGTACAACGGTTTTGGTCTCTAAGGGAAATAATCGAAGGGAGAGAGGTACACCCTGCGGTTATATCCTGGTGCTTCCTACCTCTCTGCATCTCGATTATACGCTACACCAGCGGTTTCGTAGGGTTTATCGGAGCTAATGAATACTTCGCGGTTGCGACACCGAGGGATCGATGATTAATTACATACATGCATTGTTGAATATTGTTTTCTTTTTTTTATTTCTCTCGTCTTTTTATCCAATATTTTTTCTTCACTCCAGAATTTTCATAATGAAGCTTGGAATTTATTGTATAAAGTTTAACCTATGATGTAAATTACACGTTGGAATACTTCTCGAATAAGAGAAGTAAACTTTTTAATCCATAAATAGGAGAAAAAAAATTCACTGGAGAATATTGTAATTTTTATTTAATATTTAATCAACTTGAAAGAACAGCTGAAAAAGATTTTGTTTGAGTAGAAATTTTATTAAAATATTTATTTTAAAAAATTAAATTAAATTTAAAATAGCTTCTTAATAAGAGATTAAAAAATAAATTGTTCAATTGATGGTTACTGATTTTGTTTTTTTTCTTTTTTTTTGTAAAAGAAAAATTTTCAAGTGTTGTTTAATTGATAAATATTCTTTGAAGAATTATTATTGAAATAATTTTTTTGTAATTCATTTTGACAAGAAATATTTTTATTATGTACCTTTATAAATCAATAAAAACAGCCAACTAAAGCAAGTAATGTATCAGAATTTTTTAATTAATATTTCTACCTCAGGCTGTAAATAATCACAACAGCGAACAAAAAAAATTTTTTTTATTAATGGAAGCTTTGTTTTTAATATTAATAAAAAATATCTTCTCCATACATAGAAAATGCTTGTATTTAATAAAAACATGATAAAAAAGCAAAATAAATTTTATTGAAAAAAATTAATTTATTTTCTAATATTAATAATATCAATATCTTGAAATTTGAATAAAATATTAAACAAAAGTCAAGAAAAAATATCGGATATAAATTTAGAAAATAATTTGCAACTTTTTTCAACAGTAAATACTTGGGCCAAGTCCGAAGCAGCTCTTTACCAGCACACAATACCATTCCTTTATCACCGACTTCCTGTAGAACTCTTCGAATTCGTCGTTAGCATCCTTTAAACGAGGACTTTTTCGCGACTGTTTTAGAAGCCTCAGGGTGATTCGCGAGTGCGGAAGTACCGTTGGAAAGTCGTGAAAAGTGATAAGAAAAAAGATGAATGGAAGCAGGAAAGAAGTGTGAAAGTAGAAAGGTAAGGGGCTGAATAAAAAAAATATATATATTTTCTCACCAATCGACAAGTAAAATACTTTTAGAGTTGTCTTACGTTTGGTGACCAGAATACTTGGATATTTTGTCTGAGTGTATTAGACTTGAAGCCGGGATAACATTTATTTTATTTTTCTTTCTATACTCTTGGAAAAAGAAGACTCAAGATGAAGCCAAGGTCCAAGGGGGTGCAACAGCAAGTCTTATACGGTCCACACGAGTCCCGTAACACCCTCATGGACGCACCCTTGCCCCGCTAATGGCACCCTCGGGGGATCCTCGGAGAAGCCGCTCGTATTTATTATTTAGTTTGAAACGAAATGCGAGAGCCGAATGAGCCGACATTCTACCGCAGCCCTTCAAATAAAAAAAGGAAATATATATATATAGATTGGTATGTATAAATGTACCAATGGAGTAAAAAATAAAAAAAAAAAGGAGCAAGACTCTGACGATTTATCCACAAACATCGACACGAAAGTCGAGAGAGCAGCAACGACAAATTAATATCGGCTGATCGCTCCCCTTCGATTCCTATATACCAACATCTCGTAAGAAGAAAAATTGATATAGGACTGGAATGTTACATCATATGTGGGCTAGGGGTATCCATATACATGTGTGCGTCTAGTAAATCCATTTGAGTGCGATAGAAAACCTACCGCCTGGCGATGATAAATCGTTGATGGTCAGTCAAGCAAAAGATCCTGCCTGACATGGACATGTAACAATTTTTATGAATTTCATGATGTTATTTTTTATTAGAATCTTTATTATTTTATTATGAAATAAACGTAAATAGTGACGAATTTTCGTGCTTTTCATGATCAAGTAATAAACCTGTATGAAGCACATATATTTTAGCTGAAGTCAATAAATTTCAAATTTATTGTTTAAACAATTATGTCACGATGAAATGAATAAATCGTCATTATTTGTTTTATGCGTTGTGGATTATTGAAATCACTGGGAGTATTTTATCGTTGCTATTAAAGCACTATAAAATAAAATGGCTTAACTTTATTTTCTGTTTATTACAAAAATTATCTATTTAAACAGAGTAGAATAGACACACCAATAGATGAAAAGAAAGTAAAAAATTATTATAAATAGGAACAAAATGTTTGTATAAAAAAATTGTATGTTTTTGCGGTGATCAGATTTTATTTTAAAGAATAAACAATATTTTAATACATTTCAATTTTAAGTTATTTATAATTTTAACAATTTATCCATTTCCTGTGTGATATCTATCTAGTGGTCTAGTCACCCTATCAATAAATATGAAAAATGTCGATAATCTATTGTTAAGTATTTTTCAAATGAAAAAAAATATATGAAATTTCATTCAAAGTCTCTGTATTTGTATATTTCCCAACTTGACGTTCTTGGAGACCCAGAAATGTGAAATATGCAAAAATTTCTAATCCGACCTCAAAATTAATTCACTTGAGAACGAAAAAAACTCTCTGGAATCTGAATAAATTTATTTCCTAAATGATTTCTATTAATTTAATACCACCAAATACTTTGTCCAATAATAATTATCATCAACCAAACAATCAAAACATTCACCCAACTTAATCCCTTTTACCCCTCATAAAACGATTTATTAATCAAATTCAAATTTTTCGTTAGAGTATTTGTATAACAGATTGCATTGTCTTCATTATATGTGTATCGATTAAATCCGCAGACTAATATTGAATTATGCAACCTATATGTCCACCCTCTCTCTCACTCCTTCGCAACATTGTAGCGTCAGCTGCTCGGTGTTATTGATACTACATTTATCCCGATTTGACGAATCGTCGTTGTAACCGCCGTCGAGCTAATGGTCCGAATGGCAAAAAGAGATGAAACGAATCAAAAAGAGAAGCAACAAATCTGACCGATCAGCCACATATTTTCGCTTGTATGACTTTTAGATAAAACATTGTTTTATATACAATTGTAATAAATATTATTCCTAATCCATAATTTTTTTTTTAATTTTAAAAATATTCTCGAAATGCATAAATAATATCTCTTACAAACATACCGCGTAGTTTAAAAAAAAAGAAAAAAAAAATCTCTGACTTCTACTGCCATCTCTCGTAGCATATAAATATTTTCGTGGTAACATCGAGCATTTACCCAACGTTGAATGGAAAATATCTACACATCCGACATTGCAATCTGCAATACGATGCAGGCACATGAGGAATGTGCGACTTATACAAGCTTAATTCATAACAGATTATGATTAATGATGCATTCAATTTTTTAGCGAATATCAGGAGATTAATTACTCTTTATTACAGAATGAAGAAAAAAATGATAATGTAGAAGAGTGGAAAATAATTTAATGCACTTTCTAGAATTTAAATATCTCCGGACTTTGTGCTAAATATATCTCTTTTTTCGACTAAAGTATGAATGAACTATGCGCAAAGGGAGAAAGAGATAAAAGCGACATAAAAGACTGACTCTAAAAACGTGCCAGTCGACTTATATATATTGCGTGGGTATTCAGATATTATTTGAAATTGCCTCTTCCGGCCCTTCTATACTTGGGACACACACGTGTGCAGTTGAATTGAAAAAATACCGCAGAATAATAAAAATAACAATGTCTATTCCACTTTCTTGTCTTTCAACCTTTGAAATAAATATCTATAAATTAGTGTACAAAAAATATTTTGAAGTATTTTAATGGTTATGTTGCTAACAGAGTCTATTAGTGTGAAAGACAAGATAAGATTTGTCTAGAGATCTAGATCTGGGTGGTCATCTAAGTCGAGGGAAAAAGCCACTGGAAATGAGTTCCACATGGAGATCTATGGGGATCAAGCACAGGATGAAAGGGAATCGATCGTGAAATCGGTCGGTTCTCTGTACCTGACTCTTTCGAGGACCCCTCCTCTCTCTCAGGCAAGCCGGTCCGAGCTGAAGAGGGGCCCAGTGAGGACGTAGTGGGGTTCAGAGGGAGTAAGAGAACCCAGGCACATTCCAAGCGTGAACGTTTGCTTCAGTAAAGGCCCTCGTTTCAGTCCCCACTCCCTCAGTTCCGTTTCTTTCTTTTGCATTTTTTCTCTCTTACTCTCTTGGGGCCCCAGACTTAGTCTTTATCCCCCGCTCGGTTGCAGCTCTTCTTTACGACAGTTTTTCCTGCTGTCTCGACTTACACCAGACGCACTCGGTTACGCGATCGGTCGGTCGTTGGTCTTCAGTGTGTTTTTACCAAGTTTGTGACAAACGTTAGTGAGTTTGAGCAATGAGAGAAGTAATGTGAATAAAACCGTTGAGTTTTGCACATTTCAACACCGTGATATTTAAGTGTATAAGATTGGAGTTAGTGATGCTCTAACGCGTGAGAACTGCAGAAAGTATCGTTTGAGGCTAAGTAAAGATCCGGCTAACGTTTGCCGGTGGAGTTGAAGAATATAATGATGTACTTCAAGGACCTGTTTGTTGGTTCATTGAGCTGATGAGAATGATCAGCATTCGAGAGACAATTAAGCAAATTTGGAATTAAATTACAAGCTTTATAAACAGGTTTTGAAAATGTCTCAACGAGATTCATCACCAAGTGCAGTGAATAATGATATTAATCAAAGAAATCTTAAAGCATCTAATAAACTTCTAGAAACTCCTGATGATGAAGAAGACTCTCATATTAATCACAAAAGTAATCATCCAACACATCCGGCTGAACTGAGCCATTTACATCGGAGTCGTAATGTAGAATCTCCACTACACTCAATCGTTGGTTCAATTCGACACTCACGAACTCGTCCTAACCATAGTCCAATTTTCTCTGACAGTACTTACAGCTCAGGACGTATGGACCTTTCTGATCTTGCCGACATTAACCCAACCAATTCTAGAGCTGATTCCGATTCGCAGAAGTCTCGACTATACTATCCACAAAATCATCAGAACAATGCCCATTGTCAAAGGACTCTCCTACCTGCCGACTCACCCTACCTGTTACAACAACATCTAGTAAATGAGAGCGACGTTGCCAATGACAGAACTAGCCACCGTCATTGCACAATGGACGAACAGAGGCACAGAAAACATGCTGATGAACGATCCATAAGCCCAACCTCAAGTTCAGATGCTGCGGAAGTCCTCACTTCACCCAGGCAACATTCTCGCCACAAACAACACTCATCTCATCGTCATCGTCCTGTTAATTCTACTAAAGACCATTTATATCATGGTCCAATAAGTAGCCATCAACTAGGTCATCAGCATTCACCAGCTGAAAGGCATCGCCAAACAAGTCTTTGTCATCGCTACCATGAAATTGGTCAGCCAACTTCTTGCTCTCCTGTTTGTGATTCTGGAATAAGAGAAGATGATGCCTCGTCTTCAGCTCCATCGAATCATCGTGATCGATTATCTAGTTGTGATGATGTTAGTGCTATGTGTTCATTAGTAGTCACGGCTACAACAACCACTACCACAATGTCTACCAATCTTCCATCTCCATTGCCCATCGCCAGTGGCGCGAATTATCATCATCGAGCCAGCTCGGGAATCTCTTGCGAATCATCGACGTCCTCCAGTATCAGAAACCATGGTACACATGAGAATTGCATGACAGACAGGCATCGAAATCCTGCTAGACATAATCATGTGATTCAGCCTTATGCTCTGGATCCCCCGCAGCGTGTTCAAATTGTTCACGCAAGAGAAACGAAAAGCCCACTTCTCATTGGCCTTGATACCATTCAGGTAGATAATGTTATGTTACTGTTACGCAGCATAAATAGACAATAGTCAGTCAGCTGTTCAAACATTTATCATACTGTGATTTAAAATGTAAAACAAACTTTGAAAAATTTTACTAATGATTTTCAGATGTCTACAACTCTTTCTAAAAATAAATGTCACTGTCACATCGATCATATTCAACAACAAATGCAACTGCAGCAGCATCAGCAAGAACAGCATCAACATCCCCAACAGTCTCATCAACCTCATCACCATCATCATCATTATCATCAACATCCGCAGTACAACAATCAAGATAAAAGAGGTCCAGAGGGGGAAAGTAATGATACTACTGCTGTGACATCGATAATGCATCAACCCCCTGCTCTACCACCACGACCACCCCCGAGACCTAATCGAAGATATGATGCATCAGCTTACGATCTTCGTAAGTATCCACTTCCGTTACTAGATAATTGCTAATCTTTTAAGTACCGGAACACAGCTATTTTTAACAATCAATACCATTTTCTGGTAGCAAAAATAAATTGAAAGTACATAAATCTTATTGACTTTCAATGTTTAATTATAGAAAAAGGTAACAAATATAAAAAGAGATATTTTTGGAATTATTAAGTTTGATGACTCAAGCAACTATTCTGTTATGTTACTTTGTTTTGATAGATTTCGAAAATCAACAGTAGAGTAAAGTCCTGTCATTGTTATTTTAAAATTACCATAAAATCTCAAACTAGAATGAATTTCTGACAAAATATTAACAATATAACTTTTGTTTTAAACTCAAAGCACCCTACGATGTAAAAATAATTATATCATTGGAGTAGAAGATAATCATTGAATTATAAATGAAGGATTTCGAGCATGTTCATCTTTCCATTAAGTAGATGTCCATATTGAATTTGCATTAAAGTATGAGAGTTAAATTTCCTTTAGCTCGGAAACATTTTATAAAAATTAATCATCTATTTATTCTTCTTGAAACTGATAGATCTAATTGACGTTAATTTAATATTAAATTGAAAATATCTGTATATGAAAGTCGCCCATTACTATGCGCTTTTTTAGAATTTATTCAAAAGAGTGCGGCAATTACAGTTCAATTCAAGAGATTACAGAAGATATAAATATTCAAGTGAAACGAAGAGCAAAACGTCTTTGTCGTCGCACTGAGAAATTCAATTTCCGATCTACCGTATTCAGCGCTTTTAGAAGCGATCAATGCTGTCGTCGTTTTGCAAGCCCATTCGACGCCTTGTTTTTCCTCCCTTCACGTCTCATTCGCACTCTTTTTAACCCCTCTTAATCTCTTACTAGCTGTTCGATTGGCGAATTGGTCACCCTCCGTGAGTAACTCGATTAACGGATGAATCAAAGCATCAGGATCAAATGAATTTCCCCATAAGCCCCGGAGGCAAAAGATCAACTTTTGGTTAATACCCTTCTACTAAAAACCTTCATGTCCTCGATAGTCACCCTCTTGTAATCACACTTCAACCCCTAATAGCTTTAATTCATTATACAAAGAAGGCTAAAAAAATAGTGGCATTATAAAAACAAAGTTGTTGATTTTGTACCGACATTTTCATTCTCATTATCATCATTCTTTCACCCCAGCTGCTATCAGTGCAATCTAGAATACCCACTCGTGATATCTTGACTAGACAGACATTCCATGATCACACCCTCAAGAAGTTACCCCTAACACAAGTTTCTCAATCGACTCATGTCACCGTTGGTGTCGCTTTCGTCGATTTGAATCGACTATCGACCAGCTTTGTAATTTCATCCGCGCGCAAACTCGAAGAAAGATGAACGAAGGGGCCATGGAGATGAGTCTTTTAGATCTATCACAAAGAGGACAGTGTTATGGAACGCAATGAACGTTGGAAAAATTCTTTATTGTGATGAAAAATCGTCCATTATGTATAGTGAATTGAATCAGATTAAAAAAGAGCCAAGTTTAGTGAATAAAGTATCTTCAATAAATCTTTTCATTGGACACGTGCAAGTGACCTATACATCTCTAATGTTGCCGTTAATAAATTGTGAGTGAAAATAAAGCATGGCCCTGAGAAATTTTGATGAAAATCATTCGAGGATCAATAAAAGGCATCATCAAATAAAAAAATGCAATCAGCCATTTCCAACTGTAGTTCAAGAGATGTAGGAAGATCATCAGTGGAATCCAGACAAGGATCCAGCTTTGTATCTTCTTCAAGACCAGTTCATAAAGTTATGGATGGCTATCCAGTATTTCAAATTGTTCGTTATCGACTTGGATCAGATGCTCCAATGGATGGCACAATGGGATATCCTTTCGCGATGGGTCCACATTCTCATTCTCACTTACCTCGTACTGGCAATCACAATCACCTGTCTCGAAATCACTACCGCCATTCTTGTGGTATGTTTCCACTTATTCCCACCAATTTTCTTGTACTTATTTTGCATCAACTATCATCATCATAATTATAATAATAATAATAAAAACAACATAAAAAAGGTAACAATCATAATAAAAAATAATCTTACAAAAAATTTCTTAAGAACTTTCATTTCTTAATCTTCCATGTAAGTGTACACGTGGGAAACTACATCTCTTTTCACTTTATTCCCGAAAATATTTATTCTTTACTTTAGAACCTACATCAAATGAATGGTAGAGTGCAGGTAGAAAGGTTTTTAAACTTGAATGAAGAAGAAAAAGTGTTTTCTTCTAATTTCAAAAGCTAAAAATATCCGCAGGTGGGAATAGATGCAATTTGTTGCGGTCCTGTGATTTTTCATCTTTACTAAACTTAATCATTATATTCATCCGAGATTTTTTATTGTCAACTGAAATACTTGTCAGACAGGAAGTTATTACAAAATCTTTGTGTATATTTCTACTGGTTTGCCATCTTTATTGGTTTATTTATGGTTACTTGTTTTTAGGAGCCGATAACGGTGAGGGTAGCTGCTGCAAAAAGTACGTCGTGCTCTGCTGCCTCTGCGGGGGTCTTAGTGCCGCGGTTGGATGTCTTTTCCTTGCTGTTCATGCTGTTCTTACAGCCCACACAGCCAGCCTTGCTCTATTTGAAACTGTTCCATCATATATTCCAGGAACGATGGTAAAAAAATTATAAATACTCACAAGAAATATTAATAAAGTTACTTTTGTATGATAACAGAGCATCTAATTTATATTTCTTTTACTTTCAGCTGATACTTATGGGTCTGTTTACCATGCTTTTGGCGCGACGAAAGCATAGATATAGTCTTTTGGTAAGCATTGCTTGAAAAATTTTATGCTGACTCATATGGGCAGCTCACCAATGATTTCTTTCTTTTTATTTTTCACATCTTTAACGATATACACATACGTATGTATTTATATACACCTTCCTATGACATATAAAATCCAATAATCGATAGTTTTCCATTTTTATTTAACTAAAAAAAATTTTTTTTTCATCTATACCTGAATTTAAAAATGATTAAAGTAATATTTTCTTAAATCATTCACATGAAAAAATTGTTCTATCCGTTTGGAAATTTATTAAACATTTTTCTATATTAATTAAACATAATAAAGATAATTGAACTATCTTTTTATTGAATAATTAACAAGACTAAAACATGTAAGTACAAATAATTAAGTATTAAATTATTAATTAAATTATTTATGATATTCGTGAAAAAAAATAATAGACACTAGAGATCATTTCTATGGATATTTGCACTGCTTTCTCTTTTAGCAAAATTTAAAATAATCTGATCAGAAAGCTAATGAATTAATTAAAATTAATTAATAGGAAAAATATAGTTTATCCCTTTCACTTTGATATTGATAATTGAGTTAATAATTATTATTTATTACATCAATTTAATAATACTTTTGATATTTTAGATGAAAGTTTGCGGTTCAGTTGGAGTAGTATGTGCTCTAGTCTGTGTTCTTGTCACGGTCACAACAACAGTCGTCCACATGTCGAGGTTGCAAGGTCTCCGCGAGTGCGTTTATACAGCGAGAGCAAGGTAATTGTTGTGGAGATATAAAAAGATAGTTAATCGAGTGTAAACAAGGGTCTCTAGACCTTTCACAATATTATAGAGGAAAATGTCTCTTAAATGCAGTAGGTACACATTTATTTTCTACTTTAATTCTCGTTGGTATTTCATCAGATGACGTTTTAGATATAAACACAAAGCTTCACCCTTTTCTATTTGATTAAAAAACTACTGGACTTGCAACGAAAGTTTATAAATATTGGTAACATTTAATTACTATTAAAACATTTGCGTCATTTTTCCAGATCATGTACTTGCTACGGTGCACCTCAAGGACGAGGTGGTGATCCAGGTGTACTTTTTGAGGGTACACCACATTGTGAAGCTGTTCATGGTGCTCTTTATGATTGCCTCAGAGCACTCTTTGGTGTTTCTGTTGCTGGTATTCTAGCTTGTATATTTTCTTGTATGCTAGTTTATCAGTTGCTTAGTCATGAGAAGAAAAAAATGTATTGGGAACAGTTAGAGCTCCGGTAAGATTTTTTATATACTGTACAATTCTTTTTATAGAAGATGACCTATTTATAGAAAAAAATATCTTTTGCCGCGAATTAATAAACCCTACTTTATTTTAAAAAAAAAGTTGAGTTCTAAAACAACAAATTACTTCAATTTACTTTACTAGAAGTTTTGATGTTCTTAATTAAAAATTGATCAGCATCATGTAACAATCAATTTCCAAGATAAATTACTTTTAGAATAGTCAATAACTTGTTTAAAAATAATTAGCAAGTTTTATATAATTATGAGTAAAGTAATTAATCGATGACGCTGATAAAATGATTGAATATCAGATGTAGATCGTTGTACGGGCATGGAGGTGGTGCTCCCATGAGTGGTGCTCCAGCAGGTTCTTGTGGCTGTTGCAACGACTGTGGTGGTGTCAATCCCTGGTGGGCTCAAACCCCTGGGAATCTCTACACTCCAAATCCTGATTTAGCACCGTCTAGGTAATCCTTACAAGCCACATTAATATCTAATCTTTATTCTAATCCATATTCCGCAGTACTAATTGCTTTAACGCTTTTTTCCTTATTCCCTAAATAGAAGATGGCGCTTACCCTGGTCACGTTCACGAGGCCCAGCACCGAGTCCCGATTCCAATTACGGCTTCCATGCACAATCTATGAGACACGCACCTGAAGTAACTGATTCAACACGTGACAACACAACAGCTATTCCCAATCCTTATGGTCTCCTAGATACCCGACAACCTACAACCCCTTATTCCGTCCTAAATGGCCAGAACACGTCCTACACAGCCAGCACTGGTTCCTATAGCGTTCTAGAAACGCCAGTACCACTTTGGGGACCTCCACCTCCTTACAGTGATCCCAATAGTCCAGCAAGAAGACCACAAATTGTTGAACCTAAAGTTTCATCCTCTGGTGCTTCTACTACTCCATCGACTCCTGCAATTGCTGCTTCTCCAGCTCAACTACCACCACCAAACAGAATTATTAAAAGGACTGGGGATATATTCGATAACAATGAAGGTAATTGGCCTTTTTTCCAACCAAGAATGTACGTCCTGAATTTTTTATCGAATTTCCTGAAGTAACTTACAGTTTTAATTAACGAATTGTTATAGAACTTCGATAAAATTATTCAAGTATAAATAATGTGTTCTTTAATTTTTATTAACTACCAATCAATAATCGATGAAGTATTTTATTTATCAAGAATTAACTTGTTTAGAATTTCAAATTGCTTTATTACCTGATAAAAAATAGTTATCTACTTCGATAATTACATTATATAATTTTATTTTAGATCATCATCCGCCAAGAGCTCTCCAACACTGTCCACCATCAGATAATTATGAAAATACTGAAGAAATATCGACTAACACTGACGCAGAGTGTAGTGGTGTTCATGAAGGGGCTGCAATGAAACGAAAAAGATCTCGTCGAAATTTAAAAGGAGTAGAAAATGATGGCTTTCAAAAAGAATCCAATAATCAAATGACAGCTAATAAACAATCAGAAAGTGAATTATATTTCGGCGATGTATCTTCATGTTGTGGACCAGAAAGCAGTTTGTATGAATTAGCAGTAGAAAAAGAATCAACAGGAGATGAAGCTCAGCAACAAACAGATTATATGCAATCTCGTATGAGCAAACATCGATTATCTAAACGATCTCGGCTTCCTTTACCATTGCTTCCACCGCAGCAACAAGCATCTCATCAAGATCTAGTTCTAGACACCTCAAACGATCGTAATTATAGTAATGGAGATGAGACAATAGCTTCAGCAGGTGGTTTTCTCGCTCCTGATGCTCAATACGAAGTTATTCAACAGAGTTCTCATTATGGTTATTACATGTCGCAAGAAGATGAGTACCGAGAAGCTCCCTCTACCTATGCTTTCTATCCTCGAGACGCTGGTGATGCTGAAGCACCAACCCGAGACTACAGAGGGATGATTGGAGATGAAGAAAATGAAAGAAATGCATCAATGAATGCAGCAGGATCTAATTTAGATGAGAATCCATCTCATGAAATGATAGTGGGGAGTAGAAGAGGTGGAGATCATCAGTGTTGCTCAACAAGTAATGTCTCAGAAATTAACACAGAGTGGAAAAATGTAGAACAGTCCAAGTCAGAAGATGGTGTTTGTCCAATAAATGTTTGAAAATATTCGTTTTTATAAAAAATATAAAAAGTTTTTGTGATGACTGTAGATGATAATGCATACTAATAATGATAAAAAATACGAAGAAAATTATTATAATGAAAACTGACTGTCTTGTGAAATTGATCACAGTAGAAGAATAGTAGGCAAGAATCATCAATACCATCATAGTATTGCACGTAGAGAAATATAAATTAATAAAGAAGTGTTGTAATTGTTGTTGACTAGGGAGTAAAAAATTTTGTTTTTCACCCGCCGAAGGACCAAGGACAATACTAACCGAAAATAAATAAAATTACATGATACAACAAATAATAACAATAATAATAAATAGTATTTCTGTAATATTAATGATAATAATAATCATAATATTAATAATTACTTTTCCTATAAACCCATAAACTATAATTGTATACATGATTACTATTGCACCAATGTGCAATTCATAATAAATTATAAACAAAAAATGACAAATGTAAATCGAGAATAATTTTTCAAAAAATCCGTTAAATGAATATTTTGTAAAAAAATCGACTGACGAATTACGAATACAAACTGAAAAATAATAGTTATTATTGTAATAGTAATAATGATAATAATTATAACAATAATCATGATTGAAGGAGTAAATTCGATCTTAAGTGTTCGAATTATTGAAATAGTTTAACGTTGATTACTACCGTTGATTGAACTAAAGTGTACCTTCAGCTTCTATTGAGAAGCTTATCTTTGATCAATGTAGATGTATGTAATTATCAAAATAAATTTTTTTTATATAAAAAAAATTGTGTTATCTCTAAAAATTATTCACATATTTCTGCTGAAAAATGAAAAAATTTGAAAAAACTTCTTCTTATTGATTTTAAGAATATAAATAATCGTTGGGACATGAAAAAAATTTTAAAGGATAAAAAATAGAATTTTTCATGCTTTAATGCATTTAAAAAGATAAATTTGAATTATGTTGATACAAGGTGCCTCACAAAAAGCAAAAAAATCAATAAATGCATTTTTATCAGGATGCGAGTTGGATTTAAATGCTAGCTGTGCATCAGCCTTTAAATTTTGATCCTTTAATCTCATCCATTGACTCCCGAATTGATGATTCTTTCCGTTAACTATCAATACATCAGCAATGGCAGATGTAAGATATGTCGAGCACACGCGGGACACGCGCCTCAAACTCCAACGGTCGCAACAGCTGCTTGAAAAATCAACTCTACACTCAACTCACTCCAAGTTCTGATGCACCTTTCCATTCTTCACATCTTGCATCAATTCCTACATTTTTTTGATTCAGCCAAATTTATTCTATGAATTCATCAACAATTTTTCAATTAAAAGAAGTAATTAACTATTTGTTAATTATTTATTAGAAACGAGAAGAAAATTTATGACCAAATATGATAAAATGCTAAAAAGAAGTTAGGATAAGTTTACTATATACACTGAAAGTGGGCCTGGCATTACATTACGTCAATGGTGGTGGTAATGGATAAGCAGTGGAAGGGAGGAAGACACCGGGCCCATATTACCCTGTCACAAGCCACCCCTCCGCAACAAACGAAAACCGTCATTCTGTTCATACCAAGTGCAGCTGCCAGTGCTTCGTAATGCGGCTGTTCGATTAGGCTTTTAGTATAGTTTTAACGTGTAAAGTGACCAGTTTATTCCTAAAAATCATGTCTTTGTAACAATTATTACACGTTAAAATGATTTTAAAAATTGTCAAAAAATAGTATATTTAATTTTAATTTGAAATTGAACAATAAATAAAATAAAAATAGCAATTTGATTATCTTTAAACAAAAAATAAATAAAACAATGTGTAAAAAAGTTTGCCTTGAGATAACCGAGCAAGTGATTTCTCCAATTCAATCAGTTAATTTTTCCTTAGAGACCTGGAAAAGACCATCATACACCAGCAGTGTTTATGTGATTTTAATTGGTCAATGATTTGATTAATTACAACAAAAGACTTAATTGGCTCGCTTTTTTTTAATTTTTTTGTGTCTAAAATTTAGTTGTTTACAAGTTTAGAAAACAAACCAAATAAAATGTCACAACCGGCTCCAGTGCATTGTTATACAAATCCATCATTTTGTCGTCAATCAGAATATTTACCTGAAGATCATGATGAGCTACCACCCCCTCCGCAATTTCAAAGTATCGAAGATCTACCCCCGCCACCACCACCAGTTACAGTACCGATTCCGATACAAAATCATACAGAAAATTATAATCAAGGACATGCAAATCCTGCATTTCAAACGAAACCCGAACCTGATATTGAAATCGATCGTTATGCCAAAACCCAGGATCGGTATTGTTATTTAGATGAAGCCCCACACAAAGAAGTGCAAGAAAGTCGTGTTGTTTACGAACGTAATTCTCGGAATCGGTATGAGTACATTGACGATGACGAACCGCCAGTTCAGCACAATCGCCTTCAAAGAAGAGCATCTTTGTCGCGATTTGAAATTCATAGTCAGCGGCAAAATCAACAGTTTGTAAGACAAGGAAGTTATCACGGTCAACAGCTGCGAGGCTACGAAGATCTCGATGGAAACCAAAGGGTCCGTCGTTTTCGTCACGACGGAAATGACCGTTACGCTTTGGTGCCCGCGGACGAGGGAAATATTGATAGAGACTCTTCTTGGCTAAGTGGTGGACGTTCTTCCCCTCGTGGTATGTATTTCCTTACTTTACGATGCAATATGCGTATAAGTACTCATTAACCGGTATTCATATGCCTTGTTATTATTTCATGTTTTCCTCTATTCACTGACCACCCTCTGACTTAATATTTTTGCTTGCTTTTTTATGTTACTTTATATTAAAAATATTGTTATAATTATTTTTGTGGTATTTTTTGAAGGACGATATGCAAGAGTGCCCATGCAGGAAGATGATCCTCCAGTATTACCTGATCGGAATTTGCAGAACCAACCAGAACTTAGGGAGAATACCTTTTCATCGAGAAATAATCTTGCTACGCAAAAACTTCATGAAATATTGACTACTCCGAGAAAGCCAAGATCTAAATCAGAAGATAGAAATTTATCACCGGGTAAACATGAACGAGGTACTCCTCAACGTGGTGCACAATACACACCACCCATCAACACTACATCACCAACAGGTATTGTTTGAATTTTTCAAATGTTAATTAACTTTGAATGTCATTGATGAATTAATTATGATCCTGCGATAGAGTCATTTATTTTTGTTTAGGAAGATGACTTTTATTTATTTAATGTCCCCATGTATCTAATGTATTTTTAGAAGATTTAAAATTCTAAAAATTTTATTTTAAAATCATAACCTTTAGTGGGGGTTCTTGGAACCCTTATGTTAGCTCCAGAGGGCTTACTATTTTTATTTTCTTTCCTCAAAGAAATCTCAATTTCAAAAATAATATTTTTTCCAAAAACTTGTATTTTATTTCTATAAAATTGTAACCGTTACTGGTAATTTAAAAGCAAACTATTTGATCGAAAAATGTCATGGGTAGATGATGCTCTTCTTTTCTTCGTATGGTTTTGATAAATACATAAACACACATTTGTGTAAAAATTCCATGAATCATAAAATATTAAGCCCTCTCGTAGAGATAATGTCAATTTTAAAATTAGTGTTTAATTAAATTGAACTTCACATCAAGCTAAATTAATTGTTGAATAAATCAGGTCGAGGAGTAATCCCAGGATCAAGTAGGAGAGGAACTCCAATAGGAACACCACAGCGTACATTTTCCCCAACTAGAGTTCCACAAACATCGACACCAAACAAAGAGACGCCTTCGGCACGCAGATGTTTACCTTTAAATGAACAACAGGAAATTTGTCCAGCAAGTAATTGCGGAAGAGCTCGCTATTCTCAACGTCGAGATGGGACATCATCGTTAGCTACATCTCCAACAGATTTTAATGAGCTACCACCACGTTACGCTTTTGTTGAATCAAACTCCGACTCTATGCCTATGGTTATTGGCTCACCTAAGTACCAGGTGTTGTCAACACGTTCTGAATCACAATCACAACTAAAAAGGAATGCATATCAAAGTGTAGAAAGTGCTTTTATTGCACGTACAGCTGTGGTGAGTAATCTCATTCATTTTTTCCATCTAACAATTTATTATTTTATTCGTTAATTAACCTTTAGATATCTCGTTGATTCATTTATAATTAGTTTACTTTAGTTTTTAGTCATTGTAGTTAATTAACGTTTTATAAACTGGACTGATTAATATTATCATTCATTCTCATTAGTTTAAAACAACATCAACAAACAACGATTAAGCTTAATTCATAAATTAAAAAATAGTCTATCTAGAAACAAATTATCTAAGCAGTGTATTTAATGATTTCACTGTTTAATAGTCCATTAAATAATGAATTTTACTAAAAATTTCATACCAAAAAAATTGTCAATCTAATTTTAGTTTTTATCAAACAAAAGCAACAACAACAATTATATAATGACATTTCTTCTATCCAGGTACCTCCGTTATCACCACCTAATAGTGAAATGAACACAACTCAAACTAGTGGAATAGAGAAAAATGAAAAAAAAAGTGCACCATTACTACTTGTTCTAGTTGGCATCTTGACTTGTGGATTAGCACTTTATTTATCTTGGACTCAAGGGAGGAAGTATGTAATTTTAAATCATGTCATTATTTTTTTTTCTCTAACTGTTCACCGATTCATTTTATGAAACAAGAAATAATCTTTTAATAATAAAAGATAGTTTATCAAGAGAACATTTGCAGATTGTTGAAGTAATACACCAATAATAATGATAATAAATAATCTTCTTTTAGATACTACTTAGATAGTGCAGCAGGATGTGGAGCTTGTTGCGCTTTGGTTGGCATTTGTCGAAGTCTTAGGCGTGCCTGGACAGGTTTAGGACTTGCTGGTTTATCAGCACTCAGTTGTGCTGGTTTATTATTACTTGCAGCAAAAGCACCACGACCAGGAACTCCACTCCATGATGTGACAGCTGGTGCACTGTGCGGTATTTCATTACTTGGAGTGTCATTAGCTTTGATAGCACTACTCAAGCCTAAATGTCATTTCGGTCGTCACCGACGTGTTCATTCTTGGATGCCAAGATTTTCACCTTAAATTATTTTGTACTTATTTTTTTATCTTTTAAATTTCAATTGTATTCTTTAATGTAATTATAACTCAAGTCATTATTATATTTAATAAACGTTATTTACACTCTTCTATTATAAGTAATAACGTATTTAAGTGTTATAAGATTTTATAAATAAATAAGCTCAATAAATAAACTTTGTTTCTTTATAAATTATGCTTCTTGCTTTTATTTGATTATATTCAACGTACGGATTATGAACAGCCAATTGAATTATAAATCCAATATTCTGAATAACTAATATTAGACTTTTAGTTTTTACAATCTTCAGTGAGTAATGAGTATAAAATTAAATTTCTATAAAATGTTATTTAATCATTTATCTATCATAACTTAGTTTAAATAATCTTATGAAAAATAATATTTCTTAAAAGTAATTTTTTTTATTTAGACCAAGTAAAAATCTTTTTTTATATTTTCAATAATAGATATTATTGAAAAACTATTATTTGAGTCAAGTTGCACTTTATTAATTACTTATTATAAAATAAAACTTTATTCATCGCAATGAATCCGAATTAATAAGCTCTTAAAAAATATAACAATACGCTCTCTCTATTTTTTTCTGTGATACTAAGAGAAAATTGGTGTCAGACCATCGAAAGAATGACTTTCAATTTATTCAGCTTTTTCTTTAACATATATTCCCCCCCCCCTATTAATGCTGGGTCCTATCAAAAAGCACCTAAACATTTAATTTCAGGTGTGGTAGGGAAAGCTGGCATTTGGAAGTGCGTATGTATTTTTTTCTAGTACTACATCATACTGACAATAACATTCGATAGTTAGACAATAACATGTGACACCTACAGTGTGGAATTATCATAATTTCTTTAGTGACGTGTCTTTTTTTTAATTACAAAATAAAATTATTAAAAAAAATAGCAGAATGGGTGTTACTTTGTGCATAAAACTATTACTTATCGAATTTTTTATTAATTTAATTACGGCTTGTAAGTAGAACAGAAATTAATAAATAATATTCCTTCTCAATATGAGATTTCTGATGTTGATACTGCTTAAATGGATCAATAGTTGTTTTTTTCCTTTATTATTTATTAATTACAAGAAAATAATCTAAAAATATTTTTGTATGCATATATTAAATGCAGAAAATATGTCATGTCATTTATCTAATTTTTATAAAATTAATTTAGTCATCTAAGTAGTACTTATTAAATTATTATTGTCTAATAAATGGCATGAATATAAAGTAGCTCATCAAAATGACTGAAACAGTTGTAAAGTTAACATAAAAAAATACTTTACATTTCAGACCATCACTGTAACACTCCATTATTAAAAAAAGCACAAGTTAGTGCTTCATCATCCGCCAAAGGTCGAGATCCATCAGAAGTTCGTCTTGAAGGTACAGAAATGAACAAATAATTATGTTCTAGTCATTATAAGAACATAATTAAATTTTAAAATAAAAATATACTTTTTCTAATCTATTAATATTTCACATTTTATTTAATGAATTCAACCTGTAAGATTTCATGCCGTTAGAACAGGTGCGATAAACGTCGGAAACAATTAGTTTGAAAATTCAAAACAGTTGGGAAATTGTGTGTAGCAATGAGTCATGTGTTTTTTTTTGTCGAATTCAAATATTCAGTGACTTTAGTTGACAAATAAAATATCAACCTACGAAAATGACTTTCTAAAACATCGATGGTATTTGATATTGAGGAAGAAAGTAATAAATTTTTTTGATAGGAGTGAAGTCGTGGACTGCTAACAGTAATGATGCTTATCAACATTTGATAATCGACCTGGGTGAAGCCGTGAGTATTACTTCGATAGTGACAAAAGGAAATAAAAATTATGATGAATATGTTACGGAGTATACTATCAGCTACGGTACTAATGGATTTGATTATACAGATTATAAAACGGAAGAAGGCTATATCAAGGTAATCAATTTATCATCACTTTTCCAGTCATAATTTTAAGTTCATACTTTTAAATAAAATCAAAAGTTTTCAATCAAAAAAAAATTATTGAAATAAATTAATATTGTTTTAATAGATATTTGACGGTAATACTGATGGAAATTCTGAAAAATCGAATGTATTTGAAGTACCCATTGTTGCACAATGGATTAAAATAAATCCTATTCGATGGTTTCGTCAGATTTCTATGAGGATTGAGCTCTATGGTTGTCATTATGGTAAGTAATATTACCAAAGATTCTAATAAATTCAACAATTTTTTACAAATTAATTTTTAATTTGTTACTTCCAGCTTCTGATGTTATTTCATTTAATGGAAATTCAATAGTACGCATCAACTTGTTTCAAGAACCTATTGAAACTGAAGAACATTCCTTAAGCTTTCGATTCAAAACCAATAATGCTGATGGAATTCTAGTCTATTCACGTGGAACACAGGGTGATATTCTAGCAATACAATTGCACGATAATAAATTGTTATTAAATATTGATCTGGGTTCTGGAGTTATGACGAGTGCATCTATTGGAAGTCTTCTTGATGATAATATTTGGCATGATGTACTTATTTCACGAAATAAACATAATCTTACACTTTCTGTTGATCGAGTGGTAGTTAGAAAAATAATTGAAGGGCCATTTAAAAAATTAAATCTTAATCAAGCGGTAAATATTATTATAAAAAAATTTTTTTTTATGAAGCTTGTGTTATAATTTTTAGAAAAAAATTATATTTTATTCTATTTAACTAATAGCTCTATTTTGGAGGAGTACCTAACATGCAAAAAGGACAAGTCGTGTTTCAAAACTTCACAGGCTGCATGGAAAATTTTTATTTAAATAAAACAAACTTTTTCCGGCAATTGAGAGAAGCTGAATCAGTTGGAGAAGCTGGTGAATATATGGTTCGAATGAATGCTAACTTCGGATGTTCAGAATCTTCTGTAGTTCCTGTGACGTTTTTAACAACTGGCAGCTTCGTTCGACTCCAAGGATGGGAAGGATCTCAGAAGCTACATATTTCTCTATCATTTCGGACATTTAGAAGTGCTGGATTACTTGTTCTTCATTCATTTCGATCTTCAGGAAATTTCAAGGTATTTTAATAGGAATTAAATTTTTATGAACTCCTATTGAAGATTTCTTTTCACATTTACTAAATTGATTGTAAATTTCTTTTAGTTATTTTTAGAAAAAGGAAAGCTTATAATGCAAATCTATACTAAAGAAAGCCCTGAAGCTATTCTTGATAATTTTGAACAAAGATTTAACGATGGAAAATGGCACAAAGTACTTTTGGAAATAAAAAAAAATAGCATTACTTTGGAAATTGATGAAGTTACTACAAAGATTTCTAAACGTATCGATATTCAAACAGGAGAACATTATTATATTGGAGGAGGACTCTTAGGATCTCCAAGATTCGTAGGCTTTGTTGGATGCATGAAACAAATTAGCATTGATGGCAGTTATCGATTACCTGCTAACTGGAAGAAGAACGATATGTGCTGTGATAACGAAATTCTCTATGATGCTTGTCAAATATTAGATCGATGTACACCAAATCCATGTAAGCATAATGGAATATGTACACAACCTGCTGATGAATTTGAGTGCAATTGCACTAAAACTGGGTACACAGGAGCAGTATGTCGTACATGTAAGTTAATTAATTAATTAATTAAAGAAGAGAGCTCATAATTTATCAATGAAATATAATAATTTCAAAAATAGATAAATGTTAGGACTTATTGAATTACATCTGTTTCAAAAATTCTTTCGGGGATGATTAAAATTAATATAAAACAATTTTTTTAGCGAATTATCCCTTGTCATGTGAGGCCTATAAAAGTGTGCATTCTGTTAGTCAACAAGAAAATATTTATATTGATATTGATGGAAGTGGTCCACTAGATCCTTTCCCAGTGACTTGTGAATTCCATGCTGATGACCGTGTATCAACCATCCTTCGACATGATCATGAAAATCCAACACTCGTAGATGGCTATTCAAACCCTGGAAGTTATATTCGTACAATACAGTATGATGCTAATCTTAATCAAATAGAAGCTCTTTTAAATCGTTCTTCCTCGTGTCGACAAAGACTTAGTTATGCTTGTCATAATTCACGACTATTTGATATATCAGGTAATAAATCAATTGTGAGTTAAAAAAATAGTAATTTTAATAATATTTATTATTAATGATTATGAATAATTTCAGATCCTCAAAGTGATGTTTTTGATCCAAACTCTTGGTGGGTAAGCAGAGGTAATGAAAAGATGAATTATTGGGGTGGCGGATTGCCCGGATCTCAAAAATGTGAATGTGGAGTATCAGGAACTTGTATAGATAAAAAAAAAATGTGTAATTGTGATGCTGGCTACAGTGATTGGTATGAAGATGGTGGAGATATATTGGAAAAAGAGTATCTTCCTGTGCGACAGTTAAGATTTGGTGATACTGGTAATGTTGTGGATGATAAACAGGGACGGTATACTCTTGGTCCACTTATTTGTGAAGGCGATGGTAAGTATGATTATTTTTTAATGATTATTGTTTAAACTTTAAAGTAATTGAAGATATAAATAAATGAAGATGTTTTGGAGTAAAAAGAATGAACAGACCAAATCGTCTATTCCCGGTTACAAATCGATATTCAAAAAATTTTTGAAAATTTTGATAGTTTATTTTTAATTACCACTATTTTACCATTAGAATACAATGTTGAGTTATTTACATATTTTTGTTTATTTTTACAGATGTATTGAATAATGTAGTAACCTTTCGGATACTTGATGCTACCATCGATCTTCCAACATTCGACATGGGACATAATGGTGATATATACTTTGAATTTAAAACAACAATCGAAAATGCAGTCATAATCCACAGTACTGGACCGACAAATGATTTCATCAAAGTCTCCATTGTAGCTGGCAATCAGATTCAATTCGAGTATAAATCTGGAGAAATTGTTCAGACAGTCAGTGTTCAAACATCTGATCGCCTAAATAATAACAATTGGCATTCAGTTACTGTTGAACGAAATCAAAAAGAAGCCCAAGTAATCATAGATGGAGCCATAAAAAATTCTGTTCGTGAAACACCAGGTCCTATTCGTCCACTACATCTCACTTCAAATTTAGTTATTGGAGCCACAACACAATTCACTGATGGTTTTATTGGATGTATTAGATCTCTTTTACTAAATGGAGAACTTCAAGATCTAAGACAATATGCAAGACGTGGAACCTATGGGATTGGTGAAGGTTGTGTTGGGAAATGTGTAAGCAACCCTTGCCTTAATAATGGAACATGTATAGAAAAATACAATGCCTATGATTGTGATTGTCGTTGGACAGCATTCAAAGGTCCTATTTGTGCTGATGAAATTGGAGTTAACATGCGACCTGATTCAATGATCCGTTATGATTTCACGGGTAATTGGAGATCAACGATTTCTGAATATATTCGAGTAGGTTTCAGTACAACTGATGCTAAAGGATTTTTACTAGGATTATCTTCGAACATTTCTGGAGAATATTTAACAGTGATGGTATCAAACAGTGGTCACTTAAAAGTAGTTTTTGATTTTGGTTTCGAAAGACAAGAATTGATTTATCCGACGAAACTATTCAATCTTGCACAATATCATGATTTAATTATCAAGAGAGAAAATGAAGGTGCAACCATGTTACTTATTGTTGATGGTAACGAACCTAAAAAATATCATTTTAATATAAAAACTTCTTCTGATGCACAATTTAACAATATTCAATACCTTTACATTGGAAAAAATGAATCGATGACAGATGGATACTTTGGATGCATCTCAAGAGTTCAATTTGATGATTTTTATCCTTTAAAGCTTTTATTTCAACAAGAGGGTCCAGCTAATATCAAATCAACAGGTGGACCAATAACAGAAGATTTCTGTGGCGTTGAACCTATTACTCATCCTCCAAATGTTGTAGAGACTCGACCACCATTACACATTGATCAAGCAAAACTAAAAGCTGCTTTTCACGAATGGAATAAAATAATTCTAGGAAGTGTTTTATCAATCTTATTTATTGCTTTAGTAGCCATGACTGCTCTTATATTAAAGTATATATCACTACATAAAGGAGAATATTTAACTCATGAAGAAAAAGGTTCTGAAAATGTTGATGATCCTGATTCTGCTGTAGTCAATTCAATCAGAGGACATCAAGTTGAACGAAAACAGGAATGGTTTATGTAAACTACCTTAAATTTAGAAATTTAAAAAAAAAATTATTAAATGTAATTTGATATATTTTATTTCTTAGTGTTAAATAATACTGATTAGCTGTAAATATTGTAAATAAACAAATTAAAAACTTTTTAATCATATATTAATAACGGATAAAAATTAATACGTTACATGGATTTGTAAAATAACATTTATAACGAAATTTTCCTTATATGTTGAGTATTGTGTTATCAATGATTCATTTAATATCTAGTAGGAAGCCTGCTTTCTTAAGCACAACAATCGCATTTAGTTATGGAGAATTTCTAAGTAAATTAAAAATTAAATTAATAATGTGGAAAATTATTATTTTTACTTCCTTCTTTGAAATTACATTAAGTGATAATTTAGTATCATTCCATAATATAATACCTCCAGGAGATCTTCATACTGAACAAAAATTTTTGTGTATAAGTGATGATCCAAGTGATGCACTCGTATGGAATGTTCCATTTCAAGCAAAAATACGGGAAATTACAAGACATCAGCAAGTGTATAACAATGGTAAATTAACTATGTTTATAATTCGAGTATAATTTTTAAAAATAATATCACATCGATTTGTAGAATATAAAACGGTGAAATTTTCCGATACTAAATTTCAAGGCTATAGTTCTGGAACAAATAGTCCTTGGCAATTTACACATTCGTATGAAAACCCAATGGGTCCTGTCTATGATAGCCGATGGGAACGTAAATAATATTTTATTTTAAGTAATTTATCTTTTAATTAATTTAAAACTAATGGTTGAAAATATTTTAAGATTTTAGGGAATATATGTTTGAAAATGAGCAAATGTTAAAAATATTCGATAAAAGTGGCAGCAAAGATGCCGTATTTAAAAAAACTGGTGCTCTAGTATTTTCCATAAGAGGACCTTCAATGGTTAATATATTTTTGTGTCAAACAATGAATATAAAGAGTGATTTTTGTTATTGGATAGAAATGTATGGTAGACAAAATATGAAAACAAAAATTCAACGGTATGAACACGGAATACATGGAAACCATTCAAGCAATGACAATAGCCAATCCGATTCTATTGTTGTGAATAATTTTTTCAATCGTTATCACATTTATTATTAATATTATTTAAAACTGATCTCTTAAACATTAAATTTCAGATTCCACTTGATATCGATAAATGGAAAACATTTGTACTTAAGTGGGAAGAAAAAGAAAGAAAAATTGAATTATACGATGAATTCAAATTAATTTTAACATATATTGATAATGATCATGAATATACTAACTTTCCCGCATATTATATTTTTTTCTCAAATCCATCCTATGATGTATTTATTCGTTTTCATGAATGTAAGTATAAATAGTTTAATTATGTCCAATGTAAAGTTTATATCTGATCATGTAAATTAAATTATTCTCCTGATTTTTTCTGCGAAAAAGATGATTATATTTACACCACGAAAAGTGGAATTAAGATGGAAAATTCAACATCCTTCAACTATTTTTATTGGCCACAATATTTTGATAGAGAATTTTGTATCGAGATGCTAGTAGGTTTATGTAGTTATTGTGGACTGAGAATATCCGCAGTAGATGCATCAGGAAAAATTATAATGATGCAAGAAGTTTTACCTGATAAAGCCATTCATAATCTGCCCATGTGGAAGAAAGTTAAATTCTATATTCAAAACACTCACTATATTGTATATCCTATTAAACTTGAAATGGTAACATTTTTAATAATCTCAGAAAAAAATCAAACAGGACATTGGGCTATTAATAAAGAAATAACCAGATGCTATCCAAAAGGTTTTTTGATATGTTATTTCATATACTTCATTTCTATGTATGAACAGTAATTGATTTTTCTGTTAATTATTACAGATGCACTTAAAAAAATATCCTTTAGTGTATCTACTAATTTAAAGAGCAAAATTGTTCCGATTGGGTGTCAAAGGTTTTCTTACAACGCTACACGTGTGGAACTTTTAAATTTGCGTGCTTCTCTACAATTTATGCCAATAGGTTTAATTGTAACACTCAATACTAACAGAAAAAATTGCTGAAAATATATTTTACAATGTTTTAGAAATATCTAATGTTTTTCAAAATTTTTAGATGAAAATGTTGAAAATTGTTCCTCGAAAATGATAGGACCATACTGTGCAACTAATTGCAATGATTATTTTGGAAAAGAATGTGATTTCTTGATGAGATGCACAAAAAATCATTGTACTTGTAATAACTATTACCCAGGCTGTCAAAAGGGTTAGTGATAATAAAAAAAATATTAAAACGATTTTCGATTATTATCGAAATTCTCTAAAGAAAATACTTTACAGGCTCAAGAATTTATCCTCCTTCTATCGCTAAAATTACAACAACAAGTGCTTATGCATTTTTCAAGGCAACTGATGAATATGTGAAAAATTGTGTTTCAATTGGATTCGAACTTAAAGTATAAATGAACTAAATAAACGATAGAAATATTATTTATTTATTAACAATAATTGAAAACACGTTAATTTTTCAGGACGATAAAAAAACAAAAAGATATGCTGGAAGATTAGGTAAGAGTAACATTTCTAATGACAAATATTATCACACTACTTTCACTAATTTGAGACCTGGGACTAAATATTCTGTTAGAATGTACATTAGTTACAAATATGGTAACACATCGAAAACAATTATGGGAGATACTGCTATTTTTAAAACTATGTCTATGAGTAAGTTTTGAAGATAATTAAATTACAGCATCAATGATCCAAATAAATTTCATATCAAATTCCATCAGCTCTAGGTATACCATCGCTTGTTACTATGATCCAAGAAGGTAAAGGTAAAGCTATCTTAAGTTGGAAACCTCCTACTGTTGAAGGAGACAAGATAATAGCATTTTTAATTTCTGAAGAAATAATTGCAACTAAGTTAGAAGTAAAACCAACTCTTAAAGAAAAAAAAGTTATCGAAATTCCTTTCTCTGAATCTATCTCTGAATATGAGATACTTTTAAATCTGTTACCATCTACGCATTATAGAATATCTATTCAAGCAAAAGGTGAAAAAGGTGAAGGAAACTCATCAACAATAGAAATCAAATCCCAATCTGCATTGGCTTTTAAATATGAACCATCAGCTACTGTAGATGATAAAAATCGTCAAATAAATATTATTATACCTCCAGTACTTAATAATACAGAAAATAGTATGCTTTATATTATCGTAAAAGGATCACCAATTTGTAAACAAGGTGGATCATTGAGTTTAAACTTGAGAAAAATAATTAATCTGGAAGATGATGAAGTCTCATGGATGGCTGCTACTTTTTCGGTAAGATTGGAAAAGATTCATGCTTATAAATAGTCAATTGTTTTTTTTGATAAACTGTTGTTTTCCTTAGACATCTAAAACAGCAGATAAACTGTTTATAGTTGGAGATGAACTTATTTATAATGATGTTATAGCAAATTGTCCACTTCATTCAGGTAGTTCGTATGTAATATATATTTTGGTACGTGAAAAAGGAGACCAAAATGAACTACAAGAATTTCCGGCACTTCTTTGGAAATCTCCAAAATTTTATATTAGTTCTAATGATCAACATTGGAAGTATTGGGCAATTCCTTTAGCTGTGCTTATGATAATATTATGTGGGATTGCTTACCGTTATTTAAAAATATAAATTATTATTTAATATTTTTAATAAATATTTAAGAATAAAAAATAGTTAATTAAAGATAAATCTCAAATCAAAATATGTTGTTAAAATAAATTGAAACTTTTCTCTTGATAACTAAAAAAAGTTTATCTTTTTTATTTTGATGAAAATTATATAAATATTATATATTTTTCATAGTTTCACCGTATTTCCTTATCAATGATTCACATAATCTGCGGCAGGAAGACCAATTCCTCTAACACCACTATCGTTTTTTACATACCAAGATTCAGTTAGTTTTTGAATTCTTGAATGTTTCACAACATAAAGTCTTTTAAAGTTATAACAACTTATTAGAATGAACTTGGCTTGTTTTATTATTATCAATTTATTTATTCAATTAGTATCAAGCAGTCACTTGACTATTTTCCGAGATGAACCGAAGTATTTAGGCTACACTCGGCAAATGTCTCGACAATTGTTATGTGTCAGTGACAGACCGAAAGACGCAATTGTTTGGAATACTAATTTATACTGGATTGATGAAAATCTCAAAAATTCCGATAGAAAAGAATCGACAGGTGATTAATTACATTAGTTCATTTAATATTATTAATATCGATAATAAGTTCAAAAATTTTGATTGATATAAGTTTCCAAACCGGTATTTAATTTTTTGAAATAGATACAAAGCTTTCGAGATTCACAGCTAATTACGAACAACAAATGAGAATCAATGTGGATAAAATGGGTTTTAATTTATGGGGTCAAGAAGGTGGCAATTGGAGCATCGTAGATTCTTGTGATATTCCGATGGGTCCAGTTTATGATAGTCGTTGGGAAGGTAAGTCTTATATTATATTGAACACATTTTCTTCTCTCTCTTACTTAAAACATTGTTTTATCCGTTCTGTGGTTTCGAATTGTATTGAAAATAATTCTTTAAAAATTCAAGGTTTCACAGATTTTGAAAGTAGCACCTTCAAGCCCATAAAAATAAAGAAAAATGGAGTTCCCACTACTCTTAAATTTGGAGCAACTGGTAGTTTAGCATTTTCTATCAGAGGACGAAAGAATGCTCACATACTAATATGTGAGTCAGAAAAATTTGAGAGCGATTTTTGTTACTGGATTATAATCGGTGGTTGGGAGAATACAATTTCTGGAATGAGAAAATGTGAAAATGGTGTACCATGGGAAATTCCACCCAATAATTCTCCTTGTCGTATCTTGCAAAATGATTATCGGAAAGTAAATAAATTATTATTTTCTAAAGATTAAAAAAATTACAACGTTCAACAACGTATTGAAAATAAATATTCATAGTTAAAGGGAAAATTTTTTGCAGATGTTACTGAGTTCTGATGAATGGAAAACATTTGTATTGACATGGGAAGAAGAAACTCGTAAAATACAATTATTTAATCCAGATAAAAAGATTTTACATTATAGTGACTACGATAAAATAGAACTTAAGCAAACTTCGAATAACTCATACTATATTTTCTACAGAAATCCAACCGATGAAATGCTATTTCGCTATCATGACTGTAAGAATTGTCTTCTATGTTTTAAAAATCAAATTTATTAATCATATAAATTTCATATTTTTTATTAATGAAAACTAGATAATTATACTCTGACAACAGACCGTGGTGCAATTCTTCGAAGTTCACCACTGATATCAGGAAATTCGCCAGATATATGTATTGATATGCTAGTAGGTTTATGTTATCATTGCAATTTAATTGTAAGTATCATAGATGGGGACAGGGAAAAAGGGACGGCGTGACAAAACTATTCAAAACGAATCAAAATATGATAACATTGAACATAGTTTGCCTATGTGGCAATAATGACAAGAATAAACAAGCAAAAGAGGGGGGGGGGGGGGTATATTTTCTGCTTATCATACTTCCTATTCACCTGGAATTGGAGCATCTGTAATTTAGAAGAAGCTGATCCAATGAAAGATCACTGGGCAATAACAAACTTCGAAAATTGTTTACCAGAAGGTATTCATTTATTTTAGTCATCTTGATAAATTTCTAGATCTCCATAAATTACTTCAATTTATTAATTATTTTAGGCACTTCAAATTCCAGTGAAATGGAAATGACAGCAACCCAAGATTATGCATCAGGTTACCTTTGGCCATCTGTTAGCTGTCAAAGACTGTCATATGAAGATCCAAAATCAGAAGTTCTTGAAGCTATTAATGTGCTTCCTACCAGTTCAAATAACTTTGAGATTTGTAAAAATTTTAATTTTGGACCAAATTGTGAAATTAAGTGCAGCTCTTTTTCTGAATTTGACTGCTATGGTGTAGAAATATGTACTAAGCTTGGTTGCTCATGTGCACAAAGGATTATACGGCCGTATTTGTCTAACACTCGTTAAGTATTTTTTACTTGTTGTTTATAATTGATATTTTATTATTGAACGATTACTCGTTTTTTAGAATGTTCGCAAGGATTATATGGTTTTGGATGTTCAAAAAAATGCAGCAACTGTAGTCTTGACAGCTGTGACAGATACTCTGGTGAATGTCTCTTAGGTTGCAAACTTCTCCACGGATTTCATTCTACCAACCCTTATTGTGATCAAGGTAATTATTTGAATCTAACTTATTGTCTCAGCGATATGTTTAATATTAAATATTTAATTCGAATATTTTATTGTTACTTCCGTCCCTGAACTCATCCAATGCATTCGTCCGATCTGACATTAAAGATACAAGTGCTCGAGTATTTTTATATGAAGAAGAAAATTATAAACTCATCAATGCTATGTTTGAATTCGAAGCCGAGGTACAATTAAAGTTTTTATTATTTGTAGTTAAATTACTAAAAAGTTCAAAAATTTTTTGTAGACAGATCATGAAAGTATTTTAAGAGAAAAAGCTCATACTAAAATAAATATTATCAATGGTACTGAAAAAAGTACTTTTTTTGCTATCTTCAATGATCTGTTACCTGGAACAAAATATGAGGTAAAAGCTGTAATGCACATTCAGTTCGAGAATAATAAATACAGACAACTCGTAGGGAGTCCGGCTAGTTTTATAACACTATGCAATTGTAAGTCACTCAAACTTATTCCTAAGCCGAGAAAAAGGATTAATGATGAATTAATTCTTATCATAATTACAGGGAGTTCAACGATTTGTGAACTAATACCGAGACGACGAAAGTTTATGATAGAATAAAAAAATCTGATGAAGTATTAACGATATTTATATTTTTGATTGTTTTCTTTGAATTTTTTCTTCAGAAAAAAATTTTTTCCCTAGGAAATTCATATCCGTGTCCGGATTCTTGGTATTCAATTGACTTATCAATAATATCACCAACGACAAATGAGTCACGTCCAGTTCATATGAACGACACTGAAATTAAATTTCCAATCACTTTATCAAATCTACATCCATTGACAGAATACCAAGTATGTATAAACGGTAGTGACAATGAGTTTCGAGATTGTCAAATATTATCCACTCTCGAAGCAGGTAATATTCTAAATATAACAATAGCGCCCAATGATAGTAAATTACAAATAAAAAATTTAAAAAACAAATTTATTCGTTCTTTTCTAGCACCACCGCCCGTAACCAATTTGCAGGAAAAATCTGTTACTGCAACTGGAGTCGAAATTCTGTGGAATTCCCCAGAACCATCAAATGGTGTTATACTAGGTTACAACTTGACTATTAAAGTTTTATATTACATCGGTTGCAAAAGTAAACAGAAGACTCCAGAAAATTTGAAAATTTCAAAAACGTATTCAAACATTGCTCCTACTACTGAAGTAATATATGAGTTAAAGAACTTAGTACCTTATGTCTTTTATGAAGTTTCAGTGTCAGCATATAATTCAAGAGTAGGAAATAAAAATAGCTTTATCTTTAGCACTAAACCAAGAGGTAAGAGGTTTTATTTCTAATTATTTTTATTATTTAAACTTATCATAGATTTAACTGATTGAAATAACTGGAAATTTTTTTCTAGACATACCTACTGAAGTATTTACTAATATAAAATTCTCACATAATCAAATTACTTGGGACAATCCAGTTGATTGTTGGACAATTACTGGCCCAATTGATGATTCAAGAGTTGTTATAACTGGAGTGAGTGAAAATGTAAAAAACTTTTACTACTCATATGACACCAAATCGCATTTTGTAAATTTAAATTTATTGAAAGCACAACAAATTTATGGAAATGAGAAATATCGAGCTGAAATTTATGTACTTCGTGGACCTGATAGATTTATAAATATTAGTGCTCATATTGATTCTCTTTTTACCACGGATCCAAGTCGTAAGTATCATTTTTACTCAATGTTTTTCATAATAATAGTATAGAAATTTTTTATTGATCATTCTTGTTAATTTGCAAAGCTCCACCGAAAGTTCAAAACCTCGAAATAGTAGAAATAGATGAATCGAATACCACCTTACGATGGCAACAACCTTCATCACCAATGAATGGCGAACTAGATTATTATAGCATCAGATTTTTAGGAAGAAATGAAAGATTGCTTAGTGAAGTAAAAGTACATCTTAACGAAACATGTTACCTTTGGAAGAATTCATTATGTAAAACTGTCCCACATCCAACCAAAACAATTAAACAATACATAGAAGTAAATATGAACTTTTCTATTCAAAATCAAGTTGCCTCAAAAATCAAGAAATCAATTTTTATATCTATTCTGATAGGTAAGAGCTCATAATAAAGGAGTCAATAATCCAGGTGAATCATTTAAAATCGTTGACAATCGTGAAGAACAAAGTAAGATTAAAAATTTATTGAAGTAATGAAAACCTTTCCAACATTTAATTTTTTTCTACGACAACATTAAACTTTTTCAACATTTCTTGTTTCTAGCTCCAGAACAACCTGAAATCATATCAGTAACAGAAATAAATAAAGGAGTGGTATATGTAAAATGGCAACACCCATCCATCACTGGTGGACCAATAAAACAATTTGTAATTATCCCAAAGATAATTGACACCGAGCTGAAAAATTATCCATATTCTAAAAATTCTGAAACCAAAAATAGTTCCAATTTCTAAATATGAGCCTGAATATTCTACTTACTTATACCTACAACCATCGACACGTTATACCATATTTATTCAAGGAAAAACAGCAACACAAAGTGGAAAACAATCACAAGAAATAATTGAAACCGCTTGTGCTTTGGACTTTCAGTATAAACCACATCCTGTTCCGGATAATGATACTTCCTTAATCAACATTGTCATTCCACCAATAGTCAATAACACAAAAGATAGCAAACTTCACATCATTGTTAAGGGTCCTTCTATTTGTAAACAAGGAGGAACATTGAGTGAACAAATGGCAAAAGATATTGAAGTTGATTATCATGAAGTAGCTTGGCGTGTGGCTACTTTTCCCAGTAAGTTCATTATTTTTAAATATTCATTGAAATCAATTTCAGCCCATTAATATTAATTATTTGTAAAGGCATATAAAACAGCAAACCTATCATTCACAATTGGAGATGATCATATTTATGATGGTGTGTCAAATTGTCCTCTCAATGTGGGTAGTACTTACGTTATTGTTATTTTGGTACATGACAAAACACACTCAAATAAAGCAGCTTTACCACTCATTTGGAAATCTGAGCCAATTCAAATTGGACGAATTCCCAAGATACATCATGAGTCATGGGCTATACCAGTTGTTTTAATTGTTTTAATTATTGGTGGAACTATGTACTACTGTTTACTTAAAAAAAGGTATGTTTCATAAATCAATCGAATCAAATGGTTATTTGAAATCTGATATAAAATTGATTCAACATGTTCAATTAATATTTAATTTCCAGGAATAAAGAGTATTTTGATAAGACACAAAGTGATGAAATGACTGAACCTATTCCAATTTACCCTATTGTCCCTGAAAAGAAGAATAGAAAATCTGAACATATAAATGAAGCAGAAGATATTTCTAATATGGTTGATATTCGAGAATCAATTTCAATTACTCCATCAAATTCTACAGAACGTTTAAATCGAACTATTGCTACTGAGTCAATATATGAAAATTTGAAAGGTAACTCGTCGATTAGAATTAATGAATTTCAAGATTACGTCAAACAGGCAATCGCTACTGGAAAATTGGATCTACAGTATGAGGTGCATTTATCAACAATCTCAATATTTAAATCAATTTAATAAAAAAAATATTACAATTGTAATAAATATTTGTTTGGTTTAAAAATATCAGATTCTTCGAAGAGGTCAAACAAAACCCTGGAAGTATGGAATAATGCCTCAAAATAAATCAAAAAATAGATATGGAAATTTAATTGCATGTGAGTAAATAATTTCCTTACTGTGATATTTACAATTGTATATATTATAATGAAGTAAAAATTATTAATTGTTAGATGATGAAACACGTGTTATATTAGAAAAGCTACCAGATGATCCTTACTCTGATTATATCAATGCTAATTACATACAGGTAATTAAAATTCGATTTATTTTCTCAAACCGAAAAATGATTTAACTTCATTAAATTTTATTAATCAGGGCTATAACAATGAGAAAGCTTACATTGCTACCCAAGGACCAAAACCAAATACTTTGATAGATTTTTGGCGAATGATATGGCAAGAAGAAATTCTCGTGATATGTATGCTAGCTAATATAATCGAAGGTGGCAAGGTATTACTCTTTCGACTCAACAATATACTAACTGATATTGAATTATTTATCAAACGTTCATCAATGTATTAGATAAAATGTGAACAATATTGGCCAGAGATTGGAAAAGAAATAAAATATGGAAAAATTACTGTGGGTAATATCAGTCACACAGTATTTGCGGATTATTCTTTTAGAACTTTTCATGTAACTTTTGGACAGAAAAGTCGAAAGGTAATTAAAAAAGACATCTAATTATTTACTCTAAGAAACATACATTTTGTCAAAAAAAAATCTTTTAGATACGTCAACTTCATTTTACGGCCTGGCCAGATCATGGAGTTCCCTTATATACTCAATCAGTGGTATCCTATCTAAAAAAACTACTTGCAACTCCAACAGGAAATGGACCAATATTGGTCCATTGTAGTGCTGGAGTTGGTAGAACTGGAACAATCATTGTATGTGATATATGTTTACGTCGTGCTGCTGGTGAAGGAGTAAGCTTATTATATGTTTATAAATATAACGATATTTACCAAAAGCTAAAACATTATATTAATTAATAAAAAATTGTTCACAATAGGTCATTGATGTCTTTGGAGAAACAGAAATGATGAGGAACCAACGAGCAAACATGGTGGACAATAAACAACAGTATCTACTTGCACATTTAGCATTAGTAGAATGTCTTTTAGCCTTACCAACATCAATTCCATGTAATGATAATCTACCATCAAACATTCAAGAATTCAAAAATCAACTTACATTACAACAGCAAAGACTTGAAGAATCTACCTGGCAAGATCGAGCTCTTCAACCATTAGCAGTTTCTCCGAAATTATCCGAGGCAAATCTTGCCAAAAATCGATTCCCTGAATTAGCACCTCTTTCTTCAAGAATATACATATCAAGATATCCAACTACAGAAGATGATAGTAATTATATTACTGGGGTTTATGTTGATAGTGCAAGAAAAAAGAATAATTATATTGCTTCTCAACTGCCATTACCTAATACTGTGGGTGACTTTTGGAGAATGGTTGTTGAATTAAAAGTTGAACTTATTGTTTTACTTCAACCAGTTGATCTCAATGATGAAGTAAGAATATAATTGAAATAACTCATAACATGCAATATTAATTAATTAAATTATTTCAGACTTGTGGCAAATTCATCCCGAAGCCTGATGAAGAAATGAAACCTGTACCATTTATAACTTTAAAAGGAAAAAGTATAGCTGATTCAGAAATTTATCTCCAACAAAGAGTAATTTTAGCTAATAGTTTAGAGGTAAGCTGTTTTGTGTATATACATATACGAATTTATATTTACATAATTAAATTAATAATGCTTTTAGAGAACAGCATTCAATTTGCAAATATTATTTTATTTTCAGAAATGTGGTAATGAGAGAACTATCACTATCCTAACTTGTAAAGACTGGAAACCAGGGAAAAATAAATCACCACCCAAGCCTGCTATTTTAGTAGATTTATGGCAAAGTGCTGAAAGAATTTCAAGAAGTGAAGAACCTACACTAGTTCTTTGCTAGTAAGATTAATTGAATATTGTTTTTATAATTCTAGCAGGAAAATTATTATTTTCAATTAATTTATTCATTTCTAAATATATTATTCATTTTTTCAGTGATGGTGTAACAGGCTGTGGTCTCTATTTAGCTCTAAGTTTCCTTTTAGAAAGAATGGGATTAGAACGCGAATGTGATGTTTGTTTGGCAATACGAGCAATAAGAAGATCTAGATCTGATTTTTGTAAATCTATCGTACGTATAGCAATCAATGAAATAATCTTACTAATCAAACTAAAAAATTCAATTAATTAAAACAATTATTTTTGTAGGACCAATTTGCATACCTGTATGATGCTGCAGCAGTATATTCTGATTATTTTGAAACATACGCAAATTTTACTTAAGTAATTAACTGTTAAAAAATCTCTATTTATCATTAATACTTTTTAAAATCAAACTGTATAAACGCTTCATTGTAATAATAAAGCTATAATATATTTCAAAAAAATACTCATTTTTGATTTTAAAATGTGAAAATTTTTAGAATGGTAATTATTTGATATTCAAATCAAAAATTTCAAATATAATAACTCACCGGGCAGGTAAAAGCACTGTTTTGCTCCAATTTTTTAGAACGCTGATGTTTACATCCAATTTATCGTTTGGCGAATACTCCACACACAAAGAAAAAACGTTTATGATTTTCCATTGAATAACATACAATTAACTGAATAATTTTTTCACCAATTTACTCACAAACTCAATTAATCACAATAATTAACACATTTAACATCTTTTAGAGACATAAAATGCAATATTTTAAACGATCTGCACAGAATACATTTGTTATCCCGTGATTGCCGAAATCGTATTGCGCATGTCAAGTCAGTTTACGCGCGCAAGCAGTGTACTTCCAGGAAAAGCTTGGACAACTTTAGAATATTAAATAAGAAAATACTATTACAATGTGCATGATTAATTAAAATTTAATTTATTTGAGGATAATTATTAATATTTAATGGTATTAATAATAAAAATTAATAAAAAAAATACTTTATTCTGTAATAACGCGTTAATCTGTAAATAAATTTTTTATTGGATAGAAGCTTATCAATTATTATTTATTGAATCATTAAGTATTTAATGATTTATAATTTCATGGGAATTAAATATTGTATTATTTTATTCTTTTTACGCTTTCTACAATAATCGATCATTCGATTTCGATAACGCTAGTTTTTTACTCCATTTTCAAATCAGCTGAAACCCAAAACTAGAAAAAACTAGAAGAGACATTGAGATTGGAAAATGAAAAAATTGATTATCAGCTCTACATACATTTTATATTCAATTATTTAAAAAACTCCAATAAATATTTCACATGTTATTACAGCAAAAATATAATAAAATAGTTTTTCATGTGCAATATTATTATTAATTACCTGTCTAGTTCATATTTTTCAATAATAAAATTATTGCAACGGCATTTGAATAGAGAAATTACCAACAATTGATAATTTAATTTGTTTGTTGGTAAAGTCAATTTCCTAGGGTAACAAGTTTTTGGATCATGTAGGGATTTTAAAACATTCATAGGAACTTTTTTTTGATTGCTTTATATGCCAGACCTGTTAAAAAAATTTCTAACTCTTTAGCACCCGACACGTGCTGTTGAAACAACAAACATGTGTGACAATAATTTAATATCTTTTGATGATGCCAAAGAACAATTAGATAACTTAATGAAATCATTGTCGAAATCAGTTCGTCAAAAATTATGTTCATACACTATACGAAAATGGATGTCAACACTAGAAGATGAAACAGGTTCGTTAAACAATCATTCATTTAATCAAAATGACAATGATAGTGATGATGACATTCTTGACGATCCAATGAATATTTTGAATTCCATCATTGCGGAAATCCGACCTAAAGTACCGATAAGTGGAATTTTTCCGTCCGAAACTTTGTTATTACCAGAGAAAGGAGAGGTTTGTATAAATAAAATACTTGTAAACGTTTTAATGATAATTTTCGTATAAATAATGATAAAATTATTCATGGCAGAACTCTATAGATCCAAAAAGCGCAGATTATGTCGATGCTTTTCTCTACAGTGATGATGAGTTAGATGATCTTGAAGAAAAAGGGATAGCACCAACCCATTACTGTCAAGATTGTAATTCAAAGAATATAAAATCAATTTGTAAGAGTCTAAATATTTTAATTTATTAATTAAATACATTAATTTACTGATTAAATCATTTTTTTCCTTGCAGCAACGTTTACTCATTCATTAAGTAAAGATGATTTGTTTTATATATTTGATACACTCCTTCCAGTTCTTCCTGGAAAAATAATTTTAGATGTTGGATCACGACTTGGTGCAGTTTTATACGGTGTAAGTATAATCAGAAATAAAAGAAAATTGATTGGGTTATTTCTAATTTAGAGTATTTTTAACAATTAATTTAGGCTTACGTTTTCACTGACGCAGCAAAAATAATTGGTGTTGAAATGAACAATGAGTTTTGTCAGCTTCAAAATGAAATAATCAAAAAATTTAAAATGGAAAAGCGTATTAAAGTATTTCATAAACGAATCGAAGATTGTGTTGACATTGTGAAGACTGCAGATGTTGTGATATTGAATAACGCGTTTGAGTTTTTTTTACCAGAAAATGAACAAGCAAAGGTTTGGAATTTTTTGAGACAACATATTAAAAAAGACGCATTCATAGTAACGAAACCTCGTATCGATGTCACGTTAAAAAATTTTGGCAATGAAGTAAACATAAATATTGATAATTGGGTCGAAGTTGTAGATGCGAATGAATTGAACGAGATCACTTGTTATAGAGTATTATGAACATTATAAAAATTTAATTCATCTATTTTTATGTTTCTTTTATTATCGCTATTTTATTTTTATTAGTTTTTCCCACTTATTCAATTAACGACAAGGTCTTGAATGCTATAGTGCCGTTATAACTTTGACATATTGTAATCTCCTGTAAAGTCAATAAAAACGCGGAAGTCGCATAATGAGAGAAACTATTATTTTAATTAGCAGTACTGGGGAATGCATGGAAGTTATTTGCAGTATGTAAATAGTCTAGTAACTACTTTTCATGGCATCTTCATCAGTACATTAGTTAAACGTCGATCCCCTTCTCTATAATAACGAGTAGGAGAAGCAACTGCCAATGTGGTCAAGTTCAAATCTCAGGTTCAGTCGGCCATTGGCTATGGAGCTTTGCTAACAAGTATTTTTTTGATTTAATTAATATTAATATATAAAAACATTAATGCCTTATACATTTAACATTTAATTGCTGAAGTTAATGAAAGTAAGAAAGTATTAAATACCACACTAGTGATGATTGCATAAGAGGATCAACTATTTATTCTGCATAAAATAACAACCAATGTAGGTAAGATGTTTCCTATAGAGTAAACGCTACTATTATATTGAATGTCTCGGTTATTAGCGGTAATTTTTGTAAAATATTCATAATCGGTTCAGTAAGTAAAACAATTAGACCAACTAACGGGTTATTTTTATAATGCAAAATAACTTACTATTCATTTCTCCGTCCTGTAGTTAATTACATAAAGTTATAGAAGGAAAAAGAAATATATGATAAGTCTAATCAGTTATCTGGAACATATATACGAAAGCCTTTAAGCCTTGAAATCGCCATTGACCCAATTCCATTTTAATGCCAACCTTCATGATACATTTATCTAGGTCTAGCTTCTTTTTGCCATAAGCGAATCCAAAATTTCACTTGTTTTACAGCTAATAACTACTTATTTTGCATAATATATCATAGATCAATGAAATACCACTGTAATAAATCTAACTAGAGCTCACACAATTATATTCCAATAGTGGTTAATCAATCTTTTCTTGATAATTATTATTATGGAACATAAGATGTGTATTAAAAAGCAATAATCATTAATTAAACTTACTAAGTAAATGCACTTAAGTGCATTCTACGCTCAAGTTAGCTGTCAAGACTATTAATTGATCAAAAGGGAAAAGATTGAAGTCTTATAATCCATGCTGTGCAGATTAAGTTCGACCACATTTGATGTTAAGTATGCGGATGTCATACCCTCTACGTATTTACAAGATTACACAATATTATGGGGAAAATAAATAAGCCATTGCGAAGACATACAAGGAACCTTATGCAATACTCTTTCGGTGTGACAAGTAAATAAAAAATAACATTCTAAGAGAATACTTGCGTGGGTGAAGGTTTTTTCAGTGTATCAAGGTATTCACATGCGTTAATTATAGAGCTATAAATGTATTAAAAACAGTAACAAATTAAAAAGTCATCTAATCAAGCTAAATAATAAAAATTATTAATCCTCGGAATAAAATTGAAATATCTGGTGATTATTCTGACGTCTGATATTTTCTCAGTTGAGTCTTATTATTTCTGCTATGTTGTTTTTTTATTTCATTTATTACAAACTGTTGTTTATTAATTGATGAGGATAAAAATATCCATATTAAAATTTTTATTTTAATTATTTTCTATAAGAAGCGAACAAGGTTGCTCATAACAGAGCCCAGGTGTTAAAAATATTTACAAAAAATTATTAATACCCACAAATGCTCTGTGGAAATATCGTCATATGTGTCAATAGTAATTAATATTGTGCGGTTGAAGGTATATGACATAAGTAAGACTCTTGGGAATATGTTTTTTTTACTGAGCTTTGTTAAGCGCATTTATAGCAGTTGATAGACCACGACTTGTACTAGTGAGTTACTTATTTTCTTGATACGAAGAGCATGTGTTGTGTTGGTCCTATTGGCGCCCTGAATGGTGATAAAATATCAGGATTCGTGCTCTTCAGGAGTAATAGCAAGAAAGATAGACGTGATGAGCTCAAGTGGTCATCGGAACACTCGGTAGTTGACAAGATAATGGAGTGATTGTATGACTGCGTTTGGAACTAAACAAGGAGAAAAGAATAAACGATAGCGGCCAATGGCTGCTCCAACGACATCATTCAATCAAAACTTTCTTGTTTCTTCTCGTGTTCTCTGACGCACGTGTGACGTCAATGAAGTAGGTAAGAAGTCGAGCACACTGATGGTGATGTGTCTCTCTTTACTTGAGACTCTTCTCGCCTCTTACTTTATTATATACATAGGTATATATGTTTTACGTACACTCAACTTGGATAGAATTACCATTCCGGTAGTTTTTTACTTCTCATATTTCGCCATATCATTTTTATCCAGTCTGTTTCTCTTTTATTTGATTATAAATGCCAGAAAATAATATAAAATTTGGATTTCGTTGACTTCTAGTCCTCATTAAATCCCTGTTGGATTTAATTTGCAGTTTTGTTTGATAATTTTTTGATGATAGACTTTCTTCATTTAGCTGACAGAATATTGCAATATATTTTTTTGATGATTTACTGGATCTTTTACTAATGATAAAGTAATGAATGTTTTTTTATCAGTGGAAGTTGATAGAATTACCATCACTGCGGTATTTCAGTCTGCATATCTTGTATCATTTTTATCTCGTCATTCGTATTTTTTTTATTTTCTAAAATCCGAAAATAGTCATTTATTAGGGTTTTGGTTAATTTTATGCTGAATTTTAAATCTTCCTGTTGAATTAATTTCTCAAATGATGGAATAGACATTTTTATTTTATTTATTTTATTCATTAAAAACATTTTAGCATGAATATGGACTGAAAGAAATTTCCATAAAATTTTTAAAATTTTCTAGAAGTACAAAAAATTGTTGTTTCAACATTTTATTTCTATGTAATGCTCTATAAAATTGGAATAAAGTTTTTGGAGTTTAAAATTGTCAAAGAATATTTTAAGAGTATTTTTATTAAATAAAACTTGTAGAATTCGAGAGAGCAAAGCGAAAACATTCGATATTGAAATTCAAATAATAAATTATAAGAGTGAACTTCTCTCCATGTTTTTAACATTAGGAGATAAGAATTCTTGACTTTTGCTATCAGTCGTACTATATTATATGTTTCACCCAGAAGATTAAATAAAACTTTCGATATTTAGTGTAGAAGTTTAGTGTTTATTGCTCTTCTATCAATCATAAAAATGGAAGAATTCCACCAATACAATTCCAACATGTCACAAGCTTATCAAGAATCTAAATCATTCTAAGGAATTTGTTTAAATATTATCATTAGGTGGTTTTATTTCCTAAATCTTGACGTATGTAAAGTTTGCTTTTTATGAAATAAAAACTCCATTTAGATGTATTTCCACATGAATCAGTGAAATCATAATTTCTCTGAACATAAAAGAATGTTTTATCTAATAAAGTTGACAAACTTTCTTTTTAAAGAAATTTATACTTATCAATATGATACATAAATTCTTGACAAGCTATGACGCTTATAAAATCATTGAGTGATATTTTTTTGTTCATTTAAATTTAAATGCCGATTATTATGAACATCTAAGTAAACTTATTGAAATTTATCAGTTTATTGAGCCAATTCATATTCATCCTCAATTATGTATTTCGAAATAAAATCTGTATGATTTAAGTGTCATCAATAGCTCATATAATTAAAGGCAAACATGAACAGATACTTATAATATTATCTAACAATAAGAGGAAATGAAAAATATCCATAATTAACTAAATTTTTTAACAAGAATTTTCTTGACAATTATAAAATATTGTAGTTTAATTAAATTTAATTAAAAATAATGACATAATGTTCAATAATAAAATTTTTTCAAGTTTATCTATAGAAGTATTAATTGACATGACAAAAACAACAAAGATTTTTATAACTATTTAGAAATTAATTAGCGGTACATTTAATCTCTGACCGCATTATTTTTTATGTCTTCTAAATGTATGACTTCATTCGTGGAAATATCATGACTAATTGTTCTTTACATGAAACAATAATTGAACTTAATACTCATTTTTTTATTATATTTGCCTTTGTATGTTTCAGGTGGAGGATATAATATTAATCAAAGTACTGGATATATAAAAAAATGACTCAGCGGCGTTATTTATTGATCATAAAACTATAGAAAATAAAAAAACCAAGTGTGATAAAGATTATTCATTAGTTATCAAAGACCTAAATCATCCAAATGGATTTGTTAAAAAATTTTATCATTGTGTTTAGAAAAGTGAATTCCTGAGAATGTGAAGACGCACAAAGATTTGTAGGTCACAAAGACTGTAAATAGAGAGGTATAATCATCAGAACAGTTATATTATTGAAAAAGAAGCCAATACACCCTGGAGACATAGAAACGTCAAGTACCGCACAGTGTATGTTAAAGAAAGAGTAGAAATTGTTGAGTATAGCAGGGGAGAGAGGCATAAAGCCCGTGCGGCACTCGACGACGCCGCTTGCAATGGCTGCCACAGCCGGCAACGATGTTCACAGCGTAACCTCGGCCCGTAAAGACAGCATGTGCTTATTTCAAACGCATCAGTCAGTGCAACAAGACCATAGACTGCAATTAGAACACCGCGGAGTGCAGTGATTTAGTAATATTCCATCAATCTATACACAATTAATTTATTTGCAAGAGGCTTGTCAGGATAAATTAATTAATAAAACGCGAGTGTACTTGAGAAATGTGGAATATTAGCAGTTAACTTGACCTCAGAAGGAATCTCTAGTAAAATGAAGTCTAAAACAACCTCAAAATCTCAGAATGACATTGGAGATCTTGATCCAAGTGAAGCTAATGAAAGGTATGATGAATTTAATGCAATAATGATGCCAGTATCGAGGACACTTAACAAAAGTCCACAAAGTGACGAAGGTATTGAGCCGGATAACGAGTCCGTTAAGGCAATTAATAGATCCTGGAGTCTAGATTCTTCTGCTAATGGCGATGATGAAGGTGTACGAAGTGGGTTATGGCAAAGACGAAGGTCTAGATTTAAAGTTACTCGGTGCTGTAGCTCTGATAGTGCTGTAATCAGTGATGATGATCAAACAAAAGGTAATAGTATAAATAAATTCGCATTAAATATATATTTTTTGTAATTTTATACTTGAGGTGTTAATTTGTCACTTGTTGCTCTAGGATGGGATAATTTAATACTTGAAGACAAGAGTGAGTGTGATTCGATAGAGGACAAGCCGAGATACTGGAGAACTCCTAGTGTTGTCGTCAGTGATTACTCAGATTACTCTTATCTTGAGGAAAAGTTTGAAAGATGTGATCTGGATATTGAGAAATACGATGGTACAAGTGGATCTCCTAGTCAGGCTAGCAGCTGTTCATGCTTAGATTGCGACGAAATACGAGACTTTCATGATCTTAGTTCTGTTGTTGAAAATCATCGTCTCCAAGTTTGTGGTCAGCGGCGTCATTCAGATTCTTGTTGTGCGTGTCTCTCATCGAATAATACTATCAATTCCGGGTAAATATGAATATAATATTTTCAATATTCTCTCTATTATATCATAGATAATTTATAAATACAGGTATATGAAAAGAGAATATTCTTGCTTACTAATTGTCATATTTGTTGACAGAATTTCCAACAACCAAAGCAGAAGAAATTCATGTCTGACTACATCGAGTTCATATTCATTTAAATTAGACTCGCACGGATTAAAATGTTCGAAATTTGATGCTTCTGAAGAGACTAAGACTACCGTTGAACTCTTAGATATCCCGCCTATTCGAAAAATTTCTGATTGCTCGACTAATTCAAGCCTCAGTGGGGATGACTTTGAGGTCACGGAACTTCAACCGTTAAGAAGGCCACAGGTAAGGATGGATTTTATCTCCTATTGAATTATAACTACCATAATTGTCTGCTTGTATTATAAAATCATTTTTTACTACCATATATCATCAAACAATTTGATTTTTTATTAATTACAGTAAGCATAATTTGTCATTAATATCATGACCTCATTTTTAGATATAATTTTATCTAAGGTTTTTTTAAAATAATTGTTCATTATAAATGTATTGCAAAAAGTGCAAGACACAACAGGTCGGTTATTATGACAACTATGTAATGTGATAGTAAGAAAAAAATATTTCTCAAAGATTATTAAAAAATTTTCTTTCGTTAAACTTGATGGTTTTAAACGAATGTAGATGATATTTTATTAAAATAATTAAAAATTTTTTTCTCTGATAATAATTTTTTATCGAATTGAAACATATATCATACATAATTAAACTTGGCAAAGTTGACGATTCAATCTTCCGCTTTCTCTTTGCCTTATTTATTATACAAGAACTGCTAATGATAAAAATAACACACATAAAAAAGAGGAAATAAAAGAAAATCAGTTGCTATATTTTTTTGTAATCTAGATACCTACTTCACTACACGGAAGATATTTAAACTTAGATATTAAACGATAGTTCAAATTACTAATGTAAATCCAGAATAATTCTTGATAGTTTTCATGCTAAAAATTTCTATCAGCAAGTTGTCAGGTAGTTTTATTACATCAAATTGCTTTAGGGCACTTGTATGAAAAGAATTAAAGGAGTAATCCAATATAGAACTTCTTACGTCATTGTACGTTATCAGCAAGTAAATACATGGATAAAATGTGAGATAAAAATAGTAGAAATTCTCCTCTGTCATTTTTCGCGCTGATGTAAAATGATAAAATCGATTTGCTACGTTAGCGATTATATTTTTATACAAAAATAAAAAGAAAGTAATGCTTTGGAAAAAAAAAATGTTGGTAAATAAAATAGTTCTTGTAGTAACTCGAGATTAAGATAAAGAAACAGATGTTTAGAAAACGTGTGCTGCATTCAAAAAATTATCTCAACAAATCTTAAGCAAGTTTCATAAGTAATAATGTCCAGCAGTTGAAACTAAGTAACCAGTCAGTTACTTGTGAGCATCGATTAAGTCCTTCTCCTGTGTGTTGTGTACAAGACAAACAGTCTCCCGTCAACGTTGAGCCGTGCCCCACGCCCACACCAGTCAGCTAAAAATGTTCTTACAAAAACAACCATAGTCTTGTTTAGTTGACTGAAGTAGCAACATCTGTGTGTTTGCAAACTTTATGTACTCATTCTTTAAGCTCAATATGTGACGTGAGCTAAAGATTAGCTGGAGTTAGATGAGGAAGTGAATCACGTGTAGGCGGAAGTGCAATCGAATGCATTTATATTTACACAACTATTCTATTCTGTCCTCGATAATCATGATGATGTTGATGATATATTTCTCTTTGTGATGCTGCTCGTGCTCATTAAACTGAAAAATCACATCCTCAGAACTCTCAAGTTAATTTATTTTCAAGTGTTGGAATAAAACTATTTTTGTATTATGGACTTGTAGATTTGTTGGATGTATAAAAAAAATCAGAATTTATTGTGGCTGATATACATTTTTAGATTTCTTCAGCTATAAAAAATATTTAAAACAGTTAACTTTTAAGTACAGTAGTCACGTACTTGAGAAAAAAAAACATTAAAAGTATGACGTGATTCTTTTCTTCAGGATGTAACACTTTGGTACTTGAAAACAACTTAGTCGAAGACATGGTCATAAAGGAAATAATGATAATTATCAACTGGATACGTTAAATTTATTTGTTTTTTTTACAAGAATTTCAAATGATTTACGTGTCACGGTAATTATTCTAATTGATAATTGATTTAATTAAAGAATGTGAATCAGAAAATAATTTTATTTTCTGAAACTAACGTGTTCACGGTTACTCTGAAATTATTCAGTTAATGGACAAATAAAAATATGAACATGAATACTGATAAGCCAGAAGATAAATCTTCAAAGTGTGCTAGAGGTACTCAATCAATAACTACACCAAGTTTGAATTTAATGGAACAATTGCTATTAGCAAAAATGGACAGATACAGTGTAACAGATAGTGATGTAGATGAATCTAAATCTGATTTTAAACTATCAAAAAAAAAGCCAGTATTTTTAAGAATCAATTCGATGGATAGTCAAACAAGTGCTAGCACATTCAGCTCAGTTGTATCTTCAGAATCTTCAAAAAATCGGTACTGCAAGTGTGATGATTGTTTACTTGGAATCGTCGATAAACATCAGCATGCTTCTCCATCAGTTGGTTATAAAAAGGTAAATTCGTAATTATAATAAAAGGTTTCATGGCCTTGCTTTCGCTTATTTAGCAGCATTCAAATTATGACAATCAGTCTTGTGAAATAAATATACAATGTAAAATCAGAGATCAAATGAGATATACAGTTGATGCTTCATGGACAAAATATCTTGCGATCAGTTATATGTTTGCTTTAGAATTTTTCCCCTATAAAAAAATCAAATAAATAAATAAATAAATTCCAGTCAAGGAGAAAGAAAGAGATTGACAATAATAGCCTTCAAGCCATGAGCTCTCTATCTATCCTGTGTCGGCCAATTTAGAGAAATGATTGACGGAATAAGTTATATATTATGTGGAATTCAATGTTGCTACCACCTATCAACTACGATATTTAATAACTACATTTTCTCAAGACTTCTTTTTTATTACTTGCGGCCTGTATTGAATTACAACGTTGGTTAATTTTTACGTCAATTAGTAATCAATTTTTTTCTTAAATTATAGCAAAAATAAGTGTTCCTCTGGTTAATCGATTATTGGTCATTATACTTCTACTTTTGACGTCTAATTGCTATACATTTGCACAAAACATGATGCCTGTGAGCACAGTAATTTTTTAATCATTAGCTCAAACACTTTTTTACCACATTGGGTGCTGTAAATTCTCACGAATGATGCTTATCGCCTTTTGAATAAGTGCTGCTCCAAATAAACTCAAGACATTTAACCATCGTTCAAGAGATTACTTCAAAGATACCAGCTCTTGCACGACGTGATTCGCACCAAGTAATTGGTATCCGTCCATATGTGTACGTCATTAAAAGTCTTCAGAGTCCCCTGAGGTACTTTGGTACATGTACCTTTGAAATACATTCATTAAGACTTTTTTCATTTCACATTTTCGTTACTGAATCTTTATTCGATCATTTCTATGAAGGCGAAAGAAGAAAAGTGAAACTTTGATATTCTTTTTTGATATTTTATCTAAATTTATCTCATAAGAATGTTCTTCCTAAATTATTAAATAAAATAAATGGTTATAGAAAAAATCTTGACGTAGGTAAGGATAGAGAAAAATAAAACATTACTAGAAAAAATTCATTTAGATAATTTAATGTATTATTTTATTAACCTATCAAAATAATAATTATTTAGCCTTTATTTTATTATCTTATCTTTGTGTTTATTTAGGTTTAAACTTAGTGAATATTCATTGAAAATTTTCCAATAAAATATTATTGTTTCATTGATATATAAATGAAATTTTGTAACAAATTTATTCGGTTCTTAACTTAAAATGGAGTTGGTGGTTAAAAAAAAACTCTTGTTCACGAACGAAAAATGATTTTAATCATGTAATTTGAATATTTAAAATATCAAATTTGAATATTTTTTTAAAGATAATGCAAAAACTTTTAATTTTAAAAAAATAATTTATTCTCCAACTAAATTGACACTTTAATTTTAATTTTAAATAAAAATTACGCATCACAAATCCTTAAAAAATTTATTGTCATGTTGACTAGATTTCATTTGAATTAAATTCATGATATGTATCGAAACACTTTAGTGACGATTTATTTCAACAAAGACCCATCATTCTGTTTTTATTTCAAGTGTTCATAATATAAGCACTTTTTCCTCAATAAAAATCATAATAACTCTTCATTAAACATTTTACAAAAGATTAAGTAAGAAATAAAGAATAATGTTAGAACATCTACATCTCTGTTAAATTAACTTGTCGTAACTTGGCTCTACATCAACCATTGAAGGCTATAATATTACGTAGACATCACGTATTACATTTATCGTCAACGCAATTGACTCATCTGGTCTCCATTGAACCTGGCGGTATACGCTGAAAAACTATCAAAAGGAAACTTGAATGAACCATATCGGTAGAGTTGTATGACTAAATGATTTCTCCAATACTTATTCATGTCTCTTTCTCTTGATGAGATGCTGGACACTACTGTGCGAGGATTTTTATTTGGAAAGTATCAAGGCTTATTGGGTCAAAGGAGGACAACTAGTAACACTTTTTCAATAATTATTTCTCTTCTCTCTACTTCTCTTGAATTCAAGCTTTCCATAAATGAATAATATCCATCGTTTTTATAAAAAATGCACGAGTGTAAAAAACAGGTCGACAATTAATAATTCATGCAAATATATTTCACTTAATTAGCTTCATTTACTTGAGTTGCAATGACGCATTTCCATCCTACCCAACCGCATTAAGTTGACCATTAGCGATATAGAAACCAAAAGAATGGGAGAAAGTTGTAAAGATGATGATTGTATGAATAATGGGATAAAACCCATATAATAAAACGATTTCCAAAAGATGAGTAAATTCAAACAAAATTAAAAAATGTTTAAATATACAAATGATGTCTTTAAAAAAACGGATAATTTAGCTTTAGTTGTAGTAACAGAACCTTTCGTCATCATTAAACAGCTGTTCCTGATCTTAAAGACAGGAAATTCAACGACTACGTCATGAGTTAACTCATTAACGGCAAGTGACTTGGAATAGTCCAGTGACATCAAAGAATTCTCTTGGACTCTTTTTTACTGTCTTGTAGGTTGGTTTATTTAGACATATTGCTTTTGCTAGCGTGATACTCTTTTACGTAATAGTATCATGTAAATTATATGTGTTGGACAACTGTGGCCAACGTCTATACACAGTTTTAAAAAGATATACAACGATATAAGTAGCATTAAAGTAGCATATAATACAGTCAAGACAGGTCAAATCAAAAGTGGCACGACTGGCTTTTCACCACGTAGCAAAATTCAAACGTATGTAGATAGCGATAAGTTTAAGATTGAAACTTGAACATCTTCGCATTAAGTACGTGGGTGGACGTCAATACTTACATAAATATATATGTTGAATCATTTCAATTGGTGAGAAGAAGGAGGAGTGAAATCCCCGCTTAATCAACTTGTTGGTGAGTTCACGAGGAGTGATGCAGTCGAGTTGTGCGGCGCGGAGAGTACACAATACTAATAACTTTTGATAGCAGCATTGCGAGACTTCCGACTAAACACGTGGCTTATTAGTGAACATCAGTAGAAACAAGGTACCTACGTGATCAATCCAGTGTTTGTTTGTCACTCAAGCATGCAAGACACTTGTGGCAAGATGATTCCTAAAATTGTATATACGAAAGCTAGCTTCAGTGAATGTGGTAGTTTTGATGAAGAAAAGACTCTAAGTGAGAAAAAACTCATTGTTAAGCAAAGAAGACAATCGAGATCTAGAATTAGAAGAAATTCAAGAAGACTGTCTATTAATCATAATGAGCATTCTTCATCATCATCACGTAGTCCATCACCATCCAGTCACGCATACACACATTACACTGAAAGGTCTCTGATGGCGAATAAATCAGGAGTATTTAGTTGTGAAAAAAATTTATTTAATATGAGAAACACTGAGAGTAAAACTAAAGAAGATAATACCGGTTATGGACAATATTTGCAACTTCTTCAAGTTCCCCAAACAAATTTTTCATCTTATCTTGAGTGGGGTGAGCCAAGTGGCGACGATCTTAGTTCTGAATGGGAGTCTGATCATTCTGAAGGTCAACATATTCCCATTATTGACACTAATCACATATTGCCGAAGGTAATTTGGCCGGATTAATTTGAGTTTAAAACCAACTCACACGACAATTTGTAATTCAAACGACTCAATGTTCAATACAGATTACTTTAAATTGTTAATACAATCTTTTAATCCTATTATTTCTTATGTTTGTTACAGAGTTCCGGCTGGAGAAAACTTCGAAATATTGTTCAGTGGACTCCTTTCTTTCAAACATACAAAAAACAACGTTATCCATGGGTAAGAAATTTTTCCATTTGTGATCTAATATTTATTTCTTAAACATATTTGCATATCTAATCGTCATCGGGTATCAACAGGTCCAATTAGCAGGCCATCAAGGAAATTTCCGTGCTGGACCAACTCCAGGAACGATTCTAAAAAAACTCTGTCCTCAAGAAGAAGCTTGTTTCCGTTTACTAATGCATGATGTTCTCCGACCGTACGTGCCTGAATTCAAGGGTGTATTAGAAGTCCGTGAGCCAGAAGAAGAACACAATCAAGAAGTAGAAAATGCTAATAAGGATTGCGATGAGCCAGAAAAAGTTCCAGTTATCACATCATATCTGCAGCTTCAAGATCTTCTTGGTGATTTCGAACAGCCCTGTGTGATGGATTGTAAGGTCGGAGTTCGAACGTATCTTGAATCTGAACTAGCTAAAGCAAAAGAACGACCTAAACTTCGTAAAGATATGTATGAAAAAATGATTCAAGTAGATCCATCAGCGCCCAGTTTAGAAGAGAAAAAAGTCCAGGGTGTTACAAAACCAAGATATATGGTTTGGAGAGAGACAATTTCCAGTACTGCTTCACTTGGATTCCGAGTAGAAGGTATTAAACTCAGTCATGGCGTTACGTCCAAGGATTTCAAGACGACAAGAACGCGCGAACAAGTTACGGAAGCCCTGAAACGCTTTGTAGAAAATTATCCTCATGCAGTTCCAAAATATTTACAACGTCTCAAGGCAATCCGGGCAACCTTAAAAACTTCTCCTTTTTTTGCAACACATGAAATCGTTGGATCAAGTCTTCTATTCGTTCATGACGCAAATAATGCAGGTGTATGGATGATTGATTTTGCTAAGACACTGCCTCTGCCATCACATTTGCCAAGAATTAAGCACGATGCTGAATGGCAAGTTGGTAATCATGAAGATGGTTATTTGATTGGTGTCAATAACTTGATTGATATTTTTGAAGACATAAGGAACTCTCAATCATAACAATTTAAAGAGCTGAAAAGAGACTTGAATAGAATAATTGTATAATTAAAGAAAAAACCAAGTGTAAAAAAGGAAAAAGGAAAAATGTGATTATACTGTGTATATAGATAGTCAACAATTGTGTTTAATTAAACAATCATTTTTGTAGCATCATTAAGAATTCTTCAAACTGTGAAGAGTACGTAAACTCGCTAGTTCGATAGATCAACTGTAATATTTATAGATTATTACTCGACATAACTCGATGAGATTTGAAACGAGATTTCAAATTTCTCCTTCGAGCAGATATTTGACCTTATTATATACGTTCTGAACGAATCTCAGTATTTAAAAAATAACAGAGATTCAAAAAAGGATTGAAAAAAAAAACCAAAGACGCGGTAGCTTCAGCTACTTAGTAATTTTCGTAATTAGTTGTTACTTGCATAAAATGCATTATAATATTTACATCTATTAAATTCAATACATCTCCTTTAATAACGGAGTTTGTGCGTTATTGAATTATTTTTAGTAAAAAAAATTTTTAAATAACAAAAAAAAAAGATCTTCAACAATTTCTTTTTACTAAAAGTGCAATAGTTAATTTAATGAACTATTTATACGTAAGACTTTATTTATATTTTGAAATAATATTGCGAGATCGTCTCTGGTCCGAGCGATAACGTATTTTGTATTCACATAATATACCACACACATTTGTAAATAAGTCTTCATTTATCATTTTTGAAAAAAAAATTCTGAATTATATGTGTGACACTTAATTTTCATTTTTAAAAACCTTTCTCACACTCCCACTTAATTTACTTATGAAGTTTGTATTAATTGTTCGAAACCATTATGATCATTTTGGCAGGAATAAATGTCACTGAGCTCATATCAATGGACAATACCAGCTGTACAATTTTAATTCGACAATTAAATAATTCAACGGCATCACGGAGCACCATAGGGATTATTCCGAGCCGCTTGTGTTTGAAGTGTAGCTTGCTGTTGTTGCGTTGTCGTAGTTTGTGCTGTTGAAATAGTTGTCGGGGCAATAACACGAGCATAAACAGCAGCTCCAGCTGTTTTAAGACCAGCAGGTGTTGGTATAACCTTCAAGCCATGTAGAGTTTTAATATTTAACAATTGACTTGGCAGTATTATTGGCTGCTGTCCCGTTTGCTGTTGAGGAGATTGTTTACCAAGAACCACACTACTTCCTCCACTGATACCAACACCAACACTTTTATTAGCACTAGCTAAGACGATTGGTTTTCCAGCTAATTGAGCCGTCACCATTCTAACAGTTGGTGCACCAGATGTTTGTTGCTGCTGAGAAGTTACAACAATTTTTGCTTGGCCAGGAGATGTCTGCGCTTGTGAGACAACCTAAAATAATCACCAATGACTCATTAGCACTATTGAAAAAACGATTAAATGTTCAAATTATTCATAGTATTTTATTACATGAATCTTTATCAATAAATGACGTAAATAATTTTAGGAGCTTACCTGATATTGAGTTTGAATCACTTGTTTACCCTGACGATTCACCTGTGTCGGGGAAGTTGTTGCAGCAAGTTTCAATCCTTTTTGCGCCAGTAAACTTTCGACAGATATTAATTGCCCACCACTTGCACTCGTAAGCACCTTCGCAAGGATTTTTTGCTGTTGTTGTTGATGAGGTGATTGTTGAATTTGAACAGCAATAGGTTTTCCTCCAATTTGAGCAATAATTCTTTGCATTCCTGGAGCCTGTATTGTTTGTTGTTGCTGTTGTTGTTGAGGTTGTGATTGTGATGACTGAGTTTGTTGTTGAGCTTGTTGTAATTGCACATGTTGCTGCTGGGATGATTGTTGGGTTTGAATTTGTTGTTGTTGTTGAGATTGTTGTTGCTGCTGTTGTTGCTGGTTCAACACAAAGCGTTGTTGCAACTGTTGAGTTAATTGCCGCTGTTGTTGTTGCTATAAAATAAAATTAATTTTAGAATCAATCAAAATCAATAAATATAAAAATAAATTTACAATAGATACCTTTAATTGTTGAATTTGCTGAGCATGTGCAGTTGATGGAGACGACTGCTTAATAAATATCGTCTGCCCTTGGAGTCCATGACCTGTCAATAATGATTTTATTTGCCCAGAACTCACTAATTTAATTTGAGATGCTAATAAAGTCTTTCCTGGTAACACATGTTGCTGTTGTTGCTTTAAATTAGCACTCTGAAGTATACTTTTTCCTGTTTGATTGGTCAATACAGTTTGCTGAGATTGATTTTGAATTTTAGCTGTAGAAAATATTGCTGTAACACTTGGAGATGAAGTACTAGCACAAACAGACGTTGTAACTGGAACTGTTTGAGCAGATTGAAGTACGGAAGGTCCTGATAATCTTATTGTTTGTAAACCAGCTGAAGTTGACACTTGAATTTGATGATGCGGAAAATGTTGATTCGATTGTAATAAACTCTGTGTTGCACTGGTTTTCATTACAGCTACAGGTTTTGATGTAGTAATAGAACTAATTTTTTTGGCCACAGAAACTGGTGGTATCGTAATTTGAGGTTTTATATCAGCTGGTGGTGTTTCACGTTCAATCAAAGGAGTTGGCAGTGGTGAATTAGGAGAAAAAAGTACCGGAGCAATACTGCAGCTTACTGGAGAAGATGCAGTTGAAGTTGTTGGTAATGAAGGAGTTGCGGGAATCTGTTCAGTTGAAATAGATTGGTCTATTCGAACCTTCTCTTCTACTATTCGCTGCTCTTTTTTTATAATCGATTGTGTTTGTACATTAACTTTTTTCTCTTTCTTCGGAGTTTCTTTCGTTCCACTTGGTGATTGTTCTTTTCCATTAACTAATTTTAAGTTTGGTTGTACTGCTTTATTTCTTGCTGAACCTCCAGAGTTCTTTTTGGCCTTTGTTACACCTTGAAGTTGTTGATGATACATCTCAAATTCTGATTCTGATCGTGCACGGTGGAGATAGAGCCACTCTTTACGTCTTGGATAATAACGAACACATGGATCTGCTTCATAATGGAGTCGATCTAGTGCTCCAGAAACCACAGAATTAAGATAATTATCTTTTTCATTTCCACCTTCACCTGGGCTGTGTTCTTTAATATATTGAGAATCTTTTAAAAGCATACAGATATCAGCACGAGTTCCTTCACCATTTGGAAGTCTAGCTGTCGCATCTCTTACTAAAGCAAGAATTGTAACGAAATTAGGACGATCCGCAACCAATAAAGAATGACCTCGAGGTTTGGTAAGTCCAGCACCTGCATTGTGTTGATAAATTCCTTTGACTGGACCCACAACAGACTCATAACCATGCATTCTATAGGTGAAAGCTTTATGAGGGGATGCATAACGCAATCTTTCTTGACGTCTGAACTCTTCACGCTCTTCAGGAGTAGATAAACGAACTTTCCAATCAGTAGGACACAAAGCTCTCGGGGGTTCTGATTCCATCATGGCTGCTAATGAAGTAGGATCATTGCTAATTGATTCCACTGCAGGACTTGCGCTTCGTACACTGTTAGCTCCACTACCGTTACTACTATTTCCGTTTCCATACAATAGTTGAATTGAGTTCATCTTGATAGGGGCCAGTACAGTAGATGATTCCGTCGATAGTGTGAGATTTCTAGGTGTTATCAGAGCACTTCTATTCATAAGAAATTGAGAATTTAATGTTGATAATCGTGAGTCAGAATCTCTTCCAGCTCCGATCCATGCATAAATACTCCGGCCTTTATTTTCTAAATAAGGAACAAATTCAGAATCATGCTGATCTAGATCTTGAGAAAATATTAATTCTCCAGCAAGAAATCCAAGTGCTGATGGTACTACAGATGACCACGAACTTACTAACGAATACCAGTCATTTAAAGGAGTTATAGGATTACTTTGCCAAATAGTTACAGCATCTTTAACTTCATTAACACTCATACGATATTCTCCTTTTGACAAAAATGCATCTCGTAATAACGAAAAGAAGCAAGCATGAGTTTCTTGCATTAAATCTCCATTGCCATTTACTCTTAGACTTTCATCTTCACTTAATGATGACATTTCTTTGTCAGGCAGAATAACTCTATCATCATCGCATCTAACATCATCAAGAATATCCATTCCATCACCAAGTTGAATTGGTATTTGCATCATATCTATATTTTCTAAATCAAGTTCTTTTTTATGATCAAGATTTTCTACTTCTTCATTTGTAATTGGAGGAGGTTCATCAGGTGTAATGTACTCCGATTTAATTTCTGACGATCTCATATAATCTAACTCTTCCATTTCTCTCTTTATCTCTGGAAGAGATATTGGCATAGACTTAACATTTTTTGAAGCAACAGAGTTGACCTTTTTCTTTGTTGGAGTAGGATGAGCTTCAAAAGAATCTGAAGCTTCTACTTTTACTGATGAGAAACTAGGTCTCGTATCTTGACATTCTTTGATCTCAACTTCTTGATTTGAAATATGTTTCATATCATTTGATGGATATAGATAATTAGTATTGTCATGTTCAGATTTAATAGAGCTGGCAGCTATAACTTTATTTGATATCACAGAAGGAGCAAGAGGCTGTTCTAATTTAACACGTTTCTTTGATGAATTCACACGGCAAGAATTGGATATTGTTATTTTATGCTTTTGACCAACTTGAGCGCGTTGTGAAAGCTCTGATAGAATAATTCCTTGTGTGTTCAACTCAGGATGAATATCTTGTCGTGCTCTTCGTTTTTTGTGAGCCACTAACAATACCCGATATAAATCCTCAGTCATTTCTCGTATTCGGAACGAAGGATTCGGAGTATATTCTTCACGCTGGAGTGTAGAAAATACTGGTCGAATATCTTCATCTTCATGATTTAATTGATTCGTTTTCATTTGGGTAACTTGCGTATTAGAACCTTTCCTCTTTTTCTTTTGTTTTGTACCTGGCATTTGGAATTGAAGACAATTTTCTTCATTTTCTGACGTTGTATCAGCAAATTTAGTAACACCAAGTTCTGTTCGTAATGCTTTTAATTCTTCCACATAGCGAATTTGGGTTTTTTCTTCTACCATAGCTGGTGTAGGTTTACGCCAATGAAGTTTTGACATGCGATGTGACGTAGGTTGACTGAAACCTTGTTTATATGCGTTTAATAGTAAACTCTCTCGTGATTTAAATAGCTGATTGGCAAGCTCATAAGTCCGTTTACGTTCTTCAAACAACAATCGTCTTTGTTGGGCTTTTTTAACTAGGTGTCGCATCCTCTTTATATCTGGTCTAAAGTGTCCTGATGAGAGATGATGATGAAAAGAGTCGACAGGTGCTACTCCAAACCTGAAACCATCATAATAATATTAACATCACAATCAAGCTCATCATAATCTTACCACAACTTTACATGTATTCAACACTGTTTACACTTAAATATTATTTTTACGAACTTTATATGTTCTATTCATATACCTTTGGTTCTCTCTTTGGAAAAGCATCTTTAATGTCTTCTCTTGCTCAGCAACAACATCACAGTCTTTAGGAAAACTGGGCAAAAATTTTGCTAGAGATTTCCTCTGTTCATCATTTAAAGAATCTTGCCAAATGCTTTTAAAGTCTAACAGTTCGTGAAAAATCGACAAATGTTCACAAAGATCTTGAGGTAGTTTTATCTTACTTCCTGCAGCAATGCAAGTTTCCCATCTCTAAAAAAATCACATTAGAATTAATCACCAATGTGTAATAACAATGTCAACTAAACAAATGTGATACTGACCACTTCATCAGCACATTCATTTGGGATATGATGTACGTTGTTTTCATCTTCATCTCCTGAACTATGAGTTTCTGAAGCCGTAGTATCACGTTCTCCAGCACTCTCTTCAGCACTTTCAGAAGTAGAACTACTGGCAGTAGTACTACTAGTACAACTATTACTTCTAGATCCATGAAAAGATTCCTCGTCTTCTTCTTCCTCTGCAGCAGAGTCGCCACCAGCAGAACATTCATCTATCTACAAAACCAATGATAATTGCTATAATTGCCTCTCAACAACACTGATTACGCAATACAATAAATTAACAAACTATATGAATGACCATAAGACACAAATATCTGAAAACATTGTTTTCACACATGTTGACGTATATCAAAGACAAAAGAGGTTACAATGAATGCTAACAAACAATATAAGAGATAAAAACCAACCTCCATCGTCGTTAAACTAAGCGTTAAAGCTGCACAAGTTACTGGCGTTACTCTGCCGTTTTCTTTGTCCACAATAACTTACTCAGAGTAAATAATCAAACGACACTTGTCAGAAAGCTAAGTCAGATGCACCCGGGTGTCGAGAATTTACGGCATTAATTAACTTTGGATATTTACGAATCTTTATTTTTATTGATCGTATATTAGGTAATCTCGCCGTTAGACGATCGACCTGTCACAGCCACAATACTCCTACTCCACCGAGAATTTTTCGTCATGGCGTGGAGTGCAAAGCGGACGAACCACAGTGTTTGTTGTATCGAAGGAACATGAAGTGCGCACTCTCTATAAAAGTTTATTCACCATTTGGAACTACTTGGCGCGATCTACACCTTCAACTGAGTTTTCATTGTTTTTTCTTTCAACAAACTATACTCTACATGTTTATTGTAAATAGGTCTTAAATAGCTTTGTTTACAAGCATATATTCCCCCTCACCCACGTTGTTTTTCTCAATGCAAGTGTTTTGTTTGAAGTGTATTTTCTATAGATTTAGCAATGCTACCTATAATGTATTTATCGGATTTTGCTTGAGGGCAATAAAGTTATTAGGTGATACGATTGGTGAAAAAACTTTACGTATAAAATAATATGCAAGATAGTGTAAATAATCATATTTTTCTGATATCTAATATATTTCATTTCTGTTTCAGATACTATACACCATTGTGATGTTTGATGCTCGCAAACTGGTGTTCCCCGGTGTTTGAAAATTTCCGATGAATAGCCTATTAGCTATAGTTGACCCATGTTACATTTTGTACAGTGAAATTTATCAGTTTTTGATTGCATCATCCCAAAAATATTCTTAATTTTCTAATAAAAAGTAAATGTGTAACAGTAAGTAAATTTTATTACGTTAAATTTTATAGTGATAAAATAAAAAATATGCATTTTAATTATAATTTTTGTATTGAAAGATGAATCCGATTAGTTATCTTCAAGAATACTGTCAAAAAAATAATCACTCAATGCCAATGTATGATGTTACTGATCATAAAATACTTCCAAATACAAATAGTTTCACAATTAAAGTAACTGTAGGATCATTAAAAGCAGAAGGAACTGCACCGAATAAAAAAGGAGCTAAAGTTAAAGCCGCTGAAAATATGATATCCTTGATGAATTCAAAAAAAGATCTCAATTTTACAACTGCAAGCAATTCAAACTCTCCTTATTGTTCTCCGGAAAAAATTGATTTTGGCCATGGAGTAAATCGTCCAAATACCTCTCTAAGCTCAGATAGTTTAAATAATTCATTACTAATGGCTGATGGTAATTATGTTGGAAAACTTCAGGTAATTTCATACCACAAATTCAAAATTAAGCATAAATAAACTGTTTCAGAACATTAAACTTATTTATTTGTTACAGGAGTTTTGTGTGCAGCGTAAATTAAAAACACCTATTTACGACTGGGATCTAAGCTATATCGGCGGTGGTCATAAATTAATTTGCAAATTAGAAAATCTATCAGAAGAAGCGGTTGGACCGAATAAAAAAATAGCGAAACAAGCTTGTGCTGAAAAAATGTGGCATCGTTTGATGGAAGTAGAAGAAAATTCGAAAGGTATAAAACAAGAGTCAAATAGAACAAATAAAAATATAGATTCATTGTGTTTTTCATTGGACACATTGAAAATTGAGAATACTTTTGATCTTCAATTATCAATCGATAAAGCGAAATTAGTTTGTTCACGACAGCAAACAGGGATGAGTAGTGAACCAAAAGAAATATTTATTGAAGATTACCACTCACACTTAAAAAATACATTACCTTTTGATTCTTTACAAAAAGTAAGTGATTATTTAAATAGATTTACATTCAATTTCAGTCAAGGCTTAAAATTATTAGAGAATAATTTAAAAGAAATTTGTTCATTGCTTGGAGTGGATTATACAGAAACTAGTTTGCAATCCGATGTACGTAATACATTTTTTGTTGCATGTACAATAAATACGTTTCCTACTCTTACAGCAATTGGAGACGGTGATTCTTACGAAGTTGCCAAAATAAGTGCTATAATTTATTCCATTAATATTATTCGTGATATATTACAATAAGTTCTTTTCAGAATATACAGTTATTGTTTAATAATAATTATATTATTTTGTATCATAATATTTTGAATTATTGTGTTATAAATCCTTGATTTTATGAATAAATGTTGAGGATATTTATAAATCATAAAAAATTGTGTGCTTATTTAAAAAACTATAATTTAAAGTTATAAAATAATGCTGTTTTTAAAAATTTTTTATCAAGTTAATGTTATCAGTAGAGTAATGGAAACATAGGAATTTTTTATACCGACAATGTCTCTGAAGTTGGCTATAGAAAATGTAATTCATAGGTCTGTAACAACTTCAAGTGTCTCTCATGTTTTCTGTTTGCGCGAAAACGTGCAATGAATTCTAGATAAATGTAGTTATAGTGAAAAGTAAATGTATATCAATAAAATTATCAATAACTAATTTTCAACATGATATTCGAAGCTGAGTGAACATCAATATATTATTCTTTTTAACAAATGATCAATTTCAACATGGCTGAAATAGCTAATTCTGCCGTGTTTACAAATCGAGTATCTTGTGATACTCCGGATCTTCTTCAACAAGCATTCCAAGAAGTAGTGAATGATGAAGATCATGATAATGAATTTGTTACATTTCTTACTGGTGAAGGTGATGAAACTCAAACGATTCAACTTACTCGAGCTCAAGCATCCGCGTTAAGCCTCACATTTGAGGTTGACTCAACTAGTGATGAACAACCTGAAGGAATCGTGTATCAACAGTGTCAAAATGACATTCTTAATGACATTCATAATCCCAATATTGAATCACAAAAGTCTTCAGAAGAAACAGAGCAAATTGATTTTGATTCAACCGCACAATGGACAATTGATAATATTGATGAGAATAATAAAATTAATGGACATTCTGATGATACTCATGCGTCTGTAAGTACTACGCTTGATATCGTTGATTCTAATAATCAAGTATCAAAAGAAATAATACAGAATTTTGAAAATGCATCACATCAAGATAATGTTCAAGCCATCTTTGTTCAGCAATCAGAGACACCTGAAACATCTGATTTAGAAAATATAGGACCTAATTATGGTGAAATTCAATATGCAATTGGAAAACATACAGCACAAAATTTTTCAACAAATATAACACAACCGCAAGTTCTGCAAAGGGTTATTTTTCCATCATCGCAATTTATTTTAAAGCCGGCCCAAGCTATTTTGAAAGCCGGTAAAGGTATTAGACTTATTCCTGCATCAAACAAAATTAACGCTAATACTAATGTGACGTCAGTAACCACTAATAATAATATTAATGGACAAAATACTGTTCTATTACCAAAAACAACTATTTTAAATTCAGTATCTTCTCAGATTTTTAAAACTACTCCGATTGCATCTCAAGTTATTCATGGAAATGCTATTTCTGCACAATTGTTAAATTCTTCCCAAATACTTTCATGTGATCCATCGAATCAAAGCTTAAGTAATGGTAATAATGACAATAATTTAATAACAAATGGCTTGAGATCAATACAAAATATTGGTAGTAATCAAATTCGATTATCTCCTGTCATTACAACAACATCAACATCAACTCAAGGAGACAATGGTCAACAGTTTACGACTTCAATATCAAAAAATACTTCTGGTGCACCTTTAATTTCAAAATCACAAATTTCTAATAGAGTAAATTCAAAAATTACTTCGTCTTTCTTAAAGTCACTACAATTTCCAACACAAATTTTAAAAACACAGGTAGGAAAATTAACGAATACATCGATTTCAACAAAAGTTGCCAATACTAATCCATCAATTATATTAAAAACTGGATCTCGTCTGAAAACACAAACTCCCAAGTCAGTAACAACTTCCGGTATTATTAATCGGCCTACTCATACTGTGTCTACTCCAATATCAATATTGAAACCACAAACAAAAGTAGCATTTGCTAATTCTACAAAGCAGAATCTGATAGTAAATTCACAAAATTTGACAAGCATTAATAATGTACAAGCTACCAGAATAGTTCAAAAAATTACTCAACAAAACTCATCAACTGAAAATGATAAACCTGCACAAATAAATGATATCAAAAGTAAAAATAGTGAAGTACCTATTTTAACTTCTCCAAAAATTATTAGAAAACCTAAAATCATCAGTACACAAAATTCTATGTCTTCTGTATCTACTTCAAATGAAGGGTTAAAATCACTCGGCTCAAATGAAAATCCTATTCAAATAATTCAACAAGGAAACGCTTTTCATAGGTAAATATATATATTAATTAGCATAAATAATTTAATAGAATCAAAAATAGTATTAGAATAAATCCTAAAATAAGTTAATAGTGATTTTTTATCTCTATGGTTTGTACGCTTTTGTTATAGCTCACAAAAATTAACGCAATCTCAGTTAAAGCAGCTTGCTCATGTTTTACAACAACAACGGAGTCAAGATTCTTCAACTTGCAATGAAAAAGTTGTTTATAGGTTGGTAAAACATTTATGTTATTTAGAGGAAGCAATAAATAAATTATTAAATAAATTTTTATATTAATATTGATGATTTATTTTATTGTTTTATATTTTGCAGAGTTGTATTTCCAGAGGAATTAGATTTAAGAATTAAAAATCCTATAAACTTATTAAAAGGACGAGGTGGAAAACGAGGAAGACCTAAGAAAAAACCTGTCAAGTCAGTAATGGTAGATGATGAATCAGAAGAAGCGAAGGTACAGTCATAAAGATTGAACTGAATAAAATTAACTATTTTTTATTTTATTTTAAAGATAAAAATAATTAAATAATTTCAGGACGATCGAAAGAAACACGTTGCACGAACAAGATCGGGTCGTTTATCTCGGCCACCAAGACATATTATGCGAGATTATAAACATTTACATCATCTTGACTTTATGGAACCCGATATGGACGACTCAGATGGTGGCTATAGTGATTACAACACTAGCCCTGATAAATTGGAAAATGAAGAAGTTGCTAAGGATTTATTAACTGGATACGAAGGGCCTAAACGAAAAATATCAGATCATTTTCGATGTCCTACATGCAATAAAATTTACTTGGGAAGAACGAGAATGGCTAAACATTTTGAAATGCATCCTGATCATGGAAGCCCTGATCAACTTCCTCCAGCAAGTGTAGAGACCGAATTAAAACGACCAACATTTTCTCAAGATCAGTTTAAGCGTAAAGGTAAAAAACGTGGACCTTGGGCATATATTACACCAGAGGCTAAATCCGAAAGGAGGCAGATAAAACTAAAAGAAGCTTTATCAGCTTGCGACAGTGGAGAAATACTTAAAATTGCAGCTAAACCAGTTCTCAATGCACAATCATTATTTGATCTCATGATGTTAAAATCTGAGAGTTGTTTAAAAACCTTTCTCAATGAATTAAAGACATTGGTTGAGAAAGCAAGGGAACAAGTAAGTGCTATTTTAACTCCGACAAATGATGAGGAAAAGGAAGAAGATGTTCTTCAATTAGATGATGATTTATTATGCAATACATTGGGGTTAGCACCTGGTGTTTATAATGTCAACAGTGAGGTTTTTAAGAAATCTTCAGAAATTTATAATACATCTTTTACGGCTACTACAGTTGATGAGCCTCCATTAAAGTTACAAAAAATTCATAGTGATGATTGTAAAGAAAATATTGATGATGAATCTGTACGTTTTACAGATAATTCTGATCTCAATGTCTCCAGTTTTTTAGAAGAAAATAAATTCGATTCAATGAATTCCAATTGTCCAGAAGTTTTAACAGCGTTGACACTTATGCCAAGAAATTCAAGTCCCATTTCTACAGATGTTAATAAAACTAATAATGTGTCAAAGCTTCTTATCTCAAATCCAGAAATTCAAAATCAGATCTCTGATAATCCTGGATTTCAAAAAATTGAAATGAATTCTAAAAATCCGTCTTTTAAAGAAGTAAAATCTAACAAAGATGGATATTCTAGAGTTAATGATAATTCAGAAGTATTTAATTGTTCATTAGCATGTTACAAATTAAGGATGAATTATGATGATTCAAAATTAGATAATCTTCGACAAGCTTTTATTAAACTTGAACAAGATTTTGTTAAACTAGAAAATGGCACGCCAAGTACTTATCAAAAGGAAAGTTCTTCTAATTTTGAAAAACTTCAAAGCAACTTTGAAACTATACCAGATTCTCAAAATTTTTCGAAAGGTTTTCAAAAATTGATTCCTAAAGTTTCCTTATCAACTTCTAATGATGGTTGTGAAAAAGAAGAATCATTCAATGGCTCTAATAAAGATGTTTGTAAGTTATCAGATAATTTACCAATTATGCAGAATACAGTTCCTATAATGTCAACTACTTGTGATGCTAGTATATTTGGTAGTACTGATAATTTAGACATAACTAAAATGACTAATTATGATTTGGATATCTTAGGTAATAGTGGTGTAATGGATAAGCATTTAATTATGGATGATAAGTTAGTTGAACAATTACAATTAGTAGATCAAACTAATTTAGTTGATGAAATAGTTTCAGAAAGACTTAAAAATATGATGCCTGATAATATATTGGAAAATAATTTGATGAATAATAACTCCAATTTGGACACTGAATTGGACTTTGAAGCATTGAGTGAAGAATTTAATCGAAATACTAGTAGTTGATTTGAACGTTTCAATGTAAAAATTATTTTTTTAATACAATTCATAAAAAATTTTATGGATTTTTCAATTCTGCTAAAATACAATATATATTGCGATTTGCAATGTCAATATATTATATATCAAATATTTAACAAAGCATTTGTGTTTAATATTTTTATCATAATATAAATTTATAAAATATGATTTTAGTTTTATAATATTGGACACTCGATGTATAGAAATAGGAACGATGTATAAAATAATTTACAAACAGAATGCGATAATGTACAAAATGAAGAAAAAACTATTATAAGAGTCTAAAAATAGCAGAATGTATTAAAAATACAAATGAGCTAGTCTTCTTCATGTGCTAAATAATATCTACAATTTTCGGATCTCTTAATTTACTATTTCTACGTCTAGAATAAAACAAAAAAGCTTACTAATTAATATCAACCTGGTTTGGCTTATTAATATTTATTTAATTGTAAATATTTATTCTGTATAGTAATTAAAATATTATTCATGTAATTATTTTTTATATAACAAATTGATTATTATTATTCATCATAACACTTATGCAATAAATAAACTGTATTAATAATTTTACAGTGTCGAAAACAAAGTTATCTATGTATAACATTGAATAGAATAAACGGAAAAAGGCCTCAAAAATTTCATAACAAACAAATAGCAAACCTATTTTCATATGGAGCAAATTATTCCATCCACTCTATGTTTGTAAATATAAGTATAATAACGAAAACGCTCAAAATTCACAATATTATTATATGTATCACGGACATGAATGCTTAAAAATGTCTAGTAAATAACGTTCTCGGTCAAGTATAAAAATTAATTAGATAATAAAAGTAATTGAACGGTTGTAATTATTAGACTGTTATATCAATCATGCTACCTATGTCCAGTCTCTGTTAATAATGCTTCTAAAGTCAAATTAATATTGGAGGGAATCTTTGGTTGAGTAACCCACAATGCTAAATGCACTTGCTGCCATGATTCAGAATAATCATGAGCAATATTTTCCATTACTAATCGTTTTACCTCAACCTCATCCTTGTAGACTTCATAAATTTCTTCAAAAGTATCAACTAAAAAATATCAGTTCAGTAACAAATATAAAAAGCGATGTATTAAAAATAAATAGAAAAAATTACCAAATTTATCGATTGGCCAAGTAATGAATAATTTTTCATCGCTGTATAATGAGCTTATAAGATGGATTCGTCTTGATGCGCGTTTGAATTTTTCAACAATCCCATCCTAATCAACAAATATTATTTATTAATAAAATAAACACCAAGTCAAATGACAAATAAATTACCATTTTATCTACGTCCATTTCTAATTGATCACATAAATTTTGTAGTCCTTCTGGATAAGAGTCATCAACTTTGATTGCCATAATTGACTTTATAATATCTAAACCATGTAAAAAAATTTCATTCCATTTTTGAATTTCAGCATGAATATCGGCCGCTAAATCTTTTACAAGTCTTTTATGACCGGTTAAATTTGTTTGAGGTGAAACTTTTGGAGAAGCTGAAAATGTCAAATCAAAGTATTGTTTATTGTAATAATAAATGATTGTGAATTGAACTTACTAATTACAGGTCGATATTGATCCATCGTTGGAGAATTTGTTTGTTTTAAATTATTCAAATAATGAAATTATCACATCAAAATTGGAGCAAAAAAAACGCAACTCAGTTTTATAACATTATAATGTCATAACCTACAATTACGAGCATTCAAATCTTTGACAGTAGTGCCCTCAGTAGTAAAATTAATATTTAAAAACTTTTTCCATATTTTGATTAAAGCCTTCACCTAGAATTAATAGTAATTAATTTTAATTGCCAAGAACACAAGATAATAATGATGACAAGCATAAAATCAAATATCATTATAAACATGTTTATTTATTCAATACCATCGATCATACTATGAATATATTTGTAAATTAGTTTAAATTCTTTGATAATCCATCATATATTTAAAGTCATCAAGAATTATTAGGTGGGAAATGAGTAGAGAAAATAAATAAAATTCAAGGAAATGAGACTCCCTAAGTTGGGATCCACGGGTGCGTGTGAAAAAGCGAGTAATGTTAGTTCACTTTGCTTTTGTTTGGAGAACGGTGTAGAAGAGAACAAGGTCATCTAGGTGTAATGGTTGTGTAGTTGTCAGTGTTAAAGGATTGAGGGACTAACCGGTGCTACAGTTATTTCGTCTGTAAACTGTAGTTATATTTCATCAAATATAATCAAATATTCAGCAAGTCATTTCATATTTTCCAATATTTATTATTTACAAATTCAAAATCTATGGTGCAAAAAAATAAACTTTAAATTTCCTTGAGTACTGGTGTGATTGATGACGCTTTTTAGTTATGATCTCTACATTTATTTTATGCTTAATTTAACAAATAAAATAATTAAAAGTGTTAAAAAAAATGTTTCAATGGTGAGATAAACTGCAATTAATTTCAAGGAATTATTATAATTAACCAGGTGAAATGATAGTTGGTATTAAGAGCAATAACACATAGACCACAAGTGTATGACGTAACTAGCGTTATGATAAACGATTTGCCGTAAGCGTCCCAGCTTAACATCAGATAAAAACGAGGCAAAATAAGTATTACTATCAGATATTAAACCAATAACAGTCTATTGATAAACGGTTTAGTTAGGTCTCATATAGCTGATACGACACTGTGGCAAAAATGAAGATGGAGGTGAGTACAATTAAGATATTAAAATTTTATGTAAATCTGTAATTAGTGACATTAAAAACATGTTGATAAATATTCAAAAGACAGTAGCCATTACAAACTATTAAGTGGTTTTTGGGTGACTGAATGCCGATCAAATCATTGGATGTAAATTTAAAAAGTAGTGAAAGAATTTCATTCTTTCGATTGTAGATTCAGGTGTGTTTAAGCCACTGCTCCAGTAGTAGTGAACTCTCAGTTTTTCGACCTTGATCTACAATACCAGAATTTATTAAGAAGTTTTTTATTATTCTTGTTGATCAATTGAATACAGATTTAGGCAAAAAACAAACTTCTACCATAAGTATGTGTATATTGAGAAAGATTGATAAAAACAGTTTGGGATAGTTTTAACGTGATGATAATAATAATAATGACAAGTATAACAAGAGAGGTTTTAGTGTTCTCGAAGCGCATCGAAAAATGATAATGCAGTGAGCCAGCGGATGTAATTAATTGCTCCAAGAATTTACAAAGTGTTATCTCATATTAATAAATTATATCTTTCTTCAATAAGGAAGAAATATTTTTAAATGAAGTATTGGCAAATATATTTATCAGAAAAAATCTTTTATCACTATAGATACCTAAAAAAATTATTAGTAGATAATGAATAAACGTTTTTCGTGTCTAACGTCTCTTGTTAAGATAAGAATGAGCAGGTAGTTGGCTCAAAAACACTAGTGAAATTAATTAAGTGTAACGATAAAATAAAAAAAAAGGAAAGACGAGTTTATTTTTAGTCTCGATTGAACCAATGGTTGGATAACTTTCACCGGTTTATCAAAAATACGACGCATCTCGATTTCGAAGAAGACACTCAACTTTCGTCCACTTCCCCAAATTATGTACATTAAATTACCAAAGCTACGTATGGTCACGTATGTATATATATATATGTAGAAAGATTGTCTGGCCCATTTTTATAGGAAGGTAACAAGCGCGGGTTACAGTTATAGTTGGAGTGAACGCTCCGTCACATTGACTCAGTGGCATTCCTGGACTTCAGTGGCCCGCGTCGTTCACAAGGAAATTATTACGTTAAAGAACGAACTCTAAAGTTTTTATGATAATAAAAGGTTTAAATGTACTTCCGCCCATCAAACTCTTCAACTGAGTGATTCAGAAACTTGTGAATTGAGAAAAAACAATTTACATGTATATTTTCTTCGTTCTCAGGCTGATCATAGGAGGGAACAGTTGAAGAAGGCTACCGATAGGATTCAACGAGAGATCGAGGAGGTCACTGAGCGAGAGCACGAGCTTAGAAACGTTGGAAGTATCAAAACTATATCTCACGAAACTGTTGACTCGAAGGTAAAAATTGTGTTTCTTATTTTTCTTTTATTGTCACTGTTGTTATTTTAATTATTATTCAAGTTGTCAAGGTGTTATGATGAATACTTTAATATACTTGTAACAGACAATTCACAATAGACGGATGTCTTACCCAAATATTGACAGTTTTCTTTCAGATATCATGTGATCAAGATTACAGATTGAGAAAATAAAATATAAAACTTGGATTATAAAATATTTTGTGATTAGTTAAAAAACACCTGTGTGATAGAAAAAGGATTAGTAAATTCCATAAATTATTTAAAATTTTTAAAAGTCCAAGTTACATTAAATTATCTGTTTTATTCAATGTGATGATTCTTTGTTATCTTTTGCATTAAAGTGACAAGTAAAATATTCGTACTGAATTGCAAAAATAATATCCAAGAATAATAAACATAATTTATTTCATCAGAATTAGAATTATTCATAAGAAATGTTGAGAAGAGATTATTTTCTGTATAAATATTTCAAAATATTTTAAGTGTTTTACGTCAGAGTTCTGATACTGTATTAGGTTATATATACATAAACTACGTAATATTTTACTAGTATATTTGCAAAGTCTTCTAGATTGCCCTAATGACAATTCTTCCCACGTAATGTGATGAACGCATTGTCTACCATGAGTAATCGAGGACTATACGTATTTCTCTCACGTATTAAACATTCTTTCATTACATTCAGATTATCCGTCATCATCACTTTGTAGAAGTATTTTGCATAATATTTTTTTTCCAAATAAAACCTGTAGCAAGACAGATTTTAATGATACCGTTCAATATTCAATGAAAGCAGAACGTAATTGGAGAAAGTTTAATGAAATTTTCTATCAACAGGTACGTCGCATGCCACAGGCATTGATATCGGGAAAGTTAAAAAGAACTACATCGACACCTCAAATTTTGGAGCCATCAGTAACATCATCACCTTCTGCACCGAATCTTACACCCAAGATGACCAACGGAGTAATATCAGCACGTACAACACCCACTCCTTTGAGATTTGCTACTAATCCGAGTCAAAAAGGATTGATGCATAGGTTTCTAGCAACTCGAGGAAAAATTTTTAACAAAAATCAATCACCTTCAGCTGCAGATTGTTCTACTCCTCCTCCAACACCCACAATTGTTTTGAACCCTCAAAGTCTTCAAGCTTTTGGCAGAAGTTTGGAAATAAGAATAGAACTTGATGATGAACCTAAGAAACCTCCATCAAGAAAAGGATATGTTCCAGTAGAAGAAAAAATTCAGAAAGAGTTGAATGAAATGAAAGAACGTGAGAATGAATTAAGGTATGTATTTTATTTATTTTTAACATATAACTGAATTTATTATTTTACTTATATAGTAAAAATATTTTCACGATGTAATTGAATATTCATGATTACTTTAATGTGTATTACTTTCCAGATTAATGAGGTCGAGGATGTTAGCTAAATCTCAACCGAATCTAGTTGATATTGGAAACGATAATGACTCAGATATTTACGATGGCTCGAGTTCATTAAGAAGTGGAACATCATCGAACACGTTAAATGATGATGAATCTGACAAAGAATATCGTGGAAAACATAAACCAAATCCAAGACGTCGAAGTACATTAATTGCTCAATGGGAAAATCTCATCGCTGCAAATAAAGAATCAGTGGAAAATGGTCATGAAAATGAAAATAAAGTTTAAATTCAATTTTTATGTATGTAAAAAACTAGTTAGACTAGTTTTTAAAAGAATGTTTAATTTCTTATCAAAAAGGAATTATGTTCAGTATTAAAATTTTAAGAATTTTTATGAAATATCCGAAGTTGAAGATACATAGTTATCTTGAAAAGAAAAAATAAGCATTAATAATAATTAATAGCTAAAGGCTCAGTACTTGACTGTCAAGAATATTTTAGTACATTTATGATTGATATATTAAGTCAAGATAATTTTTTAAGAATATTGGTATATAGATGAGAGGGTGAATTTATAATCAAAAGTTATGTGCAATCATTGTGCGATATTTTCTGTTATTTTAATATAAATTAGATTAATGAGAATTTTTCAATAGAATAAACTAGATATATATTATTTATGCCTAGTAAATTAAATACTTACTGTTACAATTATTTAATGAAAGAAGCATTTATTGTTTCCTATAAACATGTTAACTATACGATAATAAAGTTATAAAAAATTCTATAGTATTATAAGTAATTTATTTTTCAATTATGTTTCAATTAGAGTAATTTCTTATCAATTTTATTGAAACCGATATTGAAAATTCCGCCAGACAGGCGCATAGATAATATATTTAACAACGCATGCGCTTCTGTAATTTAACGTTGTTTGATCAATCAAAAATTCAATTAAAAATTGAATTAAAGTCCATCATTAATGATTTTGATAATGTTAACTTATCGATTTCAACATGAAGCAATGATATATGATTTATTTTATTCATAATTTTAAAATTGTTCTTATTGTTTTTAACCATACGCTGAAGAAGCTATTTATAGATTTTAAAGCAGATTAGAATAAAAGATTAACTTGATTAATAACGTTGAAATATTATAACTGAGAAAAAATTTAATGCACCGTAACATTTCATCATTTTTTCGTCACTATGGTAAGCAATCAATTCACTTATAAAGCTGCTATATTGTATATATATTTTTTGAGCAATCGCATTTTCATCAGTCTCCCTCTTTCTCCGTCAGCTCGCCTCGAAAACGAAGAACATGTGCGCATTCTCCGTCGACGGATCGATGCTGGAAATAGCTCAGACCGGAGTACGAGGTGATTCGCCTTCGTCAAAAGCCGGAGCCTCCTTGGCTCTCTTATTACGTGAAAAGACTTGTATTATTCCCTTCCATTCGTTAAAAAGTGAGTTAAATAAACCAAATTAACTAAACGTGATTAAAACTTGAAAGTTTCAGTTATTAAGTGAACTCCGTCATATCATATTTCTGATAAATAAATATCTTACATTACTTTCATTCATTTTTCATCATTTGAATCTTCACTTTCTACTCAAATGGTGCTACAATTTCTTGGAGGATAATGACGTTAAAAAAATGTGCATTATATCAATGGGGCTCATGAGGCTTGATTTGTAAGTATGCGAACATCTTCAAAATTAATTTTTTCGGAATGCGTGAATTCCATTGGATAAAAATTATGGAGCATGCCCTTGACTGCGAATGAAAGCTTCCATCTTTAATCACGAAATATTTGCCAAGTTCACGAGTGACCTGATAACTAAAGAAATCGTTGAAATAATTGTAACCTATTTGTATTATTATTCATATTTAATATTATTTTAATCATTGATCACAATACATATTGACTTTTCTAATTTTATTATATGGAAATGAGAGAACATTTTGAATAGCAGTTGATGATTTCTTCCTGTAATAAAGCTCACTTTTCTTCTTTGACACACGCGACATCTCCCCTTCTGGCATCTTTATAATCACCTTCCACCCTTCTCATTGGCTTTGCGCACACCCCCGTCGTTTTTCTTGAATCCCCAACTCAAGCGGAATGAGATCGATATTCTTGAAACAGCATGTTCGTCAATTCACCGAATGAGAAAATGGGTCACATTTAATTGTCCAATTTTGACACTGCTTTTAATTTTTTGTTACCAATAGATTTAAAACCATACTGTGTATCAATATCAATCATTTATTTAGCAAATAATTTAGCATCAATTAGCAATAATGCAAAACACCGAACTGTTGCACTCATCTTTCGTTATATACATCAGTTACCAAGGTAGGGTAGATCTAACCCAAAAGTACAATGACTCAATTATTTTTTGTCGACTATTATTGATTTATTCCTATTTGATTTAGTCGATATCCTTGTTTTAAATAAAGAGGGACTGGCAATCATCATTTATTATTCCATTCACGACTATCATGTATATGTTGGATACGAATTTTCAAAATAAATTCAATCGATTCCTAGATTATATAACCGAAAGCTTTTTATGACATGGTCTTAAGTTTTATTTATCAACTTGTCATTGACATATTGAAATGAATATTCAAATAGACATGCTGAATAAAATTTCAAATCATTATTTGAGTAGAGTTATTTTAATAATTTCCAGTTATATTATTCCGTTAATTAACACAACTACTTATTGATTTTATTTTAATTTATGAATATTTTTCAGAGGCCTCTCCCACACCGCAGTAGCTTCTAGAGAATGCACAAGTTGATGCACAAGGGCTTAAAAAAGAAGAAAAAGTCAAAGAAAGGGAAGAAAGGCGAAGAAGACGAAGAGTTCGATCCAGAAGAGCTCGAACGTTATAGGCGGGAGCGGGCGGAAGCCCAAGAGAAAGCATTAGCAGAAGGAAGTGAACCGACTGGCGAAAAAGCTGTTGCTGGTTCAGACGAATGGAAAAAATTTCAAGCATTAACAGCTGGAGTTGATTCTATTCTTAAGAAAACTCAAGGAGATCTTGATCGTATCAAATCAACATCCTTCTTTCAACGAAAAGCTCCAGTCGTTGAAGAAAAAAAGCCTGAAGAAGATCCAGAAGTAGAAAAAAATAAAACCAAACGTTTTATTGGTTTTGATAAGGACGGAAATCCTATTGAAGCAGCTCCAGAAGAAGACAAAGATTCAAGTAAAAAAGTTAATCTTAAAGTATCTGAAGACGGGTTTGTTGAAATTCCTGATGAAGATGAGGAGGAAGATTTTTCAGCAGAAGAAGATATCTTTGATACAACCTATGTTGATGTTCTTCAAAATACTGACATTCAACTAGCTTATATTCCAGACAGTCCTACTGAAGAAGGTGGAGACGATCCATTTGACACAACTAATGCTGATAAAGTTCTCAAAACTGTTGATAAACATGGTAAAAAAGTTGTAAGTCTTGGAAATGCAGTAGAAGTTCTTTCCGGACGAGTTGATCACGTGAGTACTTGTAAAATATCTAGACCAAGAAAAACAAGGATTCACAATCTCTTATTGGATGACGCAGATGCACCAGAAATACCTCCAGAAGTAACGCCTGAACCAGTTGAGGTTGAAAAGACACTTTTGGACGACGACTCAGATCTTCCAGATATACCTATCGATCTTACTAAACTCCCTCCTATTATTCCAAGGCCAATAACTCCAGAGGTTAATGGCAACGTCGAACAACCGTCTGAAGCTCCTCTAGATATTTCTGAATTTGAAATTTTAAAGGAAAAAACTATTTTACAAGAAATTCCTGATTTAGACGATGATTTCGATCTCGAAGAATCAGTTCCAGTTTGTTTAGAAGAAGCAGAAGATCCATTTGCTGAAAAAGAACCAGAACAAGTTGTTGCCGAGGGAGAAATAATCGAAGCAAGCTTTGAAGCTGCTACTTTTGTCGATGAGGAAGATCCATTTGATACAACATTCGCAGAAAATCTTGTACCTGGTAAAACTGAGTTGAAATTTATCGAAAAAGAACTCGAAGAACTTCCAGAATCTGAAGTATCAATTTCTCTAACTGATCCTGCAGGTCTTAATAGAGATTACGAGACCGGTTTATTAAAATCAGAGAATCGATCCCTAGTTGTTGCAGCTGATCTCTTGGGTGGATCAACAACAGATTTAACTCAACTTGCTGATCAACCAATAGCGCCTGTTGAGGAGATTACTTACGTTGATCCATTTGATACTTCTGGTATTACAGAACCAGCACCTGGACATACAGAACTCAAATTTTTAGAAAGAGAACTTTTGGGTGAGACAAATAATAAACACGATAGTCTTGAAGACGACGATTTTGATCCTAGAAAAGAAGAAACTGTTAAAGTTGCGCCACCTCGTCCAGAACCATTTCAAGTCAGCAATAATTCTCAAGTAAATCCAACTTTTCAAGTCTCATTCGAATCTGAAGAAGCTGAAGCAGTTTTAGCAACTCAAACAAGAAAACCCTCACGACCAGAAGCATTAGGGTTAACGGCAGCTAAAAGCGTAGCTTTTGATTTGCCAACACCATCTCAACGTCCAGATTTGTTGATTACTAGTGACGAAGAAAAATCAATACCTTCTAAACCTTTGACTCCATATTATTCTCAGAAATCATTGGAGGAAATTGTTACTGAAGAGGATACTGATGAAACTAATGTTGATCCATTTGATACGAGCTTTGTTTCTAAAGTAACACCTGGCAAGACTGAACTTAAATTAATTGAATCTGAGCTACTCAAACAAGATACAAAACTCGTTCATAGTATTAGTGACCACGACTTTAATCCACGAAACGAAATTCAAACATCAGCTGGAAGACGACAAAGTGACTTTGGAACTACAGCAGTGAGACCTAATAACTTCAAACCCAGTGAAATTGATGAATCTTTACTTGAGGATAGTGAAGAGACTAAATGTGTATTTAAAATAAATGAAAAAGCACATCGTAAAAAACTTGAACCTAAAAGACAAGAAAGTATACTTGATGCTGATATTGAAGTTAATGCAAAGGCTTTAACTCCGACAATTGAAACTAAAGTAATTGAAGAAGACGAAGAATTATCGTATGTTGATCCTTTCGACACATCGATAGCAAGTAATATATTACCTGGTAAAGCAGAGTTGAAATTATTAGAAAACGAATTAAGCCAAATTCCAGTGCAAGTTCAAGCAGTTAAAATTAATCCAATTAACTTGAATATCACTTCTACTGCTCCTGTTGTTCTCAATAATGATGAGGACTTCGATCCACGTGCAGAAGAAATAAAAGAATCACCAGATTTCCTTGCTCTCGACGGACAAGATCCTGGAGATAAAGTTCTTACTCCAGTGGCCACTCAAGAATTTTTAGACGACAATATTGATCCTTTCGATACAAGCTTTGCATCTATTGGACCTGGAAAAACAGAACTCAAACTTTTAGAGTCTGAATTAGTGGATAAATAATCTTCTTATACGATATTTGTATATAATCTGGTAAACCTCAACTTAAAATATTATTCAAGATGGATTCAAAGGGTGGAAATCCATTTTTGATGGATGATTATCCAACAGAACCATCTCAGGTATCTAATCCATTTCTTCAAGATTTTTCTGAACCTACGGTTCCATTATCAAGCGATAATCCTTTTCTCAATTTTTCTGCTGATACAACTTATGAGCCTCCAGCTGATTCAACTAATCCGTTCGCTTTCTTTGAGCCTACGCAAGATGCTCAACAATTTGTTCCAACAACAACAGCTACGAGTGATATGTTTGCACCTCAAGAATCGAATTTATTCGAGGTGGATACATCAGAGCAGAACATCTTTACTACAGAAGCTGAACCTGTGGCATATCAACAAGAACCAATGGTGTTTGCTCCACCAGAAGAGCCAGCAAAGGCTTCAGAAGTTAATAATGCCAAGCAAACACCGAAGAGGCCTCCACCACCTGCAAGACCTCAACCTCCAGCTCCTCCTCGTAACACTAAGGATCTTATACTTTCTGTAACTGGAGCTATGGATGCTACATCTAATCATTTATTGGACAGACTTCAGGCAACTAGAACACCTAGTCCTACTTTGATGCATTCACCTTCACCAACTCCAGAACACAGCTATGCTGATTTCTTAGACGTTGATAATAACGTGCCTGATTTAATGCCTGATGAACCAAGTGAATCGAAAACTCAAAATATAATAGACTTATTCGATGCACCAACGACTGAAATAACTGCAGCATCTATTTTCTCAGCACCAAGTACAGGAATCGATACTACCTCTCAGCCTGTATCTAATTCTGAATTATTATTTACCACAGCTACTCAAGATGTGACATCAACCATGTCAGAAAATCCATTTAGCATCACTAATGAATCTAATATTGCTGATGCTATGCCAACAGACGAACCTGAAGCTGTTATTACTGAAAGTTCAATTTCGGATAAAAGACCTTCTGTAGATTTTTCTAATACATTTTCGAACATTACCACTGATTCTACAAATATACCGGTAACTGCAGACTTTGGCTTTGCAAACATTCCAACTGAGAATGTTGCACAACCCACTGCGGCAGTTAATTTATTCGGTACGGATCAAACAACTAATCTTGAAGCCACAAGTACACCATTTTCAAGTATTCAAAGTGGACTTTTTACATCAGAACCTCTGTTTTCACTAGCACCAACTGCCACTCCTGCAGAAATTCCAAGTAGTACAGAAAATAATGTAATTACTTCAGATCTTCTTGGAGATTTTTCCAAGTCTACTTCTCAAGCAAATGAATTATTTTCCACAAGCCCTACACCAGCTGCTGAATTTCCAAGTTCTGGTATGTACAAACCAGAAGAATTAGATAACTTTGCTGCTGCAACCAAAGCTATTGAAAGCACTGGCGATGCCTTTGATGCTTTTGCTAGTAAGTTCGACAAAGCGGCTGAGCCTGAAGTACCAAGCAATGATCCATTCCTGGATGCGTTTGGTTCTACTGGACAAACAGCTATGGATACGTCTAGTGACATTTGGGGAGATTCATCAGCAGCAGGTTCAGACACTGGTGTTATGGGTTTTGGTGAAAGCGATGGCTTTGATTCTTTCTTGAGCATGACAGCACCACCAGATGAAAAGAAAATAACACGAACAGAATCAGCCGATTCTGATGAAGCTCCTGACTTTAGCGTTATTATTAAACCTAAAGAAGGTGGTAGCGAAGCAGGATTAATTGAAGGTGGGCCAGTACCAGTTTTAGCTCCACCACCTAAAAGTCCACAAAATTCAGCCTTTACTGACTCTTCTCCAAGATTTAATCCATTTGATAAATCTGGTGGTTTTGCTCAAGAGGCCGTTATACCCTCAGAAACAGCACAAACTGCTGAAATGACACGAACTGATTCACAAGTAAGTTTTTACGATATACAAAGTCTTTTTCTATTATGAAAAAGTTTGAGTTTATTTCATAAATTTTGTTTTTTAGGAAACTCCTCCAACTCCTCTCTTCGATGAAGATGTCAGTCAACCGTTAGAAGATTTTCCACGTATCACATATGTCGGAGAAGGATGGGAAATGCATTTACGTCAACCAAATAAGAAGAAGATAACAGGACAAAGATTCTGGAAAAAAATATTTGTGCGTTTAGTTTACCAAGCAGATGCACCGGTTCTTCAATTGTTTAATAATAAAGATGATAAGGATCCATTCCAAGAACTGCCCCTTCTTACATGCTATTCAGTATCAGAAATTGGGGCTCAACAGTTTGATCAATATGGAAAAATATTTACTGTTAAACTTCAGTATATATTTTATAAAGAACGACCAGGTGTTCGACCCGGGCAAGTGACCAAAGCTGAAAGAATTACAAATAAACTTAGTCAATTTGCTGCTTATGCCATTCAGGGTGATTATCAAGGAGTTAAAGAATTTGGTAGTGATTTGAAAAAACTTGGTCTTCCCGTAGAACATGCACCACAAATTACGCCATTTTTCAAACTAGGATCTTTGAGTTATGAAGATATGAAAGTATTTTCAAGTATCATAGAAGAAGCTCTCTTCAAGTTACCTGCTCACAGAGATCGTGCGTTGACATATAAAATGGAAGAAGTTCAGATCAATGTTGTTGATGAATTATATGTTGAGCAGAATGCTTATGGACATGTAGAAAAGCAAATAGCTAGAGTCAGACTCTTTTTCCTTGGCTTTTTATCAGGAATGCCTGATGTCGAGCTGGGTATTAATGATATGTGGCGACAGGGAAAAGAAGTTGTTGGAAGACATGATATCATTCCAGTTGTAACTGAAGAATGGATTCGATTAGAAAACGTGGAGTTCCACTCGTGTGTTCAACAAGATGAATACGAGAAATCGAGAATTATTAAGTAAGTAATTTTTTTAATTATTTATTCCTGCTTTATATTAACAAAATTAACCATTTAAAACTTCGTGAATGAACATTTAAATTAATTCAAGAATTTTTCATTCAAAAAAAATGAAAATTGTCAATATGACAGAACTATTGTCGACTAAAAAGAAACATTGTGTCAATATTTTCAATATTATAAGGCATCAGTGAACCTATTTTTCTCTGTTTTTTATAACATGTCATGCCAATATTTCTCGACGTATTTAATTCTTCTAAAGTTAAAAATAGAGAAGTTTATATCTAATATCGGTGTACTCTATTTTGCTTCATTTTATAACGTAGATCGTTGTACGCTATAAAAATTATCTCTTCTTAAAGAAAAATTATAAAATAAAGCTTTAATAATTGAGGAAATCTTTTAATTTAATTGAATGTTAATTTTCAAAATACTAACTCGTTTGATGCTTCATTTTTTCCTAACCAATCTAAAAGGTTTAAGCCACCCGATGCATGTTATTTCGAACTAATGAGGTTCCGAGTGAGACCACCGAAGAACCGAGAATTACCGCTTCAATTAAAAGCCGTAATGTGTGTTACGGGGAATAAGGTAAGAGTCTAAGAGCACCTCTAATTACACCTTTTACTTATATACCTTGATGAAATTAAATAATGTAAATTCAATTTATTTATTATTTCTAGGTGGAACTCCGGGCTGACATCTTGGTTCCTGGTTTTGCATCTCGAAAACTTGGCCAGATACCTTGTGAAGACGTAATGGTTCGATTTCCAATTCCAGAATGTTGGATTTATTTATTCAGAGTAGAGAAGCACTTTAGGTATGGCTCGGTAAAATCAGCTCACAGAAGAACTGGAAAGATCAAAGGTATTGAAAGGTTCCTTGGAGCTGTCGATACTTTGGAGCCGCAGCTAATGGAAGTGACGTCCGGTCAAGCTAAATATGAACATCAGCATCGGGCAATTGTATGGAGAATGCCTCGATTGCCCAAAGAAGGTCAAGGTAAGTGTTAAGAAAAATATTTCTTTTTTATTTTTTCAATTATTGTAATGTCTGTAAGTCTTTGTAGTTTTTACTTTCCATATTCTAACATATCATTAGCGTATATAATTATCATTCTTATTCAATGTAACATCTGAATTTTTAATTTAGATAATTAGATACAAATCTATATGATAAATAAACGATTTCATGCTAGACTGAATTTTTCATCAGTAAAACAAACACTCTTCCATCTCGAAAAGTACAGTTCAATTGGAGGCTAATAAACCTACCATAAAATTAATTATTATTCTATGAGAGTGCATAAGATAGATATTGTAATAATATATAGACTCAAAAAGCTCTATTAGAGTTTGCTCAATGAGAAAGAAATAATTCATTAAGATATAGTATTTATTAATCTATTAATCCAGGAAGTAATGAATATTCTGTTGTTCATAATGGATCTAAGTAAATATAGCTTTGTAAATGGAAATGGCAAAGATTTAATTTACAATCTAGCAACGGTTCCATCAACAGCTCTATGCAATTATAATCAACATAAATAAACTTTTTTGAATAAATTACAGGAGCGTATACTACACACCAACTTGTTTGTCGTATGGCTTTGACTTCATATGATCAAATACCAGACAACTTGGCAGAATATTGTTATGTTGAGTTTACAATGCCAGCCACTCAAGTATCTCATACAACAGCACGAAGTGTCAGCCTACAAAACAGTGACAGTGATAACCCACCAGAAAAATATGTGAGAAACCTCTCACGTCACGAATACAGGTGTTTTATTTGACATTCAAACATGTGTAACAATTCATAACTTATTCTTTTAAAATTAAAACTAACATTTTAAATACTTTATTATCTAGGGTTGGCATAGAACACACTCAAGGAGAAGGACCAGGTGCCTATATTGCAGCAACAAAGAAAATTCCTGAAAGTACTCCAGAAACACATGAAGAACCAACTCATCAGCCAGCAGCGGCAGATTCTGACTCTGATTCTTCAGATTAAATCAACACTATCAACATAGAAATTAACAAATTATCAAGTGCACACTTTCATTCTTCAATATAAAATAACTATAATATTAAAGTAAATAATTGTGTATAAACAATAATAGCTTGAAAAAATGTGTGCGAGAAGGGTTGTTAATTGTTGAGAAAGGACAATACACAGCTTTTTATGTTCAGTTTGATGAAAAATTAATAATAGAGAAATAGTACAGTAAAATATTCCAAGTTTGAAGGCTCATCTAGATAAAATGATTTTTTTATTAAAGGAATTGATTCGAATTTATTGCAATCACATGTACTTAAATTTAAGTTTCCGGCCGACACCTCAATATTAATATTTTATTAAGCTTGTTATATAGTTAAAATTTAACGTAGAATGTTATTTTAATCATTCAAAATCGTTAAGAAATCATAACTACGGCATATCTGTATTGTTTGACCACTGTAAATGATTTATGCAATGTTATGTAGTCCATCGTAGCTGACACAATATTGTTGCCTGTTTGAAATAGTCGAAATGATGAGATATATTATTATAAAATTATAATTATAAGATAAGAATTAAATACGTAAGTTTAATATCTAAAATTAATGCGCAAGAATAGGTAGGATAAGTTTCCGTTAAACATTATAATTATTTGACAGTTAATTGTCACGTTTAAAGCTCGTGAGAGAACCCCAGCTGAGACCAAAGATATGATCAAATGAACAAATTAATATATGGGTTGCAAAACTCAATAATAATTGTTATTAATTATTATATTCTATAATCGTATATTAAAGTATTAATATATTTTAGGAGGTAAGGAAAGAATAATTTAATTATAATTACATGTAAGTTTCATTTAATTTTTTATTTTTATTTACGCTTTATTCGTCCTGAAAAAGGACTGGGAAGAGTCTGCTCTAGTCATTAGATTTTAAGAGAATCGTATCATATAGTTGTATATTCTTTAGAGAGTAAGATTATGCAAGATTTAGCTTAGGTTTATTTTATTGCAATAGTGTTTTTTTTTGTTAAAATAAGAATTACTTCATCGTTTTAATTTAAATGAAAGTTGAAGATGTTGATGTTTTATTATTATTCATGAATAATGCAGAAGAATTAGATGAGCTTTCAAATTGAATAGAAATCAAGTATATAACTTTGAAGACGTATTATTTTCTTTAAAAGTAATAGTTCATACCTAATGCTTGTTAATAAAAAAAAATTTCATGATTTTTCAAACACGTCACCTTCGGGTAACGTTTCCAGCTCGTGATCTCAATATATAACCGCACGTGAGAACAAAAACCGCGTTGTATAAGTTAAGAAAAAATAATCGAAGTATGTACATGAGTAGATTAGTTAAAAAAGTTTAATTAATATATTGATTAATCATTAACAACAATCGGAGGCAATAATATTAATAAATGTCTTCTGATTCAATAAAAAAATAAATTAATTATTAAAACTAAAAGTCTAACGATTGTTGTTATTAATTCGTGTTAGACTGCATCATGATGACTGCAATAAAATATCCAGAAGTATATTTTCTTTGCTGAATGAAAATAATTAACACTAATAAAAACTTTTTAATGTAAAAACACATATTACGAAAAATAGGGTATAAAAAAATTGTCTAGCTATCCTTGCTATTCCAACGGTGGAGTTATTAAAAATGTTACCACGAAAAATATAAGTTCTTCGTGTGTGAATGTGACCTTTTCTGACAAAAATATAATTTAAAAGAATAAAATAATTATTGTTTTAGATAAATACGAAAATAATTGTTATCAGACATATTTAATGAAATAGTATTCCATTTTATGTTTTAAAATACGTCATATTACTTTGAATAATTCTAGTGCTAAACAATAATATACCTATAAATATTGAAGAACAAAAAAATTTATTCACATTCTTGCGAGAGCAAATAAGTTAATTAATGTAATTGATAATAAGTATAAGCAAGTAAATTCATAAAATGGAAAATATATGAATAACTATAAATTGTAGTGTGTGATTATGTATCGATACAATGTAAAGGAGACATAAAATATATTATTAAAAATGTATTATAATTTTCTTGTGAGAGGCTTGGGAAATTCGAACGAGAGAAAGAGAACGAGAGAACGTTTAAGAAAAATGAAATGCTCTATTAGCTTATGAAACAGGACATATATGTAACTATAAACAATATGAAATTGTTTAAGCAATTAAAATATTCGGTATTTATTTATTTTATGTTAGTAAAAAATTTCGTATTAAAAATACTTACTAATTGTTACTCGAAAATTGAAATTGATAAACTGTTGTTTGAAAAGGGAGACAGAAAACGTGCTACAAGATTGATGCTTTTTTATCTTCCGGCTTTCTCAGTTCTAAATTATTTGCAAAAGTAATTAACCTGTTTCTCGTTGAACTTTCACATCCTGAATTAGTTTATCAAGATTAGTTTGTCATTCCTTTAGATGCTGCTTGATGATCTAATGTGAGTAAACAAAATATTTTTTACTTATCATTTCATTTATCGACAGACATTTCTCTAACATTTGTTAAATACAAACCTTGAAAATCATTCAATTTCAATAAAGTGTCAAGTTATGAAATTTAAACCTTGAAACCTTGAAAAAAATAACCATTAATTTTATCAGAAGATCATTGAATAAATTTATTTCAACAATTATTATCCCTTTACTTCTATCTTGAATAATTCTTGTAGTTGTGTATTAATTACAACAATTAAATGAATCGTCATTGAATCGGTAAATCTATTAAAGACAAGAAATTATATCCTTCTTTATTCTTTTTTGTGCAAAATCATTGAGCTTTGTATTATTATATCCCTACTATTATTCTACCAGTGTACTCCCTTCTCTTACATATAACTAACCATCGCGGTCGATAAAAAGATAGACTGCAACCATGTTTCTGCTTACCACCTCCACTATTGCAGCCGTCAGTTCAACTCAGCTGTTTCTGTTTACTAAACAAAGAAGCCAGTTGAACGGTGGGCAGCAAGCAGAGCATTACGCCTGTTGTGTTTCCCCTGAGTTCAAATTAATTCTTCTTTAAATCATTTGTTTTTTTGAATTTTTTCTATTTTTTTGACAAAACAGTACGTAGATTAGCAAAGTGAATAATTCATACGTAGGTCCACGTAGATGTCAAGGTCTTTTTTTCAACCAAACGGAATTAAAACAGTTAAACGTGAGTTATAAGTAACGTTTGAGCTAAATAGAAAATACAATATTTACTTGTTGGAGTTACTAACGTCGTGGGACGCAGAAATAAACGTGCAGAACAGTGAGTAGATCTAGAAATAGGCTGATGTTTTGTATATCTACCCTTTGGACCTTCTAGCAGTCCCTGACCTAATTGTCAACTTATATCAACAAAAGCAGAAGACACGTAATATCTTAAGTGACAGCATGTTCTAGAGATTGAATTTGTATCATCAAAATAAAAGTTATATCTTGCGCAAAACTCGTAACCCCGGTATACGTGAGGTCATAATCGATTCTAGACTCCCTCCGTGGCTAGTAAAGGTAGCTGGGTATTTTGCATCAGTGTTCTCAGGAAAAAGTACACTATAAAAAAATCCATGCTAAAAAAGGTGTATTTTTATGTTAAATTTCAATGACAAGTGGTTGACAATCGTTGGAACGTGCAAATCAACATTTTGCATAAGTGATTACTACATCAAGTTCAGTGCAAAAAATAGCATTATATAAGATTCTTGAAGATGGTACTGCCGTGGAAAATCTTGTTGAATTTAGTTGTGAGGTTGCGCAGATAGAGATGGAATAATGATGGTTCTCACGTGGCATATAGACGTTGTTGTGAGAATCTCACGTAAAATACCGTTCAAAAGAATCTGTAAAATGTCAAGCAGGTATTTAAATCATTTTTTCATTCGTATTTAAAAACCAGGTTCATATAAATGAGAATGATTATTACAAAAAAAAAGAGATCGCAGTGAGATTAGTTTTTTATAATGATGAAAGTTTTGAATTACGCCATTCATTCCTTTCTACTTTAAGTCAAATAACTTCAAAAAATAATAATTGGAAATCTTGGTTTACCAATCTACGATTTGTGGCTGGCAATCAAAATTATTACCTGGAACCAGTTGCTTTTTTTATTTTCACAATTTATCCTTCTTCTTGTCAATCTTATTTTCTAATACTATGCATTGTAATCAGCATTCTGTGTATCAATTTACATTTCCGCGATAAATGTCAGTGGAGAATAAATATCACTTATTGAGATGATTTTATAATTATGACAGGATCACTTAGCATAACGGACAGCTCTCAAGGCCAATAGAGCATTGGCTTTCGTAAAACAACGTTATTGCGATCGTTTCTCATGCGCTACACATTCATTTCGAAAGCGCACTCAAATTACTATTACTCGCCACGGCTATTTACTTGTATCCATATGAAAGCGAGAGTGGACTAGTCAAGAAAATGCATTTTATTGTTATAAGTATGTATGTGGAATTGAATGTTGGAGCAAAAAGAGAAACAAAAAGGTTATTGTCCTCTAATTTGACAGAGCTGATGAATTATTCTACATAGATCCTGAAGAAGATCATTATTTATGATGATTTAAAATGTAAAATATTAGATCATATGATTGAAAAAATATGTCATCACTTAATTGTTAATAGTAAAAAGAAATAAAGATTAGTTTTCTCCAAAAAGACTAAAAAGTGAAAGAATCAAAGAGAAAATCTAATAAATCTTTGACAAGAACGAGTCTTTTCATTTTACTAGAATTATTTAAATTTTATGATCATCTGAAAGCATTGAAATTTAAATTAAATACATAAAAATTAAAAGGTAACCAAGATATAATTCGATAAACTAGAAAAAGAGGGAGAAATCATGGAGAACACGAAGCATCCGGGTTGTTCTTTCTTCTCTTTATTCTTCCCCTCGCCTCATTCTATCTAGTTCTCTCTTTAACTTTTTCCTAGGTTGAGGTTGAGAAAGAAGAGAAATATTGGTCCCTGTATAAATCGAACAAAGGAACGTTCCATGCATATACAACGTAGAAAACGTGCACAAGAAAGATAGTGAATAGCCTTGGAAGTGAGTAACTCAAGTGTTTGGTCGAGACTGATGGCAATAATCTGCGCAGTAAGTTCTATTCGTGATGTTTCCACATTACATATAATTGAGTACTTTGGGGACAATTTTCTATGGTATTTTTTTACTTTTATTACGTTATGTAAAACAGATTTAAAAAAAAACCGCAAACATCTCAGTGAGTTGGATGATTTAGACGTTTGAAATGAGAGTAAGCATGAGGCTATTTTGTCTGACTAGGTCACTTGGTTTCTTGAATTAAGTTATGATCAACTATATGTTGACACAAATAGGTCACTGTCTCCAGCTCTATTTTGGCAGGAGAGCAACCCAGTAACCTTCGATTACTTTTTTAAAGATCACTCGTCAGATTTAGGTCAGATTAACGGATGTAGATGAGGCTTTAATAGATTTCTATTTAACTGGGGGTTAGAGTTGCATCTAAAGATCTTTTTTTTCTTCTTATTCTTCTCCTTCTCAAACTATCAGCACGATGAGTTGGAATTCAACACCAGAGCTTGGGTATCTCGACCTTTGCAAGCATAGTTGTAATTAGACGAGGGCTTCGCTCTATTCGTCAGTGTAAAATGTTGGCGTGGCGATATATAGTAAAGCTAGAAGAGTAGAGGCGGATGAGAAGAAGCAGATGCAATTCACGAGTGACCTAGTCACACTGTTGCAAACGTTTTTGTTTGACATTTCGTAAGAGAAACGCTTAACATCCTCGTGAATTATTCAATAAGTAATAATGCATTAATCCACACTTATCGATATTCTTTCTTCTGACTGCATCTAGATAAATAATAAAAAAATGTTGATGGTTCAATCATGTTGATGTGATAATTGAAACTATTCTTACTTACATTGATGACTGCATTTCATATTTTAAACTTGTAACTGCGCAACATCTTCAACTGTATGAATAGCTGATCTAATATTATATAGATTCTATAGCCATTTTCCAAATTGCCTGTTATTTTTACGTCATCGCCTTTGTCATGTATACAAATATTTTTACTTTGTATCGATTAAAAAAATTCTAACATAATAGAGCTCGTAGATCTTATCAATGTTATCGACAATTATTATCATAACCAAGTCTATAAATGATAATCAGTTCATTTTTATAGAATTGATAATCAATGGTAAACAATACCTGACAATTTAATGAGGATAACAATGGTACCATATAATACTTAATTGGAGTAATGAATTAAATAAATATATTTAACCTGACTTAGTTGTTGAAACATAACAAAAAAAATTAAAATTTTAATGTTTTTATCATTTATATGAATGACTATAATTCTTATTATTTTAAAAGAGAAATAAATTAATTGAGCTCGAAAAGCTTGTAGTAAAATAATTGCAGCAAGATCATAGCAAGGTTTAATTATCAGCTGTTGAATAGAAAGAGAAATGTCGGTTGCATGACGACTAATTGCATAAGTAGACGTCGATAAGTCTCCCTGTGGCAGCGTGGAAAATTGTTAATATCCGTTTGAAGAGCTGCAGTAGAGAAAAAATAGATAAAAAAAATTAACTAGAGAACGTGATTAAAAAAATAAAAAACAGAGGATAAAGTTAAAAAAACACCGGAAAATAGATACATCACAATCACGTAAACACATAATATAAATTGGTATAAGTTAAAATTCAACTTTCAACATGTGGAGAGACGTGTATCAGGAATAAAGTCAACCGAACGAAACGAATGAGACCGTGACGCACCTGCTGTCAAGTTATAAATTGCACAAATCAATTGACCGCTACTCGGTTGAAATGGTTTGCTAAAAAATTTAACTGGAAAATAAAGTAATTTCGCTGCTTCTCTTTCTCTTGATATCGTCAGTCTTTGTTACCTTCAGTTTCCTTTTACTCACTGAATATCCATAGTAGGGACATACTTTCGCGTCACCCGATGCATTAAATGGCGCGCAGCATGAACAAGGAGTCGCTGTCACGATTCTAATGTGCCTATAACTCGGAGCAATGCACGCCACAGGTTCTGGTATAGCAGAGGCTTCCCTCTCCTCTGACTGCACCACCACACTTCTCATCTAAGCCTGGAGAAAGTTAATTTCGCATGGCCGTTGAACCTATCGTACGTATGAACGACGTTACGTACAGAGATAAGACGTGCATGTCGAGAGGTGTACGCCACTAGTTATTCTAATGCTTCCAACTCCATATATTCATGTTTGTTTTTTTATATCAGTCGACCTATAACATTACAAGTTAATATAATTTAATAGGAGATGACTTTAAGAGTCAGAAATAAGTTAGATTTATGGAAAGTTATCTAATCGTAAATAGAGAAACAAGGTACGTTTGAAATAAAAGAAAAATTGAAGTAGTAAAGTTGAATTATTGATGATATTTAATAGGATTAAAAACTGCTCTCACTGCTCAAGAGTGGTTATATTCTTTCCCTTTTAAAAAAAAGTACTAATGGAGAAGAATACCCTCTTATTCGAGAAAAAGAATGAAAAGCTTTTTTGAATTGTCTTTACATGATAAGTATTTTCTTGTCATGTAGGTGAAAATGTTTTCTTCATTTAATTTATCACCTGAAGCAAAACAAAAGGTTGATAAAATTCTTAAAACACTGTGAAACACGAATAACATTTTTTATTATTTTTTAAAGCTGTTGTAAAACAATCGTCTTCAAACACTTAATTTAGGAGTACTTGAAAAAGGCAACTCAGCAACTTTAATATTTGATTCGAGATAATTGACAAAGACCTGAAACTAATTTGTAGAAAATATAGTTTAATTTATCTAGACACATTTCTTACCATTGCTCATCAAAGAGAATGCTTCGTCAAGTATCCAACGACCTGGGAAATTTGCAAGATGCTTTCCCTGGCATTTCTGAATAATCGTAGCACGATGGAAAGTCCTCTATCCTTTCATGAAGATGTATCAAATAAGCTTAGTAAAAAAAAGCAGGAAGATCAGGCATTTTGCCAAACCTTCTGTTCTGTTGGCATGAACCATCTGACGTAATCAGGTTTAAAAACGAACGTCGAACTCGGTGACATTTAGTAATGGAAACACCTTAGGAATTCGTACTTTAACATCTTTCTTCTATTCTCCGAATTAACCTGAAAAAAATACCAAAAAAGTGAGAAACTCCGAAAAAAATGAAATAATCAATAACCTTGAAAATGGAGGATCATGACCTCACAACCGCATTGTTTGCAATCCTCCAGACTGCAATACCCACGATTTCTTCATACTTTGAATTTTATTGAAAACAATAGAAACAATAAGATTGATGATCCAGTGAAATTACGTCTTAATAAAACTCTGTTAAATAAAATATCTAAATTCGCAGCTTTGTTTTCAAACATTGGTGGGTTTTGAATCATCGGTCATTATGATTTGATGATGGTAGTAATGAGTCATCACTAGAAAAATTGATGGAAAATATCATGAATAAATGGAAAAGAAATATCCTATTACACTTGTTAAATGATATTAGATAGTGATTAGAATAATTTATTAAGTATCCGTGAAGTGAGAGAGAAATATAAAGTTAGTTTCTGTTAACCAGACAGAACCGGTTGGATTTCCTAGGCCTGCAAGCGATTTTGCACGTTGCGTGGGCGAAAGGCTGAGTATCTAGCACTCCACACGTGTTACACACATACATATGAATGTTATATACTAACAATTATAGGTTACAAAAGTATTCCAACTCTAGTATACTAACGCTAGACTAGCCAAGTGCTGAGATTGTATACGAAGAGCTTGAGGGAATCACAGTACCGGTTTGCAACTGCAAAAAATACAATGCTCCGACCTTAGCCAATATGGTCAGACAAGATTCTATATCTCTTTCATCTAGTCCTCTCTCTGTCTCCAATGCTGTTGCCCTCGAGAGCTTTGCCATTTTATTTGTCATTTTTCCCCATCCATTTCCACTAATTTATCCTTCAAAGTATCAAGGATACTTCTTTGTTCCTATAGTTATTTTTTGTATTACATTTATTATATTTTTTACAGAATGCTGTAAAGATGCCATCGCTCCTAGAAGCACTGGAGTTGAAGTATGGGAGCACAGCAGAAAATTGCTCCGAGTGCTCATTAACTGATGAAGAAACTGAATTATCAGGATCACCAAAAAGCACTCTGTCAGTCAGTATTTTTATTCCTAAGAAGTCACCACGACACACAGTTCCTGCTTTACTTGTTCTTCAAGACTGTGACATTGAATGTGCTGGTAATGATGCAGAAAAATTAAAGAACAAGTGCAAAAATGTAGAGGAGTTGGACTTGGCACAAAATAAATTATCACAATGGGAAGAAGTTTTTGGAATACTTCAACACATGCCAAAAATAAAATTTGTCAATCTGAGTTTCAATAGTCTAGCAGAAGCTTTAGAAATTAAAGATGGCAGATACGAATCCCTGCGGAATCTAGTTCTAAATGGAACCAGAATCTCTTGGGGGACAGTTCAGGATTTAGTAAGACTTCTACAAAATTTAGAAGAACTTCATCTATCATTAAATGAGTTTAAGACTGTCGACTTAGATCATCGAATTCCAGAAAATAGAAATAAATCTTTGAAGAAACTCCATTTTACTGGAAATCCCGTCGAAAGTTGGTCAGAAATCTGCAAACTTGGCTATTCTTTTCCTAATCTTGAAAGCCTCGTTCTTGCTGAATGTCCTATCAGGTCTTTTGCTTTAGATGAAGAAGAAAATCACAACTATAGTGGACAAAATTTGTCACAAAATAAAATTACTACAGAAAAGCCTAAGGAAGATGAAAATGAAAATGTTGAAAAATTTATGGAGCAAGAAGAAGCTCAGGAAAATTCAGTTACACCAGAGAGAATATTTGGAGAGGAGAAAAAATATAATGGAAGTGAGAGTGAATGTGAAAATACTGGAAATAAAATTTCATCTCCACATGATCCTTTTAGAATGTTGAGATTTCTCAATGTCAATGGTACTCTTTTGTCTACCTGGGATGAAGTTGAAAGACTCGCTCGGTTTCCTGCACTCAAATCTCTACGAATGCAGGGTTGCCCACTTTTCGAGGTAAATAATTAATTTTTTCTTGAGTAAATATTTAAATAAATACTCATCCAATCTGCAAAATAAAATAATCCAGTATTAATGGTATTAAAAATGTATATTCTTACATTTCAACTTTTACTCAAAGCAATCGTTAAATATTTAAATGAGTTTGAATTTAAATTAGAGGATAAATTGATTAATTTATTGTCGACATCTCCTTAAATTATTGGTTTATTGGATACTGATACAATTTAGATAGAATCGATAACGCTTTATTATTGTGATTACAGAGTCCTCGAGAATACACAGAACATGAGAGACGGCAGTTACTCATTGCAAGACTTCCTAATGTGGAAACACTCAATGGTGGTGGGGTAATTTCCTCTCAAGAACGCGAGGACGCTGAAAGAGCATTTATTCGGTACTACATGGACAAACCGGAAGCGGACAGACCAGAAAGGTTTTTATTTTTCTATAACCAGAATATTTCACCTTGTAATACCAAAAAATTCATTGTTTTTTATTACTTTTTTTTAGGTACGCGGAGCTTGTTGGTATCCATGGAAAATTAGATCCTTTAGTTAATGTTGACCTTACACCAGAAAAGCGAGTTAAAGTCAAGTTTACATACGGAGACCTTGTGGAGGTAAATTTAAGATTATTTTTTAATGACATATGTTTTACTTAAATATAATTTACACTTATTGTTCAGGTACGCTGTGTTGATGTATACAGAACAGTTTTTGAACTAAAAACTAAATTGGAGTCAATGGTGAAAATTCCAGCCAACAGAATGAGACTTTTTTACGTTGATCAAGTATGAATATTTATCAAGTTTTTAATTACTTTTATTATAAATACTTTAACCAAGTTTAGGTTATTAAATAATAAATCGTCTTAATTAAGTCTTGAAATTTATGGTGATTGAAGTAATTTTTAAAGTTTTTATGAATATAATTTACAGGTAATGAAAGCTCAATATGGACCAGAAGAGATGCTGTATCCAAATAAACAATTATATCGATACAACATAAGAAACGGTGATGAGATAATAATTGACAGCAAGTTGAATCGCTTTGTGTCAACATCATCAAGTACATCATCAATTCGTTCTTAAATAAAGTCTAACTGAAGCAATAAAAGTGAATATCGTCCGAATAGAAACTTACGAGGTCACTATCGATGATTATGCTGTGAAGAAAAGCGTAAATACGTATGATCTCTATGAATCCATTAAAGATTGGGAAGTGAAACAAAAGTCAGTTATGCTTAGATCAATTGTAGGAATTTCCAAACAATTATTGACTGTCGTATTTGTTACTTCGATCGCTGTCACACTTTTCAAAATGTAATCAGAAAAGTAACAGCAAGTCATCTTATGTGAAACAAAAGTCTTATCTAACGACTATTGTCCACAAAATCTATAGAATCAAAGAGACAAAATAGTTCTCAAGTTGATGTTGATAAAATATAGACTATTTTTATATATGATAAAAGCTATTGTAGACATTAGATGCATTCACGTTGAGAAGCTATGGTTATTTATACGTTTGAAGAAACAATTTGTCTCTGTCAATCTGTTTTATTTAACAGCGGATTTGCAATAAATTTATATAAATAATCTGTTGCATATCCACTCTAATTTCTCTGGCTGTGACAAGTTTATTTAGTCAAAAGAGTAACCGCCAACAACGAAGTTTGATGTTTTTGAATTGATCAGTGTCGTAAATCGTATGAGAGCGTATATTTTCCGTTGTTGTGTTTAACAAATCGCTTTCAAGGTTCTTGTAATTAATACAGTATAATTACTGTCAGTTGAAAAGCCTGGAAAAGTATAAAGTCAGTTAAAAAGTCATATGTCAACATATATAAGTTATGTCTAAATATTAAAAAAAGTGAAAGCGATGTTATTTGAGTAAATTGTCAAATTAAAATAACAAATTAATGTTTTTAACAACGTGAAGAAGAGCCACTTTTTGTGCCTGTATTAAAGTAATTCAGACGCATCTAACACTGCCCTGTAAATATGTATAACCGTCGGCATGTTAAGAAAACCCTATAGTTATTTTTCTTGTTTTTGATGTTTAAAAATAATTAGAAATTTGAAAATTTATTTTATTCTATTGTTCTCTATGTAGAATACATCATTATCTATTCTAATGTAACTACTATGAAATTAAAACTAAACGTCAGAGCAAGGATTGCTCTTCGTCTAGTCTTGAATGAAAAAAGAGATAAAATTTTAGCTCTCATTTTTTTTTCGATGCGATAATTCGGTTTTTTTTTGTGCTGGCGCAAATGTACGTACTAACAATTAATAAATCATTTGTATATCAACAAACAATTGGTATTTTATATAATAATGCAAATATTCATATTTAATCAAGGCAGTATATACTTGAGCTGTAAGTTTTACACGCTTTCCATCTGTTGTCACAACGTAATGGTCGACATCACCCTCGACGTCCCATGAAGTATACGAGGGGTAAATTCGGATCGATTGTATACCTCAACTCTACTGGCGCCACATTCTAGTTCACGGCTCATAAAACTCCGAACTTGCGCGTCGACTCCATGACCATCTACCCCACATGCCTCACCCTCGCTTTAGTCGCGTACGAGCAGCGTGCGAGAGCGCGAAGGGAGTGACGTATGAAACGCGACGAGTAAGAACACACTCGCGCGTTAGTTGGAGGAAAGTGCAGATGATAAAGTACCCAGGAAGTAGTAGCTTTGCTTCAAAATGTGACTGGTTGTGAAGGGAGAGGGGCTTGCATGCTCGTATTCTCCACAACAGCATCAGCCGCTCGGACATCACTCCGTTGCAAAGTGTCGTCATAGAAAAATAGATCGGGACGACTATTAGCAGCAGCAGGGCGAGTCGTGTATCGTGTTGTCGATGCACACACGGAAGCAATGGAATAGCCAATCGATTTTTAAGTGCGCCAGGAAAGGAAGCTAAACTGGGGTAAGTTCACTAATAATTATTTACTTATTAAATATCTTATATTTATTCAATTTCATTGTGACTCTATGAGCTGAAGATTCTTGCATTCTCTATGAATGCAAGGATTCTTGGCTCCAAGGATCAAAATTCATGCAGCAACAGAGTGAGCAGGCGCGGATATGCCAAGTGTCACGACAACGTCGCGTGAATCCTCTGATCGTCACGTTTCCTCGAGGTATTTTAACTAAGGGGTAGCAAGTAGAAATTACCGATTAGGGTTTGATTGTTTTAACAATAGACGAACATGAGAAATACTCCTATACAATTAAATCTGCCAACATCGATCGATTATGACATCATGGTTGACTGACCTCATTTACACTTCGGTCAGGTCATGACGATCGACGTCATGAGGCAGGATTCAGGTCGCCTGGAAGACTATTCATTTTCCTCCCTATTCGATATACTCTCCTTTCATCATGCTTATTTTCTCCAGTGAAGTTTTCCCCATCTCACTTGATTTTCCAATATTTTCAATAATTGTTTTTAATTATAGTCACTTATCCTTCCTTTTACTTTTAGCAACTCTACAATCAACATGTAATGAAGATAAATCGTGATACTGATACCGTTCCAAGCTGTGCCTGTTCCTTTCTTATCTGACCTTTGAAATTGAACTTGTCTTATTCCGTTTCCGACTATACCAATTTCTTAGAAATTATCAAAATACTCTAAATACTATACAGATATACTTGTAATACTATTTAGGCTTTTTTAGAATAAAAACCAGGTCAATAGATTTTCTTCCTAGGTCTTGGTATCAGCGATCAATTTCAATGCAAATCCATTCGAATAAATGAATCACTGCAGATAGTAGATAAAAAGTAATTTCATAAATTAATTCATTGGTTTGTCGATTTAGAGTCAAAGCCATGATTGCACTTTTTTAATTGTCAGATTTATCGTAGTAAAATAGTTAAGAGTTCATTTTATCTACTTTCATAGAGAATGTTTTTTTTATTTTTCATCCCTTTGCCTCGTTTGTCGATTCATTTTTTCATCAGTAGTAGATGGGTTCGATGTTCTTTAACTATGTAACTATAAGCCGTTGCACGTTTTTTAATCGTTCAGTAAAGCGCGTGCGTTTTTAACAAGTTTGACTCTGATCAAGTATGTATTTTTCGCATGTGTATATTCTGAATCTATTAATAGAAGCGTGTATATTAGTGAAGTTTTGTACTCACCAACAAAATAGTATTTTATTATATCTCTCTGCAATTGAATTTCAATACATGTCAGTTACAGTGAAATCATTTTTTATCTAGAGAATTTAGTTACCTTGTAATGTTGTAATATTCCATTTATATTGGAATTTATATTATATTCCAAAATTAACAACCACTCATACAAGTGCGAATTTATTCATCATGAGACTGTGTAACTCTCACGTCATACACCTAAATAGAATAAAAATTTTAATTAATAAATTAATTTATATGTAGATTAAATAAAAATATTTGTGTAATTAAAAAAAACGATTTTATCAGTAAATCAGTGCATCTAGAATAGTGAAAACAAATATAGACAAATAAAATTGTATACTCACGAATAAAAAATTATTGAATTATATTTTATAACTCTACAACAAAAGAAGTTTGCTTCAGTGAATGTTTTCTTTAAAAGTAAATGAGAAAAGTATTTTATACAAGGTTATTTTATTTATTTTGATGTTTATTGTAACCACAAGAATATTTTTTTTTCACAAAAAACATCAACTTGATATTGAAAAAAAAACAAGCCAAATAAAAAACTCAACAACATAATGTAGAGAAAAACCATCAATATACCAAATCGTTAAATAAAATAGTACCAACTGAACGTTATAAAATAAATGAATAACAGTAAAGTGGCTAAAGTCGATACATAGGTTGATTACACTGCTACTATTTATTTTGCATTCAAAGATAAATTTTTTGACTATACCCCTGGGCAAACAACGTCGGCGTGCATACAGGCAATTGGATATGAGTCCCTTGGGTGTATAAAGCGAGAGTGTAATAAATTTAACAAAGAAAATGATATTCACTATGGTTGTCTGGATTGCTTACCAGACATGAAACAAAGGCATTCCATTTTCTATTTGACATCAAGTGTTCTTTAGGGACTGAATATATTCCTAAATCCCTTTACACTTTAAACCTACTACTTCATATTCGCACTTGGAAATACATTTTTAACCTATATGGTGCATGTATTTATGTCTGCTGTTAAAATATAATGTTTTTGAAGTCTCCTTATTATTTTTAAAAGTAAATAATGTCTTCCTCTGTCTTTACTAATGACCTTGTCCTCAAGCTCTAAGTGAGCTAACACTGTTGATTAACTTGACGAGAAAAATAGCCTAGTTGTTAGACGCTAATGACGAGTCTTGGCTTAACGAGATTATACTAAAAAAACTTTTCTTCTATTTCAGAATTATTAGAGACTGGTGAGAAAGAATGGCGTCAGGATTCCCGAGCAGACACCAAAAGAAGCTTGGACCAGCACCGATTGCATCGTTCGAGGATCTATCCGACGAAGTGGAAAACGTGAGTTAAGCAACAAACAAAAAATGTACAACAGTGCTCATTTTCTGGAAGTCATCTATTCATCTCGGTTCTTCTTCTTCTTCATGTTGAAAGAGAACACAAAAACAATGTCTAAGAGGCAAATTATGTACCAAAACTTTGTGACAAAAGGTTAAAAACAGACAAATCCGTCCGTACCATCGCTTCGATTATTATCTTCGAAGGATAAAAATTAAAGAGCAGTGTCTCGATGAACCACGCGCATTGAGGAATGATTTTTTGAATTGTAATGCAGGGAGAACCAACGGTACGAATGCCAGGCATCGTGGAGGTGACATCTCCTGTAACTCCAGGGAGCTCACTGAAAACCCCGAGCACTCCGAGGATCGACATCAGTCGGGCAAGCAGTTCTTCTCACCATGAGGACAGTAACAATTCCAGGGAATCATCGCCTGAAATTGAGTTACTTGCAGGTCAGAATGTATATTCAAAATTAAATTATTTTTAACAAAGCTGAATATTGTACTAGTTTTATCTTTATTGAGTAGTAATCTAGTTTTTATTTTATCTTTAATGAAATATTTTTCAATAAACTCGGGCTATTATAATGTGAAATATTTAATACACAATAAAACAGGGTATTCACATTTAGTTTTCAATCTCCAGTTAGAACCTGTTAATGAAGTTTTTTAATTAACATCATGTTATATCTATTCGCTTTTAAAGTCATCTTTGTATTCATAAAAATGTATAATTCAGAATAATTCCAAAAAAAATTTATTTTTGCTATTATAATTATTAGAAAACATCTCATACAATTTTTAATAATAAAATTGCAGGAGCTGAACAACCACCTGGACCCAAGCTTTCTTTAGGTTACAAAGAGGACGTTCAAGATTTGAGATCATCAACGGAGGAACTTGATCTTCAAGATCCTATTCATGCTCAGGATCTTAAAAGAGCCTCTAAAAAAGCTCGAAAAAAGAAAGAAGATGGAACACAATCTGAATGTGGTGCGAGTTTGAGAGAACGAGAGCGTAAAGATAGCAATTGTTCAGAAATAATTTTGTTAAATATCAGTGGAAGGACGTCCAGATTGTCTTCCGTTGGAAGTCAAGGTTCTGGTGTTTCAGGGAGGCTTTCAGTTGTTTCTGCCACGTCTTCTAGGTATCATTAAATTTTTTTTAGTATAATATTTTATTCTTAGTTCTTTGCATTTATTGATCCTGCTCTTATTTTAGATCACCGAGTCCACACAAGTGTCAGCTGGAGACATCCTTTTGTGGTAGCAAAATAACGCTCGCAGAAACTCCGATCGAAACTTCAAAGCCGGAAACAGACGACTTGGAAAAAATATTGTTAAAACGTGAAGCTGATACGACGAAGGCTCTGATTCCAGAGAGTATAAAAGTGCCAATCGTTGATGGGAATCTAAAGCCCGATCCATTGGATAAACCGAGAAGACGTGGACGTGAAGAGAGAAAGGAAATATTCAAACGAGAAGTGGAAATTACCAAAAAAGTATTGGAAAAAATCAACATTGAGGTAATATTCATTTAATTAAAAATTTTTTTCCACGGTTAAGCCATTATTGATCGAAGTTTTTATAAATCAATTAATAATTTTAGGTTCCAATTATTAAAAAATCACCACAGGAATTTGAAAAAGAGGCTAAACCTCAGCAAGAGATCCAAAAACCCGCCACATTAGATTTTAATGACAAGAGAAAAAAAGCTCAAAATTTTAAAGATGTTGTTCAAACACCTCCATCTATTGCAAGTCTCTCAGGTAGTCCGAAGTTGCCCCGGCATCAAAAAGTTCGTGAATTGGAAGGTTCGAGGACACCAAGTCCTTCTTCAGTTTCGAGGAAAAGTAGTTTTGCTGCTCTTTTCAAGGTAAACTAGTGTACGTTTAATTTTTAAGTTAAAAAACTAATCTAATTTAGCTATAACTCAGTAAAAAAATTTTTATTTAAAAATTATTTCAATAAAATTGTCTACATCGGTAACATTATTTTCTTCAAAAATAAACAAAAAAATTTTTTTAATTACTAAAAATCATTATCAAACAATCGAAATAAGAATTAAAATAACAATTAAAATATAGGACGTATTTACAGGCTAGAGCAGATGGAAGCTCAGCAAGTCCTGAATCATCTGGATCAACTTCGAAACCTAGACGGAGCTTAACTTCTAAAATAAAAGATACAACAGAGAGCCTGAGAAGTAGATCTAAATCAAGAGAACGTGTGTCAGTGGATAAAGGCAGTACGAAGAATAAAAATGTTTTTACGTCGACATTAAGTTTATTTAAAAAGCGAGAAAGAAAAAAGAGTACAGATGATATGGTTAGTACTCCAGAACATGAAATAATGTTTGCTGATGGCCATCCTTCATTAGAAAGTATTGGAAATGTTGAATTTCGTTTTGATGCTGGCAGACCGAGTAGAAATGAAGATTCAATTTTTATAAGTCTTCATGCAGACTCAAGAAATTATGAAGAGGCTTTGCCATCAGAAAGTGTGTCTATACCATTAGAAACTCCTACAAAATTATTAGATGAATATGATAGCGAGCCAAGAACTGGTAACATTGTCACTGAAGCTTCAATTGAGCATAGAGCATCGGTGACAAGAATAAAAACAGAGGCGAAAATTGAATCAACGTCAAGAGATGAAGCTCAAAGTCCTTTACGGCAAAGTGCATCGAAAGAGTCCCAAATCTCCAAAACATCATCAGCTGATTCACGAATTAGTGTTCAGACTGCCAAACACATTGATCTTTCGACGAGACCTACATCAAGAGAATTTGGCAAAGTAGAAGACAAGCTGTCAGCAAGTTCTTCAAGAGATTCAGTGGAGAGTAAAAAACAATCAGATGCAATGGTAAAACCTAAACGAAAAAGTAAAGAAAATTTATCACCAAAGGTTCAAGAAAATGTAAAAGACACTGGGGAAATTAAAAAAAAAAGTGTGACCGATGAAAGAGAAGTTTCTTCTTCTAGAGTTGAGAAAGAACCCGAAAAATTTGAAGAACCACTAAGAATATCAGAAAATTTATCGATTAAAGCTCAAGATGGTTTAATAAAAACTCCTAGTGTCGTTTCTGACTTGGATCATAACAGTTCTGAGTCAGAAAGAGATTCTGAGATAGATTTTGTAAGAAATAAAGTCATAAAAGTCACTGATGAATTATCTGATGAAAGAAAAGGCTTATTTAATGAGGAAAGTTTTGAAGAAGATTTCCCTTACGTACCAACAACATTACCAATGGAGAAAAGCGTCGCTGTACCAATTCGTTCTTTAAAACAGAGGCTGGAAGAAGTCAGAACGATTCCTATCGAGAGACCAAGATCTACAACACCCATAAATCCTACTCTTTTAGATGAATTCGTAATGCAAACAACTCACGAAGAAAAACCAACTGATAAAATGAAAATTTCGTTACCAAGAGAAGACAGTTTTAAAATGAAAAGCCCAAGAAAGCATTCAACTAATACGTTTACTGAATTTGCTGAGCGTGTTGTACCAGATGCTATCAAAAAAACTGTTGCTAAATCCCCTAGTCCTCCTCCACCACTTCCTCCAAGAGCTCCAGCTCGACCGACTAATTGGATAAATTTCGAAGAAATTCCTGAACGTCGAAAAGCGCCGAAAAGAATTCAAACTATACCTAGAGCTGAGGATGAAGTAAAGGGTGGTTTTACGTATGTTCAACCTGAAGACTGTAGGTGTGAGTGTCATGAAGAGTCTCGAAGAGCAACCAATAGAGAATCTTCAACTGGTTCCTCTTCAAATGCCTCAGCTAATGTGTCTTCATCAACACCGACAACCTCTTCCGTCACAAGAGCTTCATCAACATGCAGCAGTAGTAATGGGGAACGTGCTTGTAACGGAGATAATTGCACTGCTCCAACAAGTTCCGGTGATCGTGCGAGTATCGTCAGGTAAATGGATTGTGGTACGATTTATATTTAATTCATATGGGTGGGACAATACTCGAGTATACTCTGATTACCTTGATGATTGGTAGAAGTCTTTTTCTTTATTTTCAGTGACAGCTCCTTGGAGTGTAGTTTAAGCATTGAAGATCAAGGGGCTACGCAAGCTCTACTTGGACCTATGAAGCCCTTTTCTATGGACTTGGATGTTGGATCCAACAGATCGAGTATCATATCCCAGGATGAAAATGATGATATCCATGCACCGTAAAGTGACGTTAATTGAATTTTCAAGGACAGCTGCTTTACTGCGTGACAACTTGGGAATTGATTTCATGATAGTAGACATGGTTTTAACTGTTTAAAGTGTGATTTAGATATAGGACTATTTTATTTTCGAGTCGGTGCACATCAAGAGTAACGAGTTTGACCCAGATGAAAAACTTATGCCTCACAATTATCAACAAAAATGTGGATAGAGTCCAGCTTATTAAATTAGGTCAACGGATGTTGTAAGAAAAACTTTGATAATAAATAGGACAAATGAATATTAAACTTTAAAAATGATTGATGAGCAAGCTTTCAAAGCAAAACGAATAGAGTTGTTTATCTTGGATTTTATGTTTAAGTAATTCAAATTTCTGGTCATTAAATAATCAATTATGACCTTTTACTTCATATGTTGGTTTTTATTTCTGTATAAAAGCAAAAATAGAAATTAATAAGCTGAACAGTGAAGTTGATGAAAAATGATGAAAAAAGATCTAGTGCTATAACTAGACTTCAATGACTTCAATATGAAAAATTAAATTACATTGCTATTATTATGATTACGATTATAATTATGATTATGGTTATTATGGTTATTAATATGATGATGATTATTATTATTATTATGATTATTATATAAGAGAAGAAGAATGTTTAAATTAAGAATATTATGAGACCACATGCTACATTATAAGATAGTTAATTACGCATTTCGCGTTAAAGCCTTTAGAAAGTCCAACGGAACTCCTTAATATTAAATTCTTGGTATTGCGTTATTTAATTTGGCGCAGTAGTAAGAATAAAACAAATAAAGTATATTATCGAGTGAATGATAAAGAAATAATCAAAGAATTAACGGAGATTGAATTCACCTAACTCCTCATGGTAATTACTACTAGTAGAGACATATTCAAGTCTTCAAATTAAACCTCATTCTCTCTGCTCAACGAAAGTCTTTTATTTTAAAATTTCGATGAATAATAAGAAATATATAAATTATAGTCCATCCCACATTACCTCTTAGAAATATTTTCTACACGAAAAATTGTGTTCAATTGAATGAAAATTAAAAATTAATGACTGTATAATTGTGGAATGAAGTGTTAATTTTGGATTTCATCGTGTGAATAAGCTTTGTGATGACACATATTAGCATTACGTATGCTTCACTCATGTCAAATAATCATTAACTGTATAATTCAACATGGTTATTCTTCGTGGTGTTAATGAAAATGTTAAAAATACACCACAATTGTTGAGACTGCGAAGAATCGATTTTCTCGTTTCCTTCTACCATTACACATATTCTGTAAATGATACTCCGTTAAGTGATATAGATCCTGTTGGACGTTCGAACTGTACCTGTCGTTCTTTAACGACCTGTTCTTTGTCTAATTATTAACTACTTTGAGAGAAAATATATTGTTTCTATTAAAAACAAGAAATTCATTAGTAACATGATACAATATTTTATTACAATTGAATAGCAAAGATATTTATTACATTTTAATTAAAATCATTTTTCTTTATCTTTAAACAAATTTTATACTAATATTTTTTTCCAGGAAAGTAACGTAAAAAGAATTTTTTGAACAAGAACAAAATTAATCATTTTCTCTGAGAGTAAGGCAAAGAAATTTAAATATTAATTAAACCGAAGAACTTGACATTAAATTTTAATTAATCTATCATTAGATGTTAATAAAAAAAATAATTGGAGTGTTTGTAATTCATCCTTTATTCTGGTTTGAGCGTTTTATCATTGCAGTAAGAATCATAATGTAATCTTAATTAAAACAAACTACAAACATTATAAATTAGTATCAATATCAAAGGCTATCGAATGTGCCAGGTTTTGATCATCGTTAAACGTTAATTTGTATAGAAAAAAAATATCATAAAAAAAAATACATGAATCTTTCAGAGGATAAAAAATAAACCTCTGTTAAAAAGCCAGACTCTCGTCTTACTTGAGTCTATGTGTCACAATGCGAACTCGAGTGAAAAAAGCTTGATCGCTCAAGTGGACATTTAGGCTGCCTCTTAGCAATACATGAACGTTTACGATTATTTTTAAAGACTTACGACTGCGAGATTTGAAGAATATTTAAATGTTTCTAATGTTATGTAAATAAGACTACAAAATCAACCAAACAAAATAAAGAAAATACTAACAGTTCTAAAGGATGATGTCCAATGGATATCATTTAAGAACAAATAAAATGTTTATGTGTTTCGACATTTTCGATGTTTTATTTCATTCAAGACTACATAATTACCAAAAGTAAATATATAAAATAAGATTTTAAATTACTCTATAAGTTTTTTGATTATAAGAAAGTGTTGGAAAGGAATTCAAGTCTATTATATTGATTTTCACATTATGAGTTAGCCAAGCGTGTCACCCTTTATGAACATGATAGACCCCTTGTTTTTACTATCCTCTACTTTTTTTAATTCTCTTAAATTTTCGGTATTTTTATCATTCGTGACAACTACAGGAACATTTTCTTCTCGCAAAAGCACAGCTGTACCACCAGCAGGATTCGGAACACTATTGTTGGTATTGAATTCGTTTAGAGATTGCTAAAAAATGAATAGAATTTTTAATTCACTTTTATATTTTTAAATTGAATTCATATTTAATTCAGTTTCATTTACTTGCATCACATTGATAAGAAACAAAAAAGCCAGAAGAGCTAATGCGCTTAATGCTGCTGATCCTTTGTCACCTTTGTGATGCCTAGAATATATTTTTAGTATAATGCGAGATGCAAAAAATACACTTTTATATAATTTATAAAAAATGATATTATTTTAATATGAGCTCATCATGTAGATAATAGTTAGAATTTTCTGTTAGAATTTGTGTTATATCATTCTAAATAATAAAAACTAAAAATTACTTAACAATTTATCACTCACCCATGATATTTGTGTTCATGATCCCAACCACTGTGCCATCGGTCTGATGGTATACTGATACTTTTCGTTAATCCTCCCCAATTAAGTAAAGATTTTATAGTCATTTTTTATCACAATACAAAACGATTACATGAGAAGCTTTCGTAATACTCCTTCAACAAACAATGAATGAATGACGGAACGTTTTGACACCTACTCGAGGAAACTTCAGAACAGACTATCTTTTTACCATTAAAAATAATGTCATTTGTTCTCGCTTAATGAATTTTAAGACCATTTCATTCACGGTCAGTGAACACATAATGATTGTGTACCTTCTTTACGAGCCTTTACTCTAGAAAATGATCTGTCACTCTATAATAATGAATTTTAATTATTTTGATGACAGAATATTCTCAATACAAAGAATCAAAACTAAATGATACTCAAATTCACACTTGAAAAATTACTAATTAATTTTTAAATATTTTTTTTCATGTAAAGGAATTAAAACAAAATAATAAAACAATCAAGCTTAATTATATCAAACATGTATATGTATTAATATATGATGGTGTAGTACAATTTAACAATACGTTCATACAACTTAATTAAGCCTAATGAAAAGTCTAGTGAAATATGAAAATAAATCTAAGACAAGAATAGTATTTGTCATTACATTTTTTATCTCAATATTAAGATAATAACAAATATATACAGTAATTAACAATTTCGAGCGCAAATAATTAACGTCCTGAGATATTAACAATTAAGAAACATTAGGAGGATTTACCTTAACTAAAGTTTGAAGTATTGATTAATTAATAGATTTATTTATTATTAAATAAATTACTTAAAACTTTAGTTAAACACTTTCAATCGTTATCCATCCACTTTAACGCTTGCTATTTTAAGCCTATCTTCCTCCTATTTAATAATTTCTATTCATCTCGACGTAATAACTATCTATGAGAAAATAATACCTCGTGAAGAAAATTCCATTCTGTACGCATTATTTAGCACAATCTTAATTGACCAAATAATAAATATTAATAATAAATACATATTAGTCAGCTCGAGTCGTCGAAGTTTAGTTAAACTCTAAATTACATTCTCCTGGGTTTACCTAAGCTTCGAAGTACGTTCAGTCTGCAAGTTATTTTCTTCGCATCGCTATCGGGATTACTTTAGTAATTATATTGTTAATAACTAATAGAATCACCGGACGAGCGTCGGTCTAAATGTATAAGCAATTCAGACTGCATTGCAGTCCATATAGAGCGTTCTGCAGTCTTCACCAGATCGTCCACGTCTTCCAGCTTCATAAAGAGCTTCAAAACGTATTCCGCTTTGTTTTTCTAATACAAAACTGGTAGTATATGATCCAAGTTGGCAAAGAATTGTAGAACCTCCTTGAGTATCAGCAACACATTCAGCACTAGCTTCACATAGAGCTCGCTCTGCACATCCTCTTTGTCCTTCTTCTTCCATCCTTCCAGCAGTGCTAAATGTCTTCATGGATCTCATGTAGCCCTAGGAGTAATTAATCAATCAGTAAACCAATTACAAAAAATAATTAAATCATTGAATATGTTATTAATGAATATGATAATGATCTTTACCTTGAGCATGGTAATGGAAGCAACCACAGCTTCTGAAATGGTATCACGTTTTCCAACTGATCGGGCAGATAGAGAACGGTGTGAGAATGAAGTTTTCAAAGCGTCCAAAAGGTTTACGACAATACTGATGAACTGCTTAAAAATATTATTTGTTGGTTATTTTAACCTGGCTTTTTGTTCATTTAATGCTGATTGTTAAATTATAATAATTGATTAAATTGGAAAAATATCTTACAAAACAATTGTTTGTGCATGAAGAAAAATGAAAATGTTTAAAAGAAAGTTTTTCAGTAAATATTTAATGGTGTGCTTACGCTGAAAAATTGCTACAAAGAGAGTGAAGAAATAATTTCCGGTTGTCGCGCTTCAAACATATTCTACTACTTTACTCGTCAACTGTACCGTTACTGTATGCCCTAAGTGCCGCATCATGTCAACGTGAAAGCAGAACGTAAAATAGAATGTGGGAAGAAACTTTCATGTTCGAAGAATAATGCAACACTTTACTTTTTAAAAAACATATGATTTTTTATCAGTTTCATTTGTTTTTAACCATGGATTAATATTTTTTTGATTACAATAAATTTCATATTAAAACGTTTTAAAGAAATCAATTCGCCTACTTTGATAAAATATACTTACGAAATAAACATTAACGATCGAAATAAAACTGAATAAGTCATTAATTAATAACTAATGACTTGGAAATTATGTACAATAGTGAATACTGACCTCAGTGGCTTGTTTAGCCATGGTAGAAAACTGTTCAGGATTTCTTCCCTGTCCTAGAAACGCACCCAGCACCGCGGTCAAAATGCCCTAAACAGCCGACACCAGCCATATTTTCTAAGTTTATTTATTTAGAAATATTTATTTACAATAGTTAGAGACGCTTTTTCTGTCAATTAATTTTTTTCACTTAATGCACCTAAGTCTTATTATTTTGAAGTAATTAGAGATAATTTTTGATTACATTCTAGGTCTTTGTGTGGCGTAGAAAATTATCAAAGGACATTAATTGTTTGAGGGAAAGTTGCTACGAGTAAGCGTGGCAGGAATAATTAAAAAATTCTATAAAAAACCTGTAAAATAGAATTGTGAAGAGAAAAAGTGTCTCTAATAGGTGCAGAAATCTATGTGAAAGCGATCTTCTCTGTACATTTTTTTATTTACAAAAAATTAAAAGCGTATGTATATATAGTATAGAGAAGAAAAAATATACAAGCTATATTTATACTTTTTTATGAATAGAAAAAAAATATATATATATAATGCTTTCACGACAGAATAAAAGTTAAATTTTAAATAAAAGTTCTAACAGTAAGTCATAACTCGTCTTTACCTGCATTGGACTACTCTGGTTATCAACCTTGTCAATACCATCAACAGGTTGTTGAGCACCACCGAGGATAGCTGTTAATACTCGGAGACCCATGGTTAAGAGGTTTGCCCAGGGACTTGATGGAACTCCATCATCGATTTCGTTTTTACTAGGACCTGTTATACCAGTTGTCTGTCCTAACAACATTTGCATGATCATGCCTAACATATTAGACCATGAGAAACCTGCAGCACTATTTTCCTGCTGATGCAAAAAATTTGTAATTAATATTTTTATTCATTAACAGGAAGCTTATGTATTTTTATTTCAATTAAATAAAGTAGACACCTGAATTTGATTGGATCCAATATCATCAATATCATCAAGAGCAACTTTCTTCATAGCATTTGGTTTCTCCGCAAATTTTCTCTCTTCTCCAACTTTTTGTTGAGCATACTGTTCTGGATGATAAGCCGGATGTTGTGGCAATGAAAAGGTTTGGCCAAGTGTGATAGCCACGAGGCAGAGAGCAATTAGCTTATTGTTTTGCATCCTGACACAAAAATTTTTATGTTAGTTGAATCATCATCATTTCTAAAGAACTTTCTACTACTTATTTATTTCTTAAATTAGAACTTGGTAAGTGATGACGTCAATGAAAGGTTGATTAAAATACTTTGATCCTGGGGAACCAAAAATGAGATGGAGAAATGCTTTAAGATTATATTATTATTGTTGTTATGGTCATCCGGTTGTATGCTTGAGCCAGAAAACCTTGACCATGAAAGTAGGTCAGCGTGGCTAAGGCCATACGCCGGTAAATCCACGGCGATCACTCGTTAGCCCACTTCCAATCATTCGAGGTGCATTGAACCGACGTTATACCGTTACCCCAAACCGGGTCGCGACCTACTGACGTGCTGATCATTTTTATAACAATATTTCAATACTAAAATTCACTTGAGCAATTTAATTTATGGTTTATTATATTTCTAAAGATCCTATAATGTAACTTTTAACTTGCAATGAGTAGAAAAAAAACTTTTTCACCGATAAAAAATTGTTTATTGGATTTTAGAGTATCTTCCGGGTTTTTTGGTAACAAAAACTAACTCTGAATAGAACACATTAAATTAATTTGTTTCAAAAACTTAACTTTTAATGAGTATATTGTTATACAAAATTAAATAAAAAAACTTCTTATCAGTAAATGATTAAAAAAATTATTTATTTTATGTAAATTTATTCTTACTCTAGCATTGATGTCTCCAAATATTAAGTGATGAATATCAACGTTACTCACCCCGCTAATAATAATCAAAATAACAAAAAAATTGCGGCTACTAATAATATACTTCAATGACTGGATAAGAAGCTTTGATTATTAATGATATAATTTCAATTCGCGGTTGGAAATAAATAAATTTAATCAAAAGTGATTAAAAGAATTTTTTAATAGTGTAAATCCTTGGAAAAACTTAAGTACTCACTTAGAAATTCTTGAGTAGATTCAGTGACACTGACTCTCAGTTCTGTAGATGAAATTCCATGAGGGGTCTTCTATATAGCCTGTGCAAGCACGTGGGGGTAAACCGTACGTCCAATGATCGCCAGGCTTGGTACTATTTTCAAAAGAAGTATCCAATCGTTATAGGATCATCTTTTGTAAAACTTGAAAGGTCTACTTACGCATTTTTGTTTTAACATTGTTTTGCAATAGCTGAAGACTAAGTATCTTCTTGTTGTTTGTTACTTCATCTGCTTAGCATATAGCAATTTTCTCATAAAATATCGATAATACAAAATTATAGCTAGTTGCTCTTAATGAAAATCTTGCCAGGTAATTAACACAAGAAATAAACAGTTGATTTACTACAGAAAAAACGTAGATATGTTCTAGAATTATTCAATCAAATCGATTGCCCGAATTTCTGAAACTATATCAGGAGGGTATACTTAGCTGTATGGTTATCACATCTTTCATGCACTAAATATATCAATCTGAAAGGTATCCAACTATAATTGTTTCTCGTAGAAAATTACCTGAATTCTTTACCTTTAACTTAGTACGTGTTCTTTGGATGATTGATCATAAAGGTTTGCAAAAAATAGAATTCAACTGAATTTAATATACGCTCTCATTAATCTTCCCTTTATGCTTTTATTTAATCCTAATAACATCACGAAAGACAGTAAATTATAGTTCGTGCTACATCGTCACTTTGTGTATCCATTTCTGAAAAGAATAAAATAGTTGAACATCTTATACTGTCGCCAAATTAGTGACCTAGATTTTATGAAACTATTTCATTATAATTTAGAAAAAAAAAATGAATACTTAAACTGGCAATCAAAATAACCGTGGAAAACTTTTTGTAATTCTGCAAGAAAATTCGAGGTTATTCTGATGACTCTCACCCATCTTCTGTACTTGCTTTACTTTCTTTTCTCTTGGTAAATGGATTGTGGTTGAGAATTCATGATGCACATCACATATAAAGTAATCGAAATTTCAAGATTCTTCCGGATGATATTTGATATTGTTAAAATTATGTAAAAAAAAAAAGAGAAAATTTATTCTAGTTGACACACATGATGCTCTACGATGTGTTAAATGAATCCAATGACTTCCTGTCATTTGGGATGTCCTTGATATTAAGACAGTTAGTAATTGAAGTTAAGAAACGAAAAGTTGAATAGTATAATTTTCTTTCCCGTGATTGAAATATTTTCTAAAATACTTTGTGCTAATATTTTCTGACATAAAGTAACGCTTTATAACTAATCATTATTGAGTCAATGATCCTGGTATGCAGATTCCAATTAACGGAACGATTTCTTGCAATTTTCTCGAACTTCTTTACTTGGTGATGGTCATCAAGCTTTACATGTATTAATGGACATAAAATGTATGCTTTTTTCAGTAAATCGATTGCTTTTTATTATATCCTTTATCTGAACTTCCTCCCTATTTCTATTGGAGTACGTGTTCATTTGGATCATGAGCAATGAGAGAACGAACACGATTCATCATAACTGTTTCACTTGCGGGATGTACCATGCGTTTTTCTTATTAGCAGGATCAAGCTAATAGTACTTGACCAGCTATGCTTAGTGGTTATTTTAAATCTACATAGCCAGGAGAATAGTTGATCAAGACACAACTACATTTTTAGTCCGAAAAAAATCATTAATAAACATCATAGGAGCTCCAACATATTCTTAGTTCCTCATTAAAATATTCCAACGTAATTCATAGACTATTTGTTTTGATTGAACACCTTGATATTGAGGATTGATTCATGAACTAACGGTATCCTAGGCCTAGGGGTTATAAACCTTATAGGTGCAGTAGTAGCCAACCTGTTTCTTGTTTCATCTGCACTTGCATTTATAACTTTTAAAATTCCATAAGATTTTTCTTTTGTATTGACTTGACATAAATATTTGTAGTGCAGTGTGACATTGCAAGTCACGTGTTTACTGCACCCACATAGAATCTTGACAGGAGAAAGGGGAAATTGAGAGAGAAAAGAGTTAAACGCATCATCATCAATAAAAAAAAAGTTAAATTACTTACGCGAATCTTACAAAGCCAACAATCTTCATGTCAGTAATTTTATTGTGGGAAAAGAAAACAATTGCGTTACGGTTTTTTTTTCGTTATAGGTAGATAAACCCATCAAACCTTAGTTCAAGCCAATTACTCATTTTTTCAGGTGATGGAATGCAGTTTTATGATAAAATTGATCGTTTTTCTCACGCTTCCGGTCATCTTTTTTGATTCTTTTTCGTGTCTTGAATATTTCAGCTCTGATTTTTACTCTGAAAAGGTTTAGAAGTGACAATTAAATATAGTAATTTTACAAGAAATAAACGGAGGCAGATGGAGGCTCTGTTACAGCTATTTGACACAGAAAACCGACTAGCGGGACCGGCCGGTCAATTTACATAACGATTTGCGGCTCGCAGGTTACTCGTTGTGGTGTAAACATGTATCACTGTGAATGCTCTGTATGGTAGCTGAATGAAGTAAGGGTTCAAAGGAAGCATGTACGACCTACTCAGGAATGTGCGTTCGTAGTATTCAGATTGGAACTCAAAACACGTGTCCTTCGTTTGGCCTTGCTACGGTAACTTAATTTATTCGTCATAATCTTTTCTCATCCAGGTTTGTTCATTTTCTTCCCGTTATTTCATCTCAAGATCTTAATGTCACGATCACTCATTGCAACCGATTGAATTGATAATCATTTCTACACCATCTTTTCTATCTTTGTAACTGAATTTTATTACTAAATATACCTGAGAATATGCGTTTAAAGTTTTGATTAATTAATTTTGCAAATAAATTAATTAATAACAGAAAAAAGGTTGGTTTATTACTGTAACCCATTGTTTGTAATCACTGACACTTGACTTTTTACAAATGACTGCTTTATCAATACCTGGTAAAAATGAAGTTATTAAAAAGCAGTTATCATCAGAAAAGAAAAACGGAATTACGTTACCGATATTCTAGTGAATTAGACATCACCAAGATGGCGGTTTCAGTACGTTTGATTAGATGGCGTCTGTTAGTGCTTGGCGGTATAGCGTCGGTTTAAGTTTGCAATTTGATAGTTTTTTTAATCAAAAAAAGTGTATCAATTTATAGTGAAAGTGATATGAATGCATGGATTGTATAAATATATAAAACACTTGTATGAATTCACTTGATGAAATTGCATGTCCTTGTGTAAATTAATTAAGAAAGTGTGTTCAAGTGATAGCAAAATAGGACGGTTAAATCGGGATGTTGGGTATTACCACCACAAGCATAACATTTCGAGGAATCGTATTGTGTACATGCGGACTTGAAATGCTTGAAATGAGGCCAGAGAAGATGGTCTATGGAGTGATTAAATGGTAAGTCGTATTTTTTGTATTCTTGACTTTTAAACATTTGCAATGCTTGAAATGCTTAACCTCGGTAAACGAAAACTCCACTACACTATTTTAACTTGTCTAAATTCGAGGTCGTACGCCTACATGTTTTGAAGTCTATTGATTTAAAAGAGAAATAAAAATTATCATCGATAAAATCTCGCCTACGATTAACTCAGCTTAATGTAGTTCCGCCAATTAAAGTAGGAATAAATTTTAAACATTTGGCTGTGGTTTAATGTTATTTCTCAGAAGAGCTAAGAAAACTTTTTGGCAAAATTTCCAAACTCTTAACCGTTGTAATACGATATCTTTTATTCAGTGTATGTAACTTTTTGATGATAAACTGAAACATCATCATAGGCTTTGTAATAGTTAGCTTCATAATGAAAGGATGATCGATTACATTCACAAGTGAAGATTTCTTGTAGGATTATTGACCTCAGGCGTGGGAATTGACAAGTGATTAGCATTATAAAATTGTCATTGACGTTGAGAATAATTTTACACAGGTGCCTTTTATTAATTTCATTCTCATCCCTATTTGAGTTGGTGAAAGTCTTGTCTACCAATTGGCTCCCTAGGGACAAGGAGGTTTCCATTGTATGATGCTTCAATGGTGATGATGATGATGAAGTTAGAGGGGGTTGCTAAGAAAGACTCCTCTTACTACGTAGTGTTAAATCTTGACAAAAGAATTCTCTCTCGCGATTCAACGTTTTGGAGTTTATAACATTGAGGTTTCAATGCCCGCCTCTTTCACTTTATGATTGTATCTCTTATACAAACATACGCCCAAAAATGACAGCAGAAAAATCGGCTTGGTTTATGTTTCAATAGAAAATTTTCTGTGTGACCCTCTTTTTCCTCTTTTTTGTTTCCTTCGAAAATTCTTTCCAAACAATATATTCGTGAAATTATCCATATAAATATGCAAGAGTTCATACAACTTTTCTTTGTTCATCATCTTTTCACATCCATTTTTTTTTTAAAATAACAAATTCCAAGAAACACCTGCCAACCGTACAGCATTCTCTCCAGTGGTTTTTTTTATGTAGTACGTCAGGTCGATCACATGTGTGATGATTCATATGAACTACGAACGACTGCAGCCGTGATTCGAAGGATTCAATCCGTAGAGAACTTCTTATGACCATCGATTTACAAATCTACACACACGATCGTTACTTCCGGAAAACTTTTTCTAAGAAATCATCAACTCTTCTCTTCTCTGCCCCTCTTGCACAACATTATGAATGCCAAGCACTGAGTCACACTAGAGCCAAGGTCGACGATCCGCCCACTACCACCCGGTGGGTTTTCTCTGAATGTTATCGTCGAAGTTCTTTCCTCTTGAGGGTATTTGCAGAAGACATACAACATATATAATACAATTGCATAAGACTTTGAATTTCTTCATCTCTCTCTCTCTCTCTCTAGCTTTACTTCTTTCGATGTAAATACACTATAAATACAGAAAATAGATGAGTGTGTTTTGAAGAAAAGTCATTTGTAGCTGTTGAAGTTTTTTTAATAAGAAAGTAGGATTAAAAAAGATAAAAAGTTATGAACAATAAATATTTCTATCTAGAAATAAGTGACTCTTTTAATTAATTAATATTTTAAATTGAAAAATTTATGTAAGAAAAATTTCAATTACATTTATTTTTTTTTAAATCCTGAAAATGCTAAGAATTGTAATATTTATCAAAATTATGCAATTTTCTGCTTAATTAATGTAGTGTTAATTTTTTCCTTTTTATTATCACTTTTTTTATAAATTACCTTTTAAATGATAAAAAAATTTTAATTATAAATTTGATCTTTTATCCACTGAGTAAAAAATATTATTCACATATTTTATTTAAGATAACGTGAACCATGATTGGAATAAATTCAGTTAATAATCCAATGAATGGATTTAAATGAATATTTGGTAATATTTTTTTGACTTAAAGAACGTTTCACATATTTATGATCTAACAAATGTATGTGACATGTGTACAGTTGACCGTTAAACATTACTTTAAGTCGATTTGTATTATAAACATATGACGGTGTATAGGGTCAGTCTAACTTCATTGAATAATCATCAAACGTTGAATGGGTGGAGTTGGTAGCGCATGGTATTTCCACCAATACAACGTATGAGAGACCACGTGTAGCTGCTGGTGACTCATCAGACAGGTAAAAACATCGAAAGAGTCTTTTGCAAGCGCGAAAGTGTGTATGCTTGAGAGTAGAACCGGACGTTGAGGAGAAAAGAAAGAAGAGAGGAAAGAGACGTTCTACATTTTCAGAGCAACCCTGTGACTCACCAGGTCGTCATCCCTTGTAATCTACCTGTTGGCACCTGTTGCATTCGACCTCAATGCGCGCAAACTCTCACAATTATTTCTATATACCTACGTACCTACATTCTTTATTGTTGTTATGATGGATTAATTATCGATTGAGAATTTGACAAAAGGAAAAATAAATTAATGATGGTAGCACGATGAATAAATCATGAGACTTTGTCAACTTTATTTATTAAAATCAATCTTTTTTTTCGCCAATAGAAATCTTTATTTAAAAATTAATCATTTTTATCACTTAATTTGTTATTATTTCAACAAGTATTTCAAATTAGAAAAAAAAAACTTTAATTAAAATTCATTGAATAATTCAATATGAAGGAAAAAAAGGAAATATTTTTATTCCAACCGTTCTTTTATTTATTTTTTATTCTCGATAAAAAACATAATTACTTATTACTGCAAACTTTAATTTAAAGAAAATAATTAGTAAAATATATCTTTACTGAGTCAATGACGTGATAATTACTGCAAATTATTGATGAAAAAAATTTTTCTTTATTTTCAAGTTCTTTAAAAAATTATTCTGATAATTATATATAAATAAAGACATGTTATTTTTATTTTTACTAGTAATTATAACTATGAAGTGTGAAAGATTATGAGGTATCATAATAAGCCTTTTTTTGATTAGGCATCCCTTTAAACCTTAACTGAGTAGTTTATTCTATCCGCATCCATATACTAGTTTTCTTTATTTTCTTTTTCCTCACATCCTCTGTTTGTCTTTCCCAGATATTTATCTCTTTCCTTTTTCCTTGTGAAATAGAGTCTAGTTTGCATCCGCAGCCAATTTATCAGCCCCAAACTGTACCGGATTTGTACGAAAATTTTGTGGTCGTATTAAAACTCAACTAGGGTTATTATTAGTACTAGAATGCTCATTACCACTTAATCTATCACACCACAGATGTTGGGTTAAGTTTTTTTTTAATTAAATTGTTTAATTTGATGATGAAAGATATTATCTTAAAATAAAAAGAGACTTTTATTTTATTAATTATTTAAAATAATAATAAAAAAAAAATATTTTTTTTCAATATTTTTATTCCTTAAACAAAATTTAATCAGATATTATCATATCCTGTACAAACTTATCTAATCATAATTTTCTTTTCAATGTAAATATTTTTTTAAAAAGCTAACAAGAATGTTTTTGCATTGAGATGAAAGTTTGTACCGTTAAATTAAATCATTAAAGGTATTGAAAATTCAAGTTAATATTTTTTAGTTTTTATTTCCCTTTTAACCGACATACTTGGGCCTGTGGGGATTTCCGAAGGTTGTTATCATGTTTCCGGGAAACATATAGCGTGTAAAATTCCTTGAAATTATTTTTTATGTGTGGTCTGATAATATTCTTGTTTACGTAGAAATCTTAACCGATATAAAATAATATGTTAAACATAAAGACAATATTAAAAAACTTTCATGACCTCAAGTTGCAGTAGATACAGTAATTATTAATCAGACTGGTTCTGTAAAGTTACTACTCCATTATAGAGATTAAAAAAAAAATGGCTCACAT